ATCAACCCAGAGGTTAAGATTTACCAAATGGTAAGTTAACCAAGCTTTCTGGAATACCCCCCTGGTAGCTGGAGTGCCAGTTACTGCCACTAACCCCCAATTTTCCCTGTAAGTCATAGGACCTCCTTACAGAGCTTTGCACAAGGGCCCAACAGAGAAGAATCACTCCTGGCATTCACAGGATTCAAACCAGCAATCATCTGATTACCAGCACAGATCCCTAGCCTGAGGCACCATTCCGCCCACAAAAATACAAATGAGAGAGCAATTTGGGCTTTATATACAAAGTACAAATGCAGCATAGCATTTTTTGCATGTTATTTTTATTACATATTCATATTAGTTTAAATAATACAACCTTAGTATCCACCATGAAGAATAGCCTCTGTTAGGGTCTGGTAGCCAACCCTGGATGGACCATTCCAAATGGGTGTGGATTTACACATCATTGTAATTAATCTGAACCATTCAAGTCAGCAACAAAATACTACTTGCAATGGTGCTATGAACTAAGACGATCTCACATCTTCAGGGTTTGAGTGTGCAAAACTGCTTCTGACTTTTCTGAGAAAGATGTCCAACCCTTACTAAATAGGTATGTTTACATACTGCTTAATCTGGTCTACTACAATATTACTAACACATGCCCTTTATATGTTACTTGTTTATTGTATTACTGTACATCTATTTTCAATTAATTCATCTATCAAACATCTTATCCAGAGCAGGGTCACGGGGAGGCCTGGAGGCTACCCCAGACAGCACTGGGCACAACGCAGAGTATACCCTGGGCAGGATGCCTGGCATTTGTCTGTTGTCACTGGTACACTTTTAGCTGTTCTTTGTACTGAGTGTAGCTGAATGAGTAAGAATTCCAATGCAATAGCAGCCAATAAAGCATCTTAAATAGTGTTGGGCAGCAAGCCATAGCATTAGGTGATTAATATGTTGCTGTACATCAAAATAAAAATTTTAATAGTGCAATATGGTGGCGCAGTGGTTAGCACTGTTGCCTCACACCTCTGGAATCAGCTTTTGAGTTGGCGCCATGGAACCATGTGTGTGGAATTTGGAAGTGCAAAAACATGCTAAGGTGAACTAGAGTTACCAAATTTCCCATAGGTGTAAATGGTGTGTGTGCCCTGTGACGCAACATCCTGGGCTGTTCCCTGCCTTACACCTGTAGCTCCTAGCTAGGATAGGCTCCAAACTCCCCATGACCTGGAACAGGACAAGTGGTTACTGAAAATGGATCAAACTACTAATCATTCTTTTAAATAGCTACAGCAACATTTCAGAATTTTAAGTAGATTGTTTATACAAACAAGTTGAACTTGTAAGTCACCTGCTTTAATATTTGGTCAATGAAAACAGCAACATCCCACCTGGGCTGTTACTCACCTTGTCCCCTATGATTCAGGCCACCACACCCTATACCAGGATGTGTTGGTAGAAATTGGATGGAAAAAAGATAATTCTCCATAAATCATGTCCATCATTTCTGGTGTTTTTATTTAATAACTATTTGTATATGTACTCAAAGGAAACTACACTTCTCCTTTAGTTTAGCTAATCAATCTTGGAAGAATGAAATTCTTCTACAAAATAAACCATTTCATTACAGGAGGATGCATTTAAATATACTGAATTACTGATCAATAGTAGTAATCAGACAGAAAGACAATTCATTATTTTCTGTGTATGTGCCTTTCTCCTTTATTATTATTATGTATACCATATACAATTATCCCATATAATTAATTTGAGAAAGACAAAGTATTTTGCAAATTCATCAGAGAAATTCAAGTAATATATTTCCTGTATAAATTGCATTCCTATTCTTTGGGGCTTCCTGGACACCATGGCCGTTGAAGATGGCTAGAGGCAGCTTAGAAGTCTGGTCTGTCCTTCTTCAGCTTGCTGTAGTCCATGTTCACTGTATAAAACTGTAATATAGAGAATCTTCATTAAGGGAGAAATCATTCCCTTGATGTTTCCACAGTGGGAACTTATAAGAAGACTTGTTTTGGCTGGATTATAACTCTACTCAGTAAGCTTTAACAAGATGAAGACAAGATAACAAGATCACCTTGAAGAGAATGGTTTTTCATGCCATGTGAGGGATCACTCATAAGGGCTCATACCTTGTACTGATCATTGTGGCCCAGTTTGTTCCAGGGCTCTGGATTGTTCTTGCGATCCCATCTGTAGAACAAGAGTTTCAGTCTTGAAGAGTATAGTTTAAAAGGCTAAATCTCAGCACAGATGGAGTCCCCTTGTCTGAACCCAGAAAGGCACATCACACTTACGAGACATCAGGGTTGCGCAGAGCCAAACGAGCCAAGTACATCACAGACATTGTTGCTCCTCCACCAATGAAAATGAGGAGTGGGATCAACTAAAATAAAAAAGAAATAAATATTAATTTATCAGGAATATATCATTTACAACACTGATTGAGTAATGTCCACGTGCTAAATAATTTCAGCACTGAAATCATTATGATATAACACTATACCTAAGGCCTAGTAAAAACTATGCTGGATAAATCTGAGCGTGACATTTCGTTCTACCACAACAGGCCAGTCGCAACATACTGTCGTAAAGAAAAGCACAATATTAAATAAATCAATATTGTAAGTGTAGCTTTTCTGAAAAAAATCCGGCACCCATAGGCTTGGTAAAATCGATACTGATTATACAACGCAATACTCATGGCTTCCATTTGCATTATGCCAGAGTCCACACAGTTTAATCAAGGTTAAGGAGACATTTCTACAGTACGGGCGACGTCGGCGCAGACCGCTATTTTACATGCGCTAGTAATATTTGCACTTGCGGAGAGTACCCCACGAAACATCAATACAAAACGTCAAAAATACTCCTGTATTTGCACAAACTCGAGAAAACCGTGAAAGATTCTCTGTATTCCAACGTGTCATTGATTCGCTGTCCGCATTGCTCCCGTCTGACAGCAGTGTCTTTGACTGCTCCTGTTTCAATGTCACCTCGGGCTGTAAATAATCTCTATTTCCTTCACATTTACTTACGGCTGGGTGCTGTCTTAGTTGCTTGCCAACGACGCCTAACATTCTGGTGGTAGCAGGTGTAGTCTTCCCTCCCAAAAAATATATTAAATTGAAGATGTAACCGAAACAACGGAGGTTGATAGAGTACGTCACTGTGTAGTGCAGCGCTCTGTGCTCAAGGACCTAAGTATAGGAATGGGGGACCTAGAGGTATATACTGCCTGCGGAGCAATTACAAAATTAAAAAAAAGCCGAATAAAAATAGCATTTTAGCATATTAAATACTATAAAGTATTCCATTCAATGAAAAATAATTTCAGTGACCGTTTTCAGGCAGCAGAGTAGACACCTACGATGCTTGCGCTGTACCGGCATTTGTCGTAGGTGTATACATACGTGTATATGTCATGTGTCTGCTTCACATGCAAGTAAAAACAACTAAAACTTTGATGATATATATCACCTATATATACAATATATTAATTCAAAACAAGCATTATCTACCTGGTCGAACACATATTGTAGGCTAATTACCTGGTCGAACACATTTTGTAGGCTATAATTAAAGTCTGTTTTAATTATTAAGTTTAATCTTAGCAATTGTGGCGAACGTATTCTGTTTGTGAAACCCGCTCTTTTAATCTAAGTATAATGCAGTTATACAATAACCAGAGTCATACTGGATCTTAGCGATTCATTTTCAATCATTTTCATATGTGTGGCTGTTATAAAACGATAAGATTTATTTTAATGATTATATAAATGGGCTACTCTAATAAGTAAATATGCTGAATATCTTTTATAAACTTTTCAGAAGGTTAAATGTCAAATATTTTTTACATCAAATAGTTTTTCAAAATACATCCGTCCATCCATTGTGTACATCCATTTATAGCAGCTTATCCAGAGGGAGCTACTGCCAGTAAGCTTGTAAACCCACATTTAAGGATGTAATTATGGAATGGTCTAAAACAGATCAGCTGAATAAGCATTACAGGTAGTTCTTGACATTACCAGCCAATTTGTTCTAAATTATCGTTCATTAATCAAGAAATCGTAAATCAGGAGGTATTTTCCCATATAAATGTGATAAAAAGTATGACTTTGGTTCCAGCCAAAAAATTTTTTTTAAAAATTTGCCAAATAAAGCAAACTTATTGTAGTACCAGGTGGACTGAGGCATTGCGAGAGCAACAAAGGAAAAGGAGACTTGTTTGCCGGGAAGACGACATTATTTACTATGGTCCTTATTAGGACTGTAACCGGCACCCAACGAGCATCAAACCATCCAATTGGAAATACAGGGAAGGCAGACACAAGATGGCAACAGCCGTCAGTGCATCGTCTCCAATGACAGGGCAGGTAGCTCCCCGAGCACTGGAATGGCTAGCTGCTGCCGGGCGCTGGCATGGTAGGTCCCCCCTGGCACTGACCCTTCCTCTTGGGCACCTTTAGGGACCTAATGCCCCTTCCAGGGGGTCTGTCTTGTCAGGGAACCCCACACACAGCGACTCCCACAGCCAGGCCCCCTTTTCCAGGTACAGTCAACACAAGGGGCTGCTGCGGTTGCGCTGCGGTGCAACTTCCTCCTGGCCCCAGCTTTTTTTCTCCCCCACTGGGTGGGGCCCTGATGTTGTGCGGCAGCCAGGTCCTGCCACGGGGCCTCCTGCTCGCAGGGTTGGGCGGCCCTCCTCAGCTGCTCCTGCTCCAGGTGTATAGCCTCTCTCAGGCTTGCCCAGCAGGTCTCCTCCGCATGCCGCTTGTGGAGGTCCTCCCTGTGCTGGGCCTTCACTTGCAGCAGATCGCGGTGCTTCTGGGCCAGCTGGGCTACTAAACTTCGACATGCTTCCTCCCGACCAAGCAGTGCCATGTTCAGAAAATAATGTTCTCCCCCTGCTGCCTCGGCCAGGCACGCACAGCTGCTCCAGCTCCTGCTACTCCTTCTCTGTGGACTCCCGTAGCTGCTCCTGGTTCTGATGGTCTTGCTCCCGCTGCTCGTCAAGCTTGCGACATTCCTGGGCTAACCGGGCCCTCCAGCTGCAGCTTCCCTCCTCGCGCTCACGCAGAGCAGCCTCTGCCTGCTCGTGCTTGCAGCTGGGGTCGCACTGTGGCTCCTCATGGCTGATGAGCTTGGTGGCCAGTGAGCGGCCAGAGTTCACAGGAGAGTCCACCTCCCTCGCTCAACGACAATGCTGTCTCCGACATGAGTCTGACGGGCTGCAAGGAATGGCTTCAGGGCGCACTGTGTGGCTCTGGTGCTTCCTGGATGGAGCGAAGGGTGCCTTCCTCGCTCCAGCATCCCCTGCTTGTCTGCCCACATCTCTGGTGTGGGCTTCCGGGCAATAGCGTGCCTGGTGCCCTTCTCGAAGGCAGCGCCAGCAGACGAGCTTCCCCAATTATTCTCCTCACCTGCCGCAGCTTCTCAGCTGCCATGAGATCTGCCACGCAGGCTTGCCGAATGATCTTGAAGAGCACCTGCTCCAGCTGCACTGCTGGGATCACTTCCAGCATCCCACCTCTGACACCAGTGTGGCGCCAGGTGAGCCAGGGCATCGCGAGGGCAGCGAAGGATGGGAACACTGGCAAAGAACATGCTCTTTATTATAGTTCTTAACAGGACTGTAATCAGCACACAACTAGCACTGAACACCAAATCCAATGGGGAAACAAGTCAGAGACAAGATAGTAAAGCTCACACATGGTGGGTAATTTATATAACACTAAAGACAGGCAAGGTTCGTACTGACAACACACACTCGACAGCAGGGAAATACAGTTATAACCATAAATACAACACATCAGTACACGGGGCTATTTACAATTACACGCGGGGGATGCTGGGACATGCACTACAGTAACATTAGAATTAACATGTAATCAAAAATATTCACCAATTTAAACAAAAAAACACACTTCTTTGCTAAAATTGTAACAGTCAATTTTGGTCACTTTGATTTTCAGCAGATGGCATGGTTTTTTCATTCTGTACTGGGAAAGATCGCTCATAAAGTACGTAAAATGAACCTGATGTATTAACGGGATCAGGTTGCGTCGTGCAACGAAGTGCTACAAATCGTGCTACAAAATATGCCGTAAAGTGCAATGCTGCGCATGCACAGACATGCAAGGTGCAAACCGGGCACGCACAGTCAGATATTTCACAAGTTATCCGAAAACTTTGTTGGCCCGTAGACAGTGTTTTTGGACAGTGTGTGTTAAGTTACATGCTTTTTTATATATATATGTGTGTGTGTGTGTGTGTGTGTGTGTGTGTGTGTGTGTGTGTGTGTGTGTGGGTTTACCTATCCTTATGGGGACACAATGTCCCCATAACGTGATAAATATCAGTTTTTTTTCCCTTATGGGGACAGGTTTCCTGGTCCCCATAAGGGAAAACTATTTTATAAAAATCGGTGACTGCTATGAAAAAACTAAAAATGCAAAAACTCTTGTATTTTGTTAGGTTACTTATGGTTATGATTAGGGCAGAGTAGGGGTTAAGGTTGTCATAGTTAGCGTTAGCATTTTTCCCATTGAAATGAATGAGCGGTCCCCATAAGGATATGTTTAGCTTACGTGTGTGTGTGTGTGTGTGTGTGTGTGTGTGTGTGTGTGTGTGTGTGTGTGTGTGTGTGTGTGTGTGTGAAAAAATGAAATTTCTCGTAAAGATATAAACTTGTAAACCGGGAGATCTGAAAGCAAGAACTACCTGTATTATATTTGGCCTTTTTAATACACAAAACTAGTTCATGCTCTGTGTTCATTTTAAACCATCCCTCAGGTGCTCTGACTTGCCTGTCCATGCATATCTGTCCCCAACTTGTATACTCATGAAAATGATACACATTTTGGATATTTTCCCAGGAATTTTACACAGAATTAGTGTATGATTATTATCATCCATCCATCCATCTGCCCAATTTCTATACCCGCTGTTACCGCCTGACATGGAAAAAAGACGAAGGGATGATCCATGAACCTCAGGCTGTAACGGTTTTATTATGTATAAACAGAACACAAAGAGAAGACTAGAAAACAAAGGAACTACAAGGGATCAAACGGGTAAGAACAAGAACTACAACTAGACGTTAAGTATCATGAAGGGAAACTAACACCAGACATGCTTAGGGAAACACAGGCACAAAGTCTTACAGAAGCAAACACAGCAAACAAACTGACAATTAGGAACATCCACAATAAATAGCTGATCAACAGAATGAGGGGACTCACATAAATATACAGGTAATGAGGGCTACATGAGGGGCAGGTGCAGACCATAACAATTAGCCAGACACTAGGGTTGGGAACAAGACATAGGTGAGGGTTATGCTACACAGAAGCCAAGAGAATAGACAGACACACTAAGACAGGGGTGTCAAGCTCCAGTCCTGGAGGGCCGGAGCCCTGTGTAGCTTAATTTTTTTCCCTGTTCCACCATAAATGATTCAACTCAAGAGCTGTGTGGTAATTAGCACAAGGAGTTGAATCACGTGTGTTAAATGGGAAGAAACCCAAAAATGTGCAGGGCTCTGGCCCTCCAGGACTGGAGTTTAGCACTCCTGCACTAGGAACTAATAGCAACAGGATGGCCAGCAACATCTGCTGGTTAAACGGGGAACTGATATATGGAAGGGAACAGGACAGGGATTTATCTTGACACCCACTTGCCCCAAGTAGGTTTGTGGGGGCCCGCAGCCTATCCCAGAAGCTACAGGCACAAAACAGAAAATAATGTTATTTTGTTTTATCGATTTTTGAGGTTTTCTGTTCTGATCCCCAGCCATCAGTAAAAATAAGCATTTTGTATAAATGATGTATCAGTGATTAAACAACTGATTGAAAGATGGCTTTCTTTGTGCCTTTGGTGCCCCCAGGTGGTCAAAACTGTACCAGCATAAATTAGTCCCCACCGGGAGTGTAGCTAAACAAATAGCTCTACTGGGGCACAGACACCCCCCTTATGACCCATATGATTCTAACATGAAATTTTACTGGGGCACAGCACATAAATACTGGGTCACGTGCCCCAGTAAAAGGGGTCTGACGACACACAATGCTCCCAAATTTTTGATGTTTGCGGGCCAATCAGTGTCATAACCCTGGGGGGTCTGGAATTGAACAGAACATGAGGAGACATGAAAAACAAAAATATTGTGACCTGGTGGAATACTGACCATGTGACTATGGAGTGAGGGCTTCGAAGCGCTACTCAAAGGGCCCATGCATGTATTTCTGTGCTTATTACTGTTTTTTTTGCTTTTCTCTGACAAGTTTATCATATAGAATGGGATATTCAATGTAGACTAATTGCTCAGACCATACATTTATTTTGGCAGGCTTCCTAACTTAATCATAAAATGCCAGTATAAATGACACATGAATAAAATAAGATGCCTTACCTTTCTGAGGTGTCGGCTGAAACCCCACCTCCTCTCTGAGTGCCAAGGCACGTTCTTCATGTGGTGTGTAGTTTTCGTCCGGATCCTGCAATTTCCTTAAATTCCACAGTCCAAACATGTGCAATTACGCTAATTTGCGTTTCTAAATTGCCCATCATCGGTGATTGTGTATGTGCCCCGCAAAGGACCAGCATTCCATTCAGGGTGTATCCCGGCCTCTGGGAAAAACATGCTGAAGCCCTTACTCAGAGGGACATCACGACCTGCATGTGGCCAGCCATGTTTTACTAGTTAGGTTATTTATAGATGAATTACTACAGGTTTCAAATAAAAGGTACAAAATTTGTCCATCCATCCATTTTTTGAAACAATTCAGGATCGCGGGGTGTCCAGAGCTTACCCCAGTGGCTACAGGCAAGGCAGGAAACATAATATTTGTATTTCTTAAAATGAAGTACCCTTGATTATGTTAACTACTTTATAGTCATATCCACACTTCTGAAACTAAGTGACAGTTAAATAGCATTTTTGGCTTGAAATTTCCCGGCTGTAACAACTAGACCAGAAAGAAAACAGCAGCTCATTGTTTTTCTCCGTGGAACACGTAAGAGGTAAGCGAAACGGCCGAGTAGTATTTAATCTGGCAAAGATCTGAGCCAAAGTTCTCTGTTGCACATATAAAAGATCCAGTTAAGTCAGAAGGTATGCCTGATAATGGCTAGATTACACAGTTAACGAGAGGCCTCATGTATTTATCTCACTTGCCTGGAATGAGTCTTGGAAAAACAAACTTCGAAGCCCTCTTTCCTGGCCCAGCCATGGGTACTGAGCTGGGTTTAAAGTCAAGAGGGCAGACCAAAGACACAGTGACATGGACTCAGGTAGCAGTACGCGGAGGTCAAAATGCCCAAATAAGCTGAAGACAGGAGCAGACCCAAGAACAGTATCAGAACAGTCCAGGACAACAGAGATGAGGGCAAGCAGAGAACGGTAGCTGCCAATAGTGAGGGACACAAAGTACAGAGCTGAGCCGCTGGACTGCAGGCCTGTAAGCCTGAACAGAGGTAACACCCAAACGCACAAGTACATCTGGCCTGGAAGGTTAAGAATACTGGCTCACAAACTATTGCAGATTGTATAAGCAGCTAGTTTAAGGCAGACCAGCACCGTGACACCGTGAGTAGCTCTGCAGCCTCCAACCTCTGGCTTTGTGGGTTCAGTTCCTTACCTGGATCTGATTGGGTGGTGGCCACATGTTCCCACTGTGGTCCAAAAACAGGCGGTTAAGAGATCTGAGGTCTCCGAAGTGTTTGCCCTGTGACGAGCTTTCCTGCAACGAGGCCTTATCATGTATTAATTTTAAGTTGCCAAAGTAGTATAATATGTTCAGAGAGGGTGCACATATATTCCATGTCAGGGAGGACATTTTGAGCTACTTCAGGTTTTACAAACAAGTTTAAAACTAAAAGGCTCCTGTGCTCGGCTGAATAGTTCAGTTCTTGTTTCCTTGATTGAAAGACTCATCCAGCTGTTTCATATTAACATTAGTGCATGATTATAGCAGACTGACCAATCAGCACAGGGCACCTCTGTGCTTAAATGAAATCCAGGTCTTTTTAATTGAAATGGTAGTTTACAAATCCTGTCCTTGCTCAAATTGTCCTCCCCAACTCTATACTGATTCTATATACCTCCCTCTATGGTAAATGTACTGTATGCACCATAATACACATAGACCAGAAGTACAGTTACATTAAATGTAACCACCAGCTTGGAATAACCTAATAGCTCCTTGCTCCATGTAGTTATTGAAAGAACAAATGTTGATATGGAAAATTAAATATGTTTAATGTTGTAAAACAACTGTTGGAGGTGACAAAGAAAGATCATCAAAAAAAAACTAACGTAATTTCTGTGCGGGGGGGGGTGGGGGGGGATGAAACCTTTAAAGGTCACCCTTCCTCTGCTGGTGTAAAAACACAAGGTATGCAAATAACATCAGAAAGGTGCAAAGACAAAATCATTTTCATAAATATCCTTAGGCAGGCTATTTCAGTTTACCTGCAGAAGTGAAAAACAATCCTAAAGTTAGTAGTCGTGCATTTCTACAACGATTATCTTAAATCGGTAGAGTCAAACTAAAACATCTCCTGAATACAAAAAAGCAAAGTTAACATTTTAGCTTATGCAGAAACAATTATAGTACATTGTGTTTTTACTGTTTCAAAAGTAAAATTTCACTCCAGTTTCTCAGTATACACATTCATTCAAACATTGTATTGCATTTCTAAATTTTAAAAAGAAAAGACTCCTTTACCAAACTTGTAAATGACACAGCTCAGGAAATTTGGTGGAAACTTTTTTTAAGCAAAAATTACAATAAAGCAAAAACAAACTCCAAGCTGAGTGGTTTCCATTACTGGAGCCGTTATCTTGAAGCTCCATGGATCACTACACTTACAGAAGATCTGAAGTAGAGTATACCTGAGAGTCTCTCCTTGTCACTTTCTACATAGAAAAACAGCTGTATTTTCACTACGCCAACAAAACATTAACTAGAAACACCCACCAATCCTGCCTAAACATGACTAACACAAATCAGGCCAAAGTTTTTCAGCAATTTCCACATCTGAAACACAAATAAGATTAGATACATGGAATGCAAAGCCTAAACAATTTCATTTTGCTTGCACACATAGAGGACACTCTTGACTGAGGTCAAATCTTTCACTTCACGTAAATTAATGCTGTATGTGATATACCAGCAGTTTAAAAGGAAAGCACTAGCTCATTTTCAGTTAAATATTCTAGTTAAATTCAACTTAGAACAAGAACAATCAATGCTCTGTGATTTGAGAAGTCAGCCATATTCCATTAAAGAGTGCCATTTAAATGACATTCAGTGACAGGGAAAACTCCCAGCCCCCAAAAAAAATCCAGCTAAAATGGTCCAACCTGCTCCAGACGTTCTTACAAAAATGACTTAAGTCCACCAGTACAAGCCCATGAAATTTATTATAAAAGTGCTTCACAAGGGCTGACAAACAGCTATAAACCTGATAGTATATTTTGTAATTTGTCAATTTACCTAAAAAGCTGGGGCATCATGAACTGACCAAAGTTCATGTTCTCATAGCAGCTCAGTCCCTCTGCTGCAATGCTGCCCTGTTGGCTATCCGTCCCTTTAAGTGCTTCTCGAACTCCACCAAGAACTCTTTAAATAACTGCCTGCTTGGAAACGCCCCCTCTGTGTTCAGAGTCACTTACAGAGCACATTCTGTAACATTTAGAAACACAAAAAGTGGAATACTGTTCATAAATCATAAAGTCACATGATGGGGGGGGGCCTTATCTACTCCAAGTACTCATATAATGGGAAATCCTTTCCATGTGTCCAGTTGGGTGTGGTTCCACCAACTGACCACCATAGAAACGGGGAGTTTCTCCAGGGCTCCTTCAGCTGGCAGACTTGCATGTCCCAGGGCTGCACAGATCTCACAATCCCATTAAAGGTATGCCCCCCCCACACCAGTTGACATGACCCTGATATGGGGGCTCCATCCCTCTTCACATGGCCGTGGTGGCAGCAGTGTCAGCATGTAGGCCCAGGTACCCAGCCACTCCTGGGCCGGTGACCTGATACGGGGCGGAGCCCTGGCTAGAGCAGCCGGCGACGGGGGACACTGATAGGCTGCGGAACAGGAAGTCCACAGATGGGAGGAGGGGCTTCAGCAGGCTGACAGGGCAGAAGGCAGAGCCGCCATGTGGAGTGAAGTTCACCTTGTTGGGGTCGGGGCAGGATGACGGGAAAGAGCGGTCAGCCATGCAGGCGACGCTGGTGGGGGAAACACAGATTAAAGAAAACAAGAAAAAAAAAAAAAAACAAACAAATGTTCACATGAGCAATTTAACTGGGAGGGCAAGGGCTTCCGGTAAACAATTAACCAAATATGCGACTTATACAAAATAAGCCTGGCTATACGGTTCAGGTACAACTTGTAAACGCAAGGGGACGTGGGAGAAGTAGACTCACAGGCCATCCTCAGAGACGCGCACCCTCTCACAGCCTTCGGGGGGCTCCCTCTGGAAGGAGTAGCTTTTGTTGGGGCGGGGGGAGGAGGACAGCTGCAGGAAGGAGGGGTCAGCGGCGCCACCAAGCGGGAACGGCGGTGAGCGGGACAGTGTTCTGTAGCCCAGTGCATCTGAGAGGCAGAGGTACGGTGCCACACGCTGTCACACTGACCGGGCACATTGGGAGGGGTGGAAACCAAACGGAGGCACAACAAGGGGGCACTGACCTACGTCAGAGTCAGAAGCCATGTCGCCCAGGGGGAAGGGTGACAAGGAAGAGCAGGGCGACGGAGACGGGGACAGGAGTGCAGGGGAGGGGTCACTCTGGGAGCCACTGCTGCATCGCTGGGAGGGAACTGGAGCTCGGTGGCCATCGGGGACATCCAAAATCTAGCAGGAGAGCACACAGATACGGCCAGAGGTCATAAGCAGGATGAGACAGCGCCACCATGAGGACATGAATGTGACGGACAGGTCACCATAAGGCGATTTAAGGAAGATGGATGAGCGTTAGACTCACTCTGTGCTGCTCCTCTGGCTGCTCCCGTACAAAGACGCCCTCCAGCTCCTGGTTGAGGCCCTCTATGCTGTGCCGTAAGCGGGGGGCCAGCCTCACCAGGGGTGCAAGTGGGATGGTGATGGGTGTCGTCTAGGGAGTGACCATGCAGAGGGACACAGCTCACATCACACCCAAGCCTAGACAACAGTGTCCCGTTTCAGGTTCAAATTCAGCACATTCCAAGCAGCTTTCCGGGTGACTGTTCCAACTGGGAATTATGGAATTGTGGTGGACAAAAACCTCAATGCCACAGATAGCCCAGCAATGGCAGCAGGGAAATGCTGGACTGTCCATCCAAAGCAAAATGACACAGTGTGATGTCATGAGTCACGTACCACATGCAAGGGCTTGTGGACTAACAGGAGGGTCCACCATTACCATGAATATCAGCAAGACTGCCGCGCCAGTCCACCTCACCAGGAACGCATACATTGAAAGCAACTTTGCGTAAAAAGCATGGAGGTTACTGTCAGCTCAGGTTTGCAAGAAATCCTACAGATTGTTTCACATTTTAAGCAATGCCTGTGACATCAAAGGAAATACAAACATCACAAGCTCTAGCCTCAACCCCTTTCCTTTCTTAACAGAGAAAGGTTAGAGAAAGTTAAGGAGACATGTTACAAAGCAGAGGAAATACCCTGAATGGGCTGCCAGTACATTATAGGACATGAAGCATAAAGCACATGTGCATAAAGTCTGTATTATTAATTTTGTTATTTGATGAATAATGATTATACAACCACTCTTTGTTTAGCATCCGAGGTCCATTCCAACAACTAGGCTGTTAATCAAAATGGTTGCCAAGTGGAAATCACGGCAGGCTAGGTGTGAGAGCAACTTTACAAATGGATGAATGAAATTTGGTCACATATGTGCACATTGGTCAAAAAATAAGTTTATTACAGTTGTATTTCCAAATGTGTGTATATGGTTTTGTTTTATATACACTATATTGCCAAAAGTATAGGGACACCTGCCTTTACACACACGTGAACTTTAATGACATCCCATTCTTAATACATAGGCTTTAACATGGAGTTGGTCCACCCTTTACAGCTATAACAGCTTCCACTTTTCTGGGAAGGCTGTCTACAAGGTTTAGGAGTGTGGAATTTTTGACCATTCATCCAGGAGAGCATTTATAAAGTCAGGCACTGACTATGGACGAGAAGGCCTGGCTCGCAGTCTCTGCTCTAATTCATCCCAAAGGTGTCCTATCGGGTTGAGGTCAGGACTCTGTGCAGGACAGTAAAGTCCCTCCACACTAGACACACTCATCAATGTCCTTGTTTTGTGCACTGGTGCGCAGTCATGTTCGAACAGGAAGGGTCCATCCTCAAACTGTTCCCACAAAGTTGGGAGCATGAAACTGTCCAAAATGGCTTAGAATACTGCAGCATTAAGAGTTCCTTTCACTGGAACTAAGGGGCTAAGTTCAGCCTCTGAAAAATAACCCCACACCATAATCCCCCCCAAACACTTGGGACAATGCAGTCAGGCAAGTACTGTTCTCCTGACAACCGCCAAACCCAGACTCGTCCATCGGATTGCCAGACAGAGGCGTGATTCGTCACTCAAGAGAACACGTCTCCACTGCTCTAGAGTCCAGTGGTGGCGCGCTTTACACCACTGCATCCGACGCTTTGCATTGCACTTGGTGATGTAAGGCTTGGATGCAGCTGTTGGGCCATGGAAACCCAATTCCACGAAGTTCTCTATGCACTGTTCTTATAGTGTAGTTCTCTGAAGGACTCCAGGATACTGTAGTCTCCTTCACAGAATACCTTCCTTCTCGTCCTAGTCACCCGCCCACTGGCCTCCCACATGCACCAGGCCACACGTCACCCAACCCCCCCCAATGCTGGCCTCCCAGTGACAGGCCACACGTCACCGAGTCACTCCGTGGCCGACAGCTGTGGCACCAGCTGGATGAAACCAACCTTGGCACAAAAAGCAGAACTGCCTTTATATCCATTTTCCTATTGCTTCACACTGCAACTTGATTCATTTCCTCTGACATTTATTCTGCTGCAATATTTCAACCATCCATGCCTGAGGTACACAGCCTTAAGCTCTTGACAGCCTGTGGCGAGCGGCTTCAGAAATGCTCACTTGGGCATGATTGTGTGCCAGCATCGTGCCTGCGACCTTTCTGCAGCTGCACGGCTCAGCGTCCTGGAAATGAGAAACCCAATACGCACACCAGCCCCATACTGTCAAACCGAACGATCGATACCCATCGAGCTCGACTCCCACACATCAATTCAGAAAGAAAAACAGAAGTTTGGTTCACACACGCAATAGACAAACCACCAACCACTCCCCACCACAGCAAAACGGGATGCAGCAATGGCAGGGCCCAGCAGGGGCGGGGGGTCACGGTTACCTGGGATGTCCCTGCAGAGCTGCCCCCAAGCCAAGGCGCCTGGTCCCGTTCACGACCCCCACGTTTGAAGCGCTGCTGGAGGTGCTGTTTCAATTTGGCGAGCTGGGAGGGAACATGAAGGGCGTGGAGGGAGGGAGTAGAAGCAGGAACCAACAATAAGGCATCTCCAATGCTTGGACACCCCCGGACATCCTAGAGCTTCTTTGCAAAAAGAACTAAGAGGTCCATGTAACATTCTGCGATGATCACCTCCAAGAAGGTTCTGGTAGCGAGTTTTTTGAGTATTAACATAAGAATAAGTTTACTGCTGACTTTCATTGTGTACTATGTCATGTAACCGGCTGTCTATTGTGCATATGACAAACTCTTGCATCTTATTCTACAGAGTAAATAAAATAAGGGGCTATTATTCACGGTTGTAGGAGGTGGGGTGAGCGGCCAGCGCCAACCTCTCGCCGGTGCTCCGCGCTGCTCCATGATGCCGAGCGTTTGTGTCCGCTGCCCGCTCTCCGCACCTGGGCCTCCTCTGGCCACGAGCTGGGCGTCTGCAGAAGGCCAGCAGAGTGACATTTATTACAAAGTAAAGATCAGATTCTGATGGGTTTGTCAGTTTGTGGCCAAAACGAGCCGAAACCACATCAGGCTGCTCAGAGCGGAACGCATGAGACCGAATGGCTGCTTAAACCTGCACAAACCGTCTGCGCAGCCAGCTCTGCGACGCCTTCACCGTGCCACCAGCCGGCCAGTGGCATGAGACAAAGCGCTCGGTTACCAGATACAACCCGCCGATTAAACCGGTCAATGGGCAGAAATCCAATAAAGAACAATAATGAGACAGGAACCACAGGTCTGTGTGTTTGACGAGTCGTTGCAGGGAGGATGCGGGGGTGTAATGCTGCCGTCAGCAGCACATGGGCGTGATCCCGCCCCGAAACCGTATCAGCTGCCTCCTTTTTTCACACGCTTATGGTTCCACTTGCTCTGCTCCCCCCCCCCTGCCCTTCATCTCAGCTCTGCCAGGCCACAAAACCACTGAGAAGCCTCCACCCCTGTTGCAACCGTTTATCTATTTTTTTTTCCCCCAGTCAAATTGTTTTGAGATGCTCAGGAGATAATCAGGCCGCATTAACCGAGCGGATGGAGAGTGCACACAAACACTGTCCGCACGGCACTCGTGCAGGTATCACTCCGACACGGCACTTCTAAGCCTGGTTTGTGAAAAGAAAAAAAATATTCTTGCATTCTTGGGCATCAAAGGATCAGCGAGGGGATAAGCATTAAACATCATCTGAGGAGCCACGCAGACAGGTAACCTAGGCCTTTACTCAGCAGTGTATTATCAATACAGCAGGGAGATTCTTTACAGTCAACTTCCTGTCTACAGCCTAAAATAATAACATAAGCTTAAACATAACTGAGGCTGAAATTCTGGTTCACATAAATTCTGGTTCACAGGTCAGGACCACAAAAAAAAAAAAAACATCTAACATGACAGAGAATCTGAGGGAAAAAAAACACAGTGGAACCACCGAATAGCAGGCCGGTCAGCCTGTATGCCATATTCTTAGTGTTTATGAATCAGTGTGCAAATTACCATCATGCCCAAGACGGCCTGAAATGCAAGCTGAAAGCTCAAGCGAGAGGGAGAGAGGGAGACAGACAGAGACAGAGAGAGTGAGTGGGCACCTGAGTGGCCTTGTCACTCATGCTGCAGATGCCCTCTGAGTCCAGCTCCTTGGGCCACTGGCCCTGCAGATAGGGCCCAACCACCGTGTCCAAGGACAGGGTGCGGCGGATGTTGGGCTTTGGGGCACATGGTTTGGTCCTCTCAGCTGTACCAATAAGGAGATGGCAGAAAGGTGGAGTTAGGAAAGTCTGGGAACCATGAGGCTTCAAGAGCAACCTGGTGGAGGCTGTGTGTTTTAACACTGTATGCAGGTCAGCAAATGATCCAGTCCCAGTTTGTGAAAGTGCACATTTCCCTATGATGCTACACTGGAGCTGTACTAGCCCGCAGTGTCCAGCGAGCAGAACGACGTCCTTGGAGAATGCCCAACCACATCCCCCACCTTGCAGAGCCTGGCACACAAGGATGTGGCATCACCAGGGCCGCAGGCTGACAGAGCAGGAAGGGCACTGTGTTTATTAAATGCCGTGTGCTGCTTTCTTTGCACGGTTTAAGTCTGCGGGTTCAGCAGCATGAGCTCATTTGCACTGTAACGGCCACAGCCAGTACCCACACTCCAAACCCTGCCCGTTAACATCAGTAAACGCCTGCCCCTCATGCCAGGCAGGAGGAAGTACCCCAAGAGCAGAACTGAACCAGTGAAGCAGCACAGTACACAGCTTTCGCGGGGCGTCTCTGCTCTGCCAGCCCAATGGCCACAAAAGGCCAATGCAGACTTTTTTTTTTTTTTTTTTTTTTTTACATACCTTGAGCATCCAACCACATGCGGCTTAATGCCTTGAACCAAACCTTCCTATTTTTTGCAAAGTCAGGGGCAAGAAGTTAAATCTTTTAACATGAAGCACTTACTTCCATAAGTATTTGATCCATACAAGTTAATATGGTTTTTATAGTATTAACCAATTTTAAAAAGTAAATTCTAACAATGTATTCTGGCCCCAAACTGTCTTAAAAATACATATCCAATATTCTGTTATACTGAATGTTGCTCAACAGCACAATCCCAAACTGAATAATTGGTAAATAAAATTGAATGAAAAGCTTTCCCAAGCCTGAAAGACTGGTACAATAGTCTTCTTGTTACATGGCTCTTATTTAACAGTTTTATGGACAAAAGGGCAGCATAATACTATTCTTCTAGGGGAGAAGGACCTATAAACAGCAGCCAAATAAGGTGGCCTGGAACTGCTGCTTTGCGTCTATGTCCGGTCAGCAAACGCCTTTTCACCATTATGCTGACTCGGCCATCTGCGAAACAGCACTGGTATCACTACTTTCGGGTAGGATTAAGCAAGTCATATTAGATCACTTCACAAGTTATATTTAAAGGAAGCAGGGTGAAATAAAGCATTTAGCCACAACTAAGGAACAGTCAGCCAAAGTAATTCGTTACCATTTAGTCAAAGCGAGTATACTGAGCTAAAAAACTCATTAATAGAAGGATCAGGACCAGGTCGATGTCCTGCAGCCAAGTTATCCGAAACGCCAGATCCACTGACTTCTCGACTTCAGAAATGGATTATTCATTAAAATGACCTGGCATCAACACTACCAAAACAATTTGCTAATACTACAGATAAATTGCCGAAACGAAGTGCAGGTTTAGTGCGACAAAAATACGTTTATGGACTACTTCATCTTTTTAGTTACTTACTGCAAACCAGAGTTGCGACAAGAACAAAGGTGTTCTGCATTTTACAACCTTGTGCAGGGGACACCGTCAACACTCACCTGTCCTGCCATCCCTGGGCCCAGGCTGCGTTTTGTTGTTCAGCTGAAAGGGGACCGTGGCTCTCATGGGCTGGAGACCCGAGGTGCCGCCGCGCACAGCCCCCACTCCGCTTCGGCACGACATCCTCGAGGGCTGCGACCTACAACCAAGCTGATCAACAGCAAGTCGCAAAGTTACTGCACGATCACTGAGTCTCCACCGAAAGAATTAACGCGAAATACCAGAGCTTCACAAACTTAGGCTATGGACCAAAATTCAACTTTCTCCCCAGTGATTTACACTGGCTGGCACGCAGATGAGACTCATCCGTCCTCTTTGCACTAAAGTATTCTTTTGTCAAGATAATTATCTTTTTCGAGTAGTTTTCCGAAGTAGGAAGTACGGTTCATCTCCCCAGGCGAGCAGCCACTTTATATTATATAGCGTATGGAGACTTTCGGGGGGAAAAAAATCGTGATACAGACATGCACTAAACTGTACTTCGCTGCAGTCTGGCAACTTACAACTTCTCCGTCGTCGTCCTTCCTCTTAGTGCCACCTCTTTTTCGACTGACAACAGGAGCACGCTAGCGCCCCGTTTAATTGCGGGGGTGGGACTGAAGGTCACACTCATTGCTTTATTGGCTGTTACATTGCAGTGCATTGATTTTATTGGTTTAGCCGACATCAATCGGACAGAGCACAACCTTTTTAATAGATTTCCTCGCTCACACTCTGAATTTTAATACATAACATCGTTCTTCGTATTGGTTTATTACGCTGTCGTTTGAAATGAAACCAGGCATTAATGCTGATATAGCATCCGTCTCAACTTGAATGCTCCGAATAGAAAAAAGATTGTCTATTCGGAAGAGTTCCATATAGCATTTTAGGCAATTTTCTCGGTGTTTTTTTTTGGTCTTTATTCAATTTACAAAAAAAAGAAACTATCTGTAGTTTAAGTAACTAGCAATTAACTTAATTTTGCACAGTCAAAGCATATACATAAGACTATAGTCACAGAAAGGCATTTGTTTGCGAATTTTCTAAATAAATCTTTGGCCTCAGACACTGGCCAAGTCTAGATTCTGCTATCTGACAATAGTTTGGTTTCCTTGTCACCTGTCACATTATATGTTCACGATTATGTGGTCTGATAGGGTATTTTCCTCCCATCAGTGAAGAGACCCATATCTTTTGTTTATTTTATGTTTAATTAGTTTTCTGTCATGATCAACTCAATCCATGACATTAGTCCTACACTAAGAAAAGGGGTAACAATTTGTACCTCTGCTCGTCACTGGGGCTGTACCCTCAAGGGTCTTCCAGTTGTACCCCTAGCTGTAGGTAATTGTACCATTTAAGGACTCTGAGGAACATTTCAGTGCCATTGTTGGTACATTAATGCTGTTTATATCTTTGGGATGTTCCTCAGAGTCCATTTCTGTACTCTAAAAGGTAGAATTAACAAGCTAGGGTACAGCCCCAGTGACAAGCAAAAGTACACATTTTCCCCCATTTTTCTAAGAGCTTTGACTTTCGCTCTATATTTCCTATCTGACAAGAACAGATATACGAAGTAAACCTTATTCAATGGCTAAAGCTACTACTGGCAAAATTAGGCAGCAGGCACATTCATTTTATTTCTGAGTAGACACATTATTTTATTTTTATTTATGTACCAAATTTATTGTACTCGTACTGATTGTCTTGATTTTCCTGGATTTACTTTTTTGCACAACACCCCAAAGTAAATTCTTAGGGATGAAGAAATAATTTTGATTTTGATTAATATGTATTTAGGAAACATGATGGCAAAATGGTTGCTCAATGGTGGCGTATTATTACTGTAAGGCTGAGTGTGGGTGGGTGGTTGGTTGGGTGGTGGCTGCTGAAAGGGGTGATTGTGGGAACAGAAAGCAAGCCTGTGCTGGGAGGGGTGCTGGTAGATAACCAGGAGGCAGTGCCTTCAGCAGGGAGTGTCAGGGATGGTATAGGAGAAGCCCTCAGATAAAAGGGGATGCATTATCACAGGAGTCAGGACAACAACACCATGAGGATAAAAGCAAATGTTTGTGGAGATCTGATCCTCACACTATGCATAAGTAGGGTTCCAGGTTTATTATTTATGTCCTGTATCTTTTTATGGGTATATAGGGCATTCACAGTATGCAATTTTATGCACTTATGGTGGTGCATTCAAATATTAAATATATTGCCAAAAGTATTGGGACACCTGCCTTTACACAGACATGAACTTTAATGACATCCCATTCTTAATACGTAGGCTTTAATATGGAGTTGCAGCTATAACAGCTTCAATTCTTCTTGGAAGACTGTCCACAAGGTTTAGGAGCGTGTTTATGGGAATTTTTGGCCATTCTTCCAGAGAGCATTTGTGAGGTCAGACACTGATGTTGGATGAGAAGGCCTGTCTCACAGTCTCCGCTCTAATTCATCCCAATGGTGTTCTATCGGGTTGAGGTCAGGGCTCTGTGCAGGCCAGTCAAGCTCCTCCACACCAGACTCACTTATCCATGTCCTTATGGACCATGATTTGTGCACTGGTGCGCAGTCATGTTCAAACAGGAAGGAGCCATCCCCAAACTGTTCCCACAAAGTTGGGAGCATGACATTATCCAAAATGACTTTGAATGCTGCAGTATTACGAGTTCCTGGCGGCGTGCTTTACACCACTGCATCCAAAGCTTTGCATTGCATTGCGCAATATAAGGTTTGGATGCAGCTGCTCGGCTATGGAAACCCATTCCATTAAGTTCTCTACACACTGTTCTTGAGCTAATCTAAAGGCCACACGAAGTTTAGAGGTCTATAGCTATTGACTCTGCAGACAGTTGGCGACTTCTGCACACTGTGCGCCTCAGCATGTGTTGTCCCTGCTCTGTGATTTTATATGGCCTACCACTTAGTGGCTGAGTTGCTGTTGTTCCTAATTACTTCCACTTTGTTATAATACTAAATTTCCTTCTGGATAAATAAAGATTCTATCTATCTATCTATCTATCTATCTATCTATGTATAATACGACTTACAGCTGACTGTGGAATATTTAGTAGCGAGGAAATTTCACGAACGGACTTACTGGAATATTTAGTAACGAGGAAATTTCACGAACGGACTTACTGCACAGGTGGCATCCTATCATAGTACCACGCTTGAATTTACTGAACTCCTGAGAGGGACCCATTCCTTCGCAAAGGTTTGTAGAAGCAGTCTGCATGCCTAGGTGCTTGATTTTATACACCTCTGGCTATGGAAGTGATTGGAACACCAGAATTCAATGATTTTGAGTGGTGTCCCAATACTTTTGGCAATATAGTGTATCATTGTTTATCCTATTAAACGTTACATCCTCGGAGAAAGGGATGTAACTCCAAAATAATAATTTGTATATATATTATCTATGAACTATTATCATGTAAATCATGTCATATTGGACTAGAGCTATCAGGAAGCAGACAACCCTCCTTTGTGGATTTATGTCTTTCTATTTATGTTTTATTCAAAAGGAAGTGGGAAAAATCATTTGGAAAGTATTTCAGTCAGAATTCTACAATACCGGAAACAACACAAAAATGAAATGTTTTTTTTGAAGTACAATGGGTTCCTTAAGAACATAAGAAATTTACAAACGAGAGGAGGCCATTCGGCCCATCAAGCTCGTTTGGGGGAACTTAACTAATAGCTCAGAGTTGTTAAAATCTTATCCAGCTCTGATTTAAAGGAACCCATGGTTTTAGCTTCCGCTACACTAGCAGGAAGACTATTCCATACTCTAACTACACGCTGTGTAAAGAAGTGCTTTCTCAAATTTGTTTTAAAATGTTCTTCCGCTAATTTCCACTTATGGCCACGAGTTCTAGTATTTAGACTAATATTGAAATAGTCATTTGGCTGAACAGCATCCAGACCCGTTAGAATCTTATAGACCTGAATCATATCCCCCCTTAGTGTCTCATATCCTCTCCTTATAAAACATTCCTCTAAGACCAGGAATCATTCTCGTAGCTCTTCGTTGCACCTTTTCTAAGGCAGCAATGTCCTTCTTGAGGTATGGTGACCAAACCTGCACACAGTATTCTAGGTGGGGTCTTACCAAGGAATTATATAAATGTAACATCACCTCCCTTGACTTAAACTCCACACACCTAGAGATATAACCCAACATTCTGTTTGCCTTTTTTATTGCTTCCCCACACTGGCGAGAGTGGGACATGGAAGCATCAACATACATACCGAGATCTTTCTCGTAATCAGCTACCTTTATTTCAGTTATATAATATATATAAAGTCGGTCTTGAGACCCCTCCTGAAATTACACTAAGTTGTCACAATCTTTGTGATATAAGCAAACAAATCACACGCACAATTAAAAGTGCAAGACGACACTGAAGTGAGAACGAAAGGGAAGCAATTTATTGCAGAGTAAGCTGACAAACAGCATAGATCCTAGGGAAACCATTAAATAAATAAAAAACAAAGAGATACAAAAGGGATTAAGAAAACAGAAAGGGATACAAAAACTGCACAAAAATGTTAAAAAATAAAAATAGGTTATACAAAGTACCCCCCATAAACAAACATACAGATGAATACTTTGTTCATTGCTTCTTCCACCTGCTGAAATTGCAATTTTGATCAAAATCAGTAAAGCTCAAGGATAAAATTCAAGGTTATTCTCGATATTAGTCATTCATAAACTCCAAATCACACAAAACATAAGGAGATGCTCTTCCTGTAAAGCAGAAAGCCATCTGACCACAAATAACTTTAATTTCCATGTGTTTTTATACTCTGAAATCATGGCAGTTCAGTTCTGCTTTATGTTAGACAGATGGATGGTCAAGACTGAGAAGACAAATATTTAGGTCTAAGTATAGATTAAAAGTTGGGCAAAGAGAGGGCAGGGGAACACAATTTCAGTTTGGAATGATGTAATATTTTATACATGGCAACAGTCAAACATACGATATAGTCTCAAGTTCCAACAAGGTCTGAAGGAGGGAGAGGGACTTGGAGAAGGGCTGATTGGGAAAGTATTATTCAAGTATATTTCCTCTAATATTTTTCTCTAAAACAATGTCCTCAAAGACAAATTTTTTGGAAATGTTCGGTCATTCCACCTCAGTTCGCTTCTCAGCGCTTTTTGAGATCCTTAGGGCACCATCAAGCTGAAGAGGATGGAAGGAGCTGGAGGAGGGGGCAGAGAGGGCAGGCAGGAGGGCGGGGGGGGCGCCGAAGCCGCAGAAGGCACAGAGTCCCCTGCTGCAGTTGGGTGTGGGCCCTGTGCGAAGCAGAACTGAATCTGTGGCCCCAGTGCATGGTGGGTGGGGGTGGGGTGCTGGGGGTGGGCAGACACGCCCTAGCTGGGAGAAAGGGCAGGGCTGGCTTCTGTGCTGATGTTGACCAGACACTCGCTGGACTTCAGGCTGGCCAATGATTTACAGCTTGGCAGAGAGGCCAGGGATCCACACAGACCCAGCATGGAAGGGGTGTAGTCTTTACCTGGGAAGACACATCGCACATTCAGCAAGAAGTCTCTCTTCAAATACAGTGGTACCTCAGAACTCGAATTTAATTAGTTCAGAACTCCGAATCGAATCCTAAACAGTTCGAGTTGTGATCGAATTTTCCCCATAAGAAATAATGGAAAACCAATAATTTGATTCCCAGCCCCAAAAAAATACATCTAAATATGTTTTTTTTTTTGTATTTAAACACAAAATGAACCAGATAAAACAAGAAGAGCATATACTGTACTAAACACATCTAAGCACATTTATCAAAACAGTAATTTGTAAAGTAAGAAAATAAATAAATGCATCCAAACAATGTGTAAAGTTAAAAAACAATGTGTCCTGCCCTGATGGTCTGCTCCTTCCGTGTGCCACGCCCCCTCGTTAACCCCGTGTGGAATCCCCATGTGATCAGTTGTTTCTGGTTGTTGTCATTAGTCCTCTGTATTTCGTCCGCGTTTCAGTTTGTTTCCCCAGCCCGGTCATTGTATTGTCCGTCTGCGTTTTGCCTGCCTTACCTATAATTAAGCCCCGTATTCCCAGATACCCTGACGTCTGCGCCTTTGTCTCCGTTCCGTCCCCGCTCCGCACGACAATATTATTATAATTAAATGTATTAATGGTTTATTATTAATATTAAAATAATGAATAAGAAATATTTATTTTTAAATGTATTATTATATAATAATTACTGTTACTGTCTATCATTGTCTAAATGTATTTTTACTGTCTAAATATATGTATTCAGTTAGTGTAAACATGCACGATGCCATTACAGCGAATGCGAGGCTGAGACTGAAGCGTTACCCTTCCGCTTTCTGCTGAGAGACGTGCCGCGTGACTCATTTCCCCGCGCGTACAAGTTATCTTAGGTCGACGTTCACGGTTTGACTTCTGAGATTCAGACGGAGTTCAAGGTAAATTTTTTTCGAACTGGTTTTGTATGTGTACCTGCTGGACACCAAGGTTCTCCGTTCTGCTTCCCCTCGATGTTTTGGGAATCCAGATCCAGGTTAACCTCAGCGGAGAGCTGTTCTACGCTGGGGAAGCTCCTCCTGCAGGCAGACAGAAACAAAGACGAGGTGAGTGACGTGCCGACGCACAGATGACTTCACAAAGCAATTTAGGGGCAAAACATATATTTTCTATATGCATACACTACCAGTCAAAAGAGATTTTCTACATTTCCATGCTTAACATTTACAAAACACTTAATATTCCTTGCTAACAAATAAATTTACAGTATGTTTATTAATTAACAATAAAATATCAAATCTTTGATTCATCAAAGTAACCTCCTCTAGCAGTTATAACAGCAAAGAAAATTTGAGGCATTCTTTCTACAAGGGACATTAAATACTGCTGGTACATGGGATGAAATTTAAAGTTAAATGTACGGCCAACATGAACAGTAGATTCCGGTTAGAGAATCAAGGACTGGAGGTCTTATTTATATTAACTCTGACGTCAGACAATTTTTTGTGTGTGGATGACAGCTGACTGTGCAGGATGTGGGATGTGTATATATGTGTTGTATGTGTGTGTCCGGTCTGTGTGATTAGAAATAGAGTTTACGTCAGCATTTAGCCAGGTTATTGATATTATAACAACAAGTGTGATAATCAAAAGCACTACCATAGTACAATTAAAACATATTACCGATGTAACAGATGAGTAGCTATTTATAACAATAGGAGTGCTATAATTATAAGTATAATTAACGTTACTTAATTGCTAAATACCGCAAGCGTAATGATGAGTAAACGGTAACCGGCAAACGGCACAAGTGTCGTTTACCTCACTGTACACCTTTCAAGTCTGACCAGTGAAAGTGGGTATAGAAAGTAAGTACCAAGCAAACTAATAAAACACGCTTTAACACAACTCTTTCCACGAACACACTTAAACAGAACAGGTATCCAGTCACAACATTTGAAGCACATTAAAGAGAGGAAAAAGTAAAGTAGCGAGTCTCACAGTAGGCAACACGAACCGAGGGAAACCAAACGCCTAATTTTAGTTCCACCTTTAGTTTTTCTGCAAGGACATTATTTCACTTGGTTAATGTGATAACGAGGCCAATATCAATTACGTAAACTATTTCATAAGTAGTGAGATGGCGGTTGTATTACAGTAGGTACAAGTTATTAGTTACTTGTAGATGCGTATCTGATAGATGGCAAGGTTGTATGTGCAAAGACAGTTTACGGAACAATATGCCTTATAAGCGATTTGATTAGCTTTCCATGCAGATGCACATTACTGTCATATTAATATACGCCAATGAGGCAGCCCCACGTGAAGCGAATGACACTACAGGGTCTGGGATATATTACACGGTAAGCTAACATTTGGTACTTGACATTTTGAATGCAGAGGAAATGGGTATATACTGTACGTTAATGTGTACTGAATTACTTGTTTAAGCCGTTATGGTGAGACGAAATCTTGTTTGTTCAATTACATTAGCTGGCGTACATGGATTCGATTAGATTCCTATTGAAGACAGTTAACATTCTGTTGTACTAAATAATAATTAAGTGTTAGTATAAGGTATCGATATAGTACTATTATTGTTTATAATATGAAAAACATTCTAAGTGCTGTATGACAATGAAGTATTATTCGGCACTTCAGATTTTCAAATTAAACAATCGCGGTTTCGGTTATTCGCAAGTTGGTCGTGAACAATTAAATGGGAGTACAGTACTTTAAGAATTTCCGAAAGATCGCAGACACTAATCGCAGATGATGTGTAACAGTGTAAGACAAAAACAATACTCTGGTTTAGGATTAAATAAAATCAAATGATATATAAATATTCGTGATACATAATATTAGTTAGTGCAAGTGGATACTATACCTTTAATATTACAAGTCTTTGGGTACGCCGCGCATGTCTCGGCAACCAGCCTCTTTCACGTGTTAGCTGTCTGTGACCGTGGAATCTCGCGTTTCTTGCAGTTACTTTTAAACTTATCAGTGCCTTTAATGTAGCATTTAAAATAATAGGTTCAAAACATAGTGCTCCCAGAGCGTACAACAATAACTTTGTACATACAGAAGCATAACTTAGATGGTTTGTATATTATTGTCACGCCCAGACAGGTGGCCACGCCCACCTAGGCGGAGGAACAACTGAAACCACTTCACGTGGATCACCGCCGCATAAAAGCGATCGAGTCAGGAACAGCGACGCGATGTATTGTTGCCATTATCCTTAATGAGCCTTACCGAGCAGTCTTTTGTCTTTCGTTTCTCCCACCTGCCCTGGATCCCTCGTCTCTCTGACTCCCGCCTGTTCCTGCCTTTCGTTCTTCCCGTCCCCTCGTCTAGTGTGTTGACGTAGGACTGACCACCCCGGCTTCTAACCCCTTTGGATCGTACCTGACTCCGTCTCCAGCTCTGTGTCTTGGTTTTGATTCTCCTGGACTCTAATAAACCCGCAGTCTCGTGCAAACTGGGTCCTGTCTTTTGTATCTGAGTGATTCCTGTTTTGGCCCACATATTCATGTCCTTGTGTTTAACTGGCTCTTATTCTTCTATAAAATTAGACAAATCTTTATAACAAACCTATTTTATTATGTGTTTAGGTGTTTTCTATTGCTCTAACAAAGATAAATTACTATTTTTATCTTTTTACATCTCTGTAAAGCACCATTTCTCTGGAATATGCGCTCATTTTAGCATGTCCCAAATGAAATGTATTCAACTTCCTCAGTATATATAAACTATAAAATTATAAAAACTAAAACTTATTCTTTATTATTTTGATAGACTAGGGTATACTACATTTAGAGAAAGAAACAAATCTGGTGAAACTTATTTTGTTTTCTGTAATTATATAATATATTATATGTCCCCGCATTGGTTTTCCACCCTGTGGGCCCCTAGTTTCTTGGCTCCCTAAAAAGATTACAAATCCATGCAGCCATTTCCACGAAGTTTTCTCAGTTTTACATTATACACCAGTTTGAGGCACCCTTAAAGTTCCACCCTGTTAGTATATATTATGGGAAATATTTATTGGAAAAAATATTTTTTAAAACATGTTAAAATAGCTATGCTGATCAGCTGTAGAGTGTGTGCTAGCTAAATGTTGCTCACTCAAAGAGCTAGAGCTAAATTAGCTAGAAATATTCCACCCTGTTAGGCTATGTATGGGATATGCAACCTACTGAGTAGAAATTGTACAAGAATATTTATTATTTTCATTAAAATGACTAGTAGATTTATTATTTGAGTGTATTTCTTGTGTATGATAATGAATAATAATGGTATAATCAAAAAGTATTATTATTGTTATTATTATTTTATGAGTGTATTTCTTAATTATTTATGTTACTACAGTGATATTATTATTATTATTACTATCATTATTAGTTGTAGTAGTAGTATTGTTGTTGTGAATCTGAATCTAGTTGTTAGGAGGCCTACTCAGTTCCACCCTGTTATATTCTATTCCACCCTGTTAGGCAATGATTAAAAAAAAATATTCTAATCACAACAGTAAGTGTTTGGTATATTTGTATATTGTTTTGTTAAATGAGGTACATATAATGCATCTACATATACTTTTATTTCTAGTTATTTAAATTCCTCATACAAGACAACAAAATGGGGACAAAAAATGCACAGATTCCATTATTCTGACATTGTACTCTTCATCAAATTAAAACTGTTAATGCTACAAGAATTAAACTTTTATCATAGCAAAAGGGACACATTGTATCCCAGAAAAGTTCAGTATTGTTTGACTTGTACATTATTTAAACTCTGCGATTACCATGTACATGTCCCTAACGGGGTGGAAAATGTCTGGAGAAATATATACAAAAAACATCCCATAATTATAATATTTTCAACCCCTGAGCTTGGCAAACATGCATTCCTCATAGCTAAGTATGGTATAGTCCTGACAAAATTTTTAAACCATAAAATACAATCATTCCAATTTTCAGAAAACAGAGAGTCAAATATGTGGTCCAAAACAGGAATCACCCATCTGCCCGGAGCCTGACAATTGTATTAAAATGTCTAGATAGCAAATGACTATAATGAAGTAATCTGATATGCACATGTACACTAGAGTACTGTTTGTTTAGAAATTGGTTATATATATATGTGTGTGTGTGTGTGTGTTTTAGTTTCAATGTCCAACCCCTGTACATACAGAACATCACCTACATATAAATTTATGTAAACACTGATATAAGTATTAAATCAGTACAGGTTCAGTTTGGGAGATCTACTGGTATTCTGGAATCTTTTCATTCTAATCAGATAGCCCACGGTGTTCACTCATCACTGAATGCTCACCTACAGCACATATCCCTGCTGAACTGGAAAACTCACCTGCGGAAGAGTTTCACATCCTCCTGGTTGTTGAAAGCCTGGCTTGATGGCCACTGGTTGACCAGGGGGATAGTGAGCTCCTTATTCAGGTGACTGGAGTCACAGGGTATCAGGCTTGCTCTGTGGGAAACCATAGAACCAAACAGTCAGTTATATGTGTAGCTGCAGACCACATGCTGTGCATGTCTTGGGGTCAATGTAACCTAGAGGCCATCATCCTGAGGTTTGCCCACTGAATGGCCGCCTTGGCTGCTCCTAGGTCTATGTGCCCCACAGTTTCTTGCTCACAGCTGTTCCTGTAGCTCGAGTACAATGTCCTCCAGCTCCTTCTTCTCCTGCTGGCTCTGTCGCTGCAGCTCCTCCAACCTCAGGGCCAGCCGTTTGTTTTCCGTCTCCAGGTTCTTCAGCTGAGACTCCCGCAGGCGGACCAGCTCCTCTAGGTATCCCTGCCAAGGAACATAAGTTGGTCTAACATCACAGCACTGGTAAGAGACAGAGCACGTAGACAGCAGAGCAACACAACAGCGATGTGAGGTCAAGAAAGTCTTACTATTTCTTCTAAATGTAATATGGAGAAATCAGAAGCATCTATAAATGAAAATATTACAAAATAATAATTATCAGGGGTGTACATAACTGGTATGCATTTGCCGTATAAAGCGATATGTGCTGCATTTTTTTGTTGTAGCAGCGCAAATGCGTATTTGTGCTTTTGTGTATTTACTGTGCATTTTAGCATTTAAACTGCGAAAGGAGTACATATCAGCCACATAAGAGTTAAAATGCATGGTAATTTCTTGTCATAACAGCGCAAATGCACATGTAAATGTGCATTTGCGCTGCCATGAAAAGAAATTGCTGTGGATATCGCTTTAAACAGCAAAAGCGTTTAAAGCATAACAGTCATGTGCACCCCTGATGGTTATTATTATTATTATTATTATTATTATAAGAATAAGAAGAAGAGCTGAAGAAATTAAAGTAGAAGATATCACAACAAACTCGCATCCCTTTAACAAAAGGCACCAGTAACCACACATCTCATCAGTGGTGTATTCCATAACAGCAGCAGTAAACACAACATAACCAGTCACACTTCAGGTCCCTTGAGCCCCCATCTCAGTAATGAATATCCTTTAAATCCTTAAGTTTGACATCAAGCTGCTTCTTCACTAATTTCAGGGCTTCCTGTTTCTCTTTCCGCACAGTCTTCCGGAGACTTCCTCCATTGGCGTTGGCCTTCATTTGGGGAATACACTTTTCCAGGCTTGTGACAATGCTACACCTTTCACCGAGAAAAATTTGATCTTCCTGCTACTGAAGCAGGTGTGCAAAGATTCCTTGGTGCTGAGCAGTCAGTGCTGCTTCTTAAAGATTTCCACCATTACTATTAAACATCGATAAATAAAATGCAATTATTAAATGCAGCCAACCTGCCGGATTCAGAGTTTCAGATTCAGGCTCTGGTCATGGCTTAATGCCTTTAAAATCTTAATGTAGGGCACCTCATGAATATGACCTAATTCAACAAAGATCTACTGTTCTGCACAGTACTACTGAATTCTGACTGCTTGTTTGGGTCCAGCACTGATATGTTTCTTGCTAGAGTTTAGCAACTGTGCCTTTGTAGGAATCTTCATCGCCATTTTTAACTACAGTTTTGCGTATATTGTAGCCTGGGCCTTTCTGAGCTCAGACACACACTTATCCAACAGTTTTGCTCTGTGACCAACAGCACTTTGAGTTTTGTGGCCTCCAACATCAGGTAATGTCACTATCCAGAAAAAACACCATGTGCCCGTGTATACCATAAAACCTTCAGAAAGTGTGTGATTTCCCAGGTAATCATGAAATAGAAGCCAAACCTTTCATTTTATCTAGGTAACATTTGGCAACCTTTGCCCAGATCTGTTGAATGGGTCAAATTTGTAAGGTACACTCTGGCAATCCCTCATTCCCCAGCTGCAGAAACCAAGGGGATGGAATAAAGTCCCTGACTCCCAAACAAACCGGCATGTAGGTGAGTCCCCAAAAAGCTGTTTCAGTGCAGAAAGCACACTTCCCAGTCAGCTGCTAAAGAAGCTGCACTGAGACAATTATGGGTCATATAACACAAGCCCTCCAACACTAAGCTCTTTAAGTTGTTTTGCTTTTCAGCATCTCCTTATAACATGGGCCACAGTTTGTGTTGGGTCCATCAGCTGTGTGGGCCCAAATTCCCATACACACGCTACAATATCTCAGAGACCTACTCAGAAGTAGGACGGTTCATGGAAAATAAGGTCAGGGACATTATTTTATTCGGTTCCCATTTCAGAATTATATGCGGTCTGAGAGGGCATGCAGGGATTTACCAAGCAGCGGCACATTTTTGCTCAGATTTGATCTTCATAACTAATAAGCATTAAGGGGCGATCTCAGAATTTGTAATGTGTGACACTTTTTCCACTCTCCACCTGCGAAGAGTAATCAAATGTCAACTGAGAAATTTTAATTACCATGTCATATAACGTGCTGAATGATTATCACTTTAATTGACTGGCATATTTCAGCTGCCAGTGCTTGGCCAGATGGTATTAATTGTCTCATGGTGCCTGTGGTTTTGGAGGTCGAAATCTAAAATAGGCAGAATAAAATAATAAAAAAATTAGGATGTGGATCCTGGCACTGTTGACCGGTGAAACACAGTATGAATACAAAGAAATTATAATATGCTATAATCAATTTATTGCTGATAACCCAAAGTAACATTCATCAGATGTAAATATTAACCAGCATGACTAACAGCTACATTTTTCATTGCTGAATAACAAGCTTGAGAGCAAAGATTCTGCTGTAACAAAACTGATTTCTGCTTTACATCATGCCATCATGGCATTTTTGGTATTTGTCATTGGGCATGGTGCCTGTTTCATTCCACTCTATCGCAAAGCATAGTCAGGGGAATTTTAGAGAAAGGACTGGATACAATATAAGTGTTTATATAGCTCTTCTTCCTCATAACTGTCTTGCACTTGTTTCTGGTCAATTGTTAGAAGTGTAGCCTAGCAGCACTTGTACATAAATCAGCTCATGACAGCTGTATGCTTATTTTGTATTATCTGCTTCACTTGCATGTCACTTTGGACAAAAGCAACTGCCAATAAATATGCATGTAAGCATAGAACTGGCCTGTGGGGATTTTCTGTTTTTAACAGACAAGTCATTATCATATTACTGAAGCAAAGACTTATGCAAAAAGAAAACTGTTCTGTTTAATTAGAAATAAACACAAATAAATTTCAGTTTCAAATAGTTTCACAAGCTTCATATCGACTGTGTTAAATTCACACATTATCGGGGCACATAAAGCACTTATAAGGACAAAGAGATTGTTAAACATTACCAAAAAAATGAAACAAACATTAACATCAAAGATAAACTCCTCCTTCCTGATGTGTTGTAATGACCAGATTGTCACATAAGCCATGATAAGATTAGATGCTAAATATAATATTTATCAAAAATAATCTGTTGAAACAGTACTGTATGACTGTAGGTATATCTTATTTGTTGTAGATAGTTACGACACTCTGTAAGCAGTTATAGTTGGAGGGAATGGACAGATAATACCATAATGTAACCGTAACCCACCTTCTGGGCGTAGACGATCTTGAACCTCTGCTCCATCTTGCGGCACTTTGTGCTCCAGCTCTCCTCGTCGGTGACCAGCGGGATGTAGGGATGCTCCGGGTAGCTGTCGTCGCTGGTGCTGCTGTCCACACTCTGCCGGTCGTCATCATCGCTCAGGTAGTCGTAGCTACAGAGGTGCACGGACAGAAACAGGTGAGTCCAGCGGACTTTAACATGCTTATGGACACTCTGAACACCCATAAACCTGGGAGATAAACTTCAAAGCACATTATCATCTGACAGGTTCTCAAGGTGGCAAAACAAACTGCATCATTCTGTGTCAACTGAGTTACACTGAAAATTGTTTAATAACAATTAAGCACAGTGAAGCAAATCAGTGAAATACTCACCTCTGAGTGAACTTAAGATACGGTGTGTAGTCAATTACTGCTGCCGACTTGCCGTCCAGGGCCTGCCCCTTCAGACAGAAGCTGCAAAGGTTAGAAAGAAAGAAAAAAAAGAAGAAAGAAATCACCATATTGGGCTCCTTTAGCTAGAAGTACTAATGGGAGAACCTCTCTCCTTTTCCTAGCATCAAGCTAAGTTGCACAATATAATCTCCCCTTTAAAATGTTCTTTATTTGAGCAGCCTTTTTCTTTCCAGGTGAACAAAATACAAATGTCATTAAAGCTGTCATCAGACTTTTTCTATAGAAAAGAAACATATCTGAGTTATTTAACCAACCCATAGCTAATCCAATGTAAGGAATAATTGGAATAATTTGCTACTAACTAAATGTCCTTGTAGTGGGACACCTCCTGGTTGAAGTCTGCCATACATCTATTAGTTGCCAATAGGATGTTAGGTTACATCTCTAGGTGTGTGGAGTTTAAGTCAAGGGAGGTGATGCTACGATTATACAATTCCTTGGTAAGACCCCACCTAGAATATTGTGTGCAGGTTTGGTCACCATACTTTAAAAAGGACGTTGCTGCATTGGAAAGGGTTCAACATAGGGCTACAAGAATGATTCCTGGTCTTAGAGGAATGTCCTATGAGGAAAGGTTAGCTGAGCTGAATCTGTTCAGCCTCGAGCAAAGGAGACTAAGGGGGGACATGATCCAGGTATATAAGATTCTAATGGGTCTAGATGCTGTTCAGCCAAATGGCTACTTCAGTATTAGTTTAAATACTAGAACTCGTGGCCATAAGTGGAAATTAGCAGGAGAACATTTTAAACTGAATTTGAGGAAGCACTTCTTTACACAGCATGTAGTTAGAGTATGGAATAGTCTTCCTGTTAGCGTAGCGTAAGCTAAAACCCTGGGTTCCTTTAAATCAGAGCTGGATAAGATTTTAACAACTCTGAGCTATTATATAAGTTCTCCCCAAACGAGCTTGATGGGCCGAATGGCCTCCTCTCATTTGTAAATTTCTTATGTTCTTATGTAGACATATTAGATGTGCTATTTTGGTCATATCTTAATTTTAGCATTTTTTTTTTTTGCTTAAAACTGTTCAGTGTGTTTTTTCAGAGTCATCCCAGTTAGATTCCCAGCCAGGTAGATACTGGTACATAGTTAGTGCACTGAACAAAGTCACAAAATGTAATCTTTTAAAGTTAATTTTAATTACAAAATGGTTGTTTAAAACTGTTTTGTCTATTTACTGAACAAATTATATGACAAATTACCTTGCTGGATATTTCTTGCTATATAGCTGTTCAAAAACAAAATCACAATAAAAATATTTTGAAAAAACACAAGAAATATTTATTCTCAAAATCTTTGACTTGGTACTTTGTATTATATTTTCAGATATGGTCTCAGGTGAATCTGCCAGTTTTTCCAGAAATGTTTGATAAACTGGATAAAAAGGGACGAGTGATTTCTGTCCCAAGGTAGCAGGTGCTGGATTTTTTTAAGGCCATAGATATTTAAAGCACATAATACTGCATTAACTGAATAACAATAACTGAATAACAAACAAGTTGTGTGAGCTAATGGGGTATTGTTGTATGAGATAGGGATATTAAAAAATACTAATTCTTCTAAATTATCTCTTTGTAACTGAAAAGTGAAGGACTAGGACTAATCATGGGACTTTATTATTTCAGCATTTTACCAATTATGTACTGGAATACATAATTAAATTTAAAAGAATCGCTTTAAAAATTAATTTTGCTTTTAAACAACTCTTTAATGAGCAATGTTCAAAATATCTTTAAATAACAAAAAATTTGAAATTAAAAATTAAAGGTGCCAGAGAACGAAAAGCTGACTTTACCTCCAGATAGCTGAACAAGAAGGGTTTGGTACAAGAAACTGATATACCTTGAATCTCAAACACTGTTGTTCCCTCTTTCAAACATAAATCTCACATGTGTAAAAGGTGGTAAAATGGGCTGATTCCAAACCCCTAGACTGTTATGTAAAAGTCTTAACTACACCCCAAACCTAACATGCACCGACCCTCTTTCAAGCACAATGGACCAGCACAACCTGTAACATTCACATTCCTCCCTCCAGCGCCATGCGTTTCCACAAGAGCGCTTAGGGAGGAAAAGCGGAGGAAGTCATTGATGTAAGGTTATTTATTACTAGTAGGCTAGAACATAAGTGCTGTTCAGGGGTCCAAAAGCTCCCGTTAACAGCTGACATAGTAATGTAAGTTACTATGTAAGTTGCTAATGTTGTTAGCAACTATGCTTTTGGGAAACGTACCCCGGATAAAGCAGGGGAGCAGTAAACGACATTATGGAATCTGTGATACTGACATTATCAAGGGGCGGCTCTGCTCCCTGTACCTACTTTTGGTTAGCTAAACAAATATCAAATCGATACTGAAGTCAAAAAAATTGAAAGCAGTAGTCCAAATTTATTACAAAAAAAATATGTATGGAGCTGCTCAGCTTGCCGTTTGGAGTTGTTGATAAAAACTGCCTGACGTCTGTCGTTGACAGAAAAGCCATTATGTGGCGCATGATTGTAAAGATATTGGGTGTGTGTGAGCCATCACAGTGCTTCACTGTAAACCAGCCGATCAGAGCAACATAATAATTAGCCTACCAAAAAAGGGAAACTGGCCTGTTTCTTTCTAGGGCCAAATAGCAGCATGTAAAACCACTTCTGGTCAATTTCATTAAAATTCAAACCTTCTATGTAGACACCAGAGAACCATATGGAAAAATGCATTTTTTGGCATCTTTAAAAATGACTAAATTAAGTCTCTGTATATAGGAATAAATACAAATATGTTGCTGCAATGTGCAAACAGTGATTTACAGTAACAGGTAACCACAAATGCAAATGAATATTTGCACCATAATAGTGTAAAATGAGAAACAAATGAATAAATTGAATTAATGAATGAACAGGAGAAAGTGAATAATGTTACAGTCTGCAGGCACAAAAGCTTGTTCCTCAATAAACATCACACATATGGTTCTCAGTAAAGTGTCAGTCTCCTATGAGGCTTCTTATCAAACTAAAAATGGTTCCCCTTTGCTACAAAGAACAAAGTTTTAATCATGGAGGCAGAGTCCTGACCCCACTGAGACGCACCCCCCCGGTGGTTTCACCTGAAATCTATGGCCCCGAGTCCAATGAGCATGCCGGTGAGCACTGTGGCCTCTTCCCTCAGCATGATGGCACCATCGTCATAGAACCTCCTGGAATGGCAGAAGACCTTCAGCTTCCGCAGCTCACAAACACTGAATCAGCTTACGGTAGAGCCTGACTCTTTCACATTGCTGAAGTTTACACAGATGCTTGGCATTCTTGGGAATTAATGGTATTGACAGACAATGATTGATGCTTTCAGCTTATTAATACCCTTAATTCCCTGAAAAATTGACAGATATGTTTTCAAAAGTACAACTCTGCTTAGTGCTGAAATGTCACTCTAATCTAGTAAACACCAGAACTCACATAAAACAATGGAGTGTACATTTATATAATCAATATCAAGCATGTTTTCCATCCATCCTTCTCACCATCCACCCATCCATCCATCCTGTAACAGCTTATACAATGCAGCATAACTGATACTTGAGCCTATACCAGGAAACACAAACCACAATGCAGGCTACCAATCCATCACAGAGCACACATTCCCTCACTATGACGTGAATTGGCATACCTGCATATCTTTGGAGTAGTTTCTCACTTATTACGCAAAAGTATTTTGGGACATTTTAGATGTACATTATCTCTACTGGATCGTTACAGTGAGTAAAACTTGTTTAATCCAAAAAATGTCTAAAACTGACTAGATGGTTTGGGTATGCAGATGTTTTATTCTTCATTCAAAACACTTATACAATGACAAATTCTGAAAAATGCCCAGCTAAACTTGAGCTACATTTTTTATGATAAAACATCATTGATTAAACATATAAATTACGCAAAATTCTACAGCTAAATAGTATTTTACAACTGTCCCCATGTTTTTAAACAATCCTGTCATGTTTACATAAAACACTACATAAAAAGTATGCTATACGCCTTTGACTGAGTGGATTTGGTGAGTTTTGTCCTTGAATTGTATTATGTACAGCTTGTTTCTGTATGTTTTTTTAGAAGGATGAGCTAAAGCAGGGTTCCCCACTTCCGGTTCTGTTCTGGAAGGCCAGTATGCAGCACAGCTTGCAGATTTCCCTGCTCAAACACCTTAATCAGCTAATCAGCAGGTTTACTAGGTATGTCTGAGCAGGGAGATCTGCAAACTGTGCTGCAGACTGGCGCTCCAGGGCTGGAATAGGGGAAACATTAGCTAAAGGGTTATGCCCTCTCACACTAAAATATCCTAAAAATGAGTGAAATTGTTCTAAATCCAAAATGTCTGAAAAAGTTAGTGAAATGCCTTGCATGCTCACAGTTTTAGTACAAGCATGCTAACAGGCTAAGTCAGGCCCTGTCACATCAGACTCCGTCACAGCCCCGTGTGGTAGGGCCTTACAAATGAATGGCATTGTTTCTATATTGCATGTAATATGTATTTAACACGTACCATAGTAAAACACTATTTGAATATATAGGCGTGACACTGTAAATCGTTTTATGCTCATATAGACAAACATTTTGATTTGGGTTCCTCTTTTACCTAGTCCAATGTAGCACTGCTTTTGAGGTTGCACTTTTTATTTTTATATTTGGATTCATATATAGTTTTACAGTAATGCGCCGCATAATGACATTTCAGTCAACGAGGGACATCACATGTTTGTGGTGATGCTAGTATAACAAACCTACTGTGCTGCCAGCTGTACAAAGTGCAGCACATACAGCTCTCTACAGTACATAATACTTGATGATAATAATAAACAACTATGTTACTGGTTTATGAATTTACTAAAAAGTACATTTTATCGTTATTTTAGAGTATAGTCGTTCAACTTTTCCCCATCAATAAGTGATGCATATACGCATGTGTGACCCATATATGAGCTTTGAGTATTAATCATTGTAATTTTTTCAATGAATTGTTAAATCACTTGTTAAATTGTATATCTACGTGTTTGTTATATTGAAATATTGTGAAATTAGTTTACTGAATTAAAAAAAGGTTTGGCCTATATCAGACGTCAGTCATACTCTAATACTCTTATTATATGTCCTTGGCTGAACTTTACCATATCAGTCTATTAAGTAAACATTAAAACCACAAGAATAATTTAAAATATGAATGCTTACTAAAATTAGAGAGCACAAAACATAACTTTTCCTGCATCAACAAAATCCAAAGATCACACCATGGTCAGTCCTGTCATGCCATAGTCAGTCCTGTCACAACACTGTCAGTCCTGTCAAAAATCTCTAATGTATGGGGCATGTTATTTGTAAGAAAGAAATTCATTATGATATATACAAATTTGTCTGTGACAGGGCCTGGCATTTTAGGGGTGAAATGCATATAAAATGTACTTTATTCAAGAATAAAAACTAGCTGAGATGGCATGATATGTGTTTCTCATAGTCTAACATGTCCTCCATATGATTCAATGTTCAGATTCAAGAATAAGATCTTTTTGCCCCAGGATTTGTAGAAGTGGAAATGTACGCTTCTGGCATAATGTCCCTTTTAATGAGGAATGATCTTAATATGATAAAAGTAGAAAAATTACTGGTCACAGTATTCACAAATGGAACTTGACAGCATGTGCATGTTCCATTGCTAATAAGAACACATTTTAATAAATATATTATTAGTATCTATGCTGTTCTAATTAATTGCATTGCTTTGACTTCTCATTTTCAGAAGTGTTAAAAGCAATCTGAAAATGCTAACAAATGTACTGTATTGCTGTTCCAGAAAATTCAGATTTGAATCGGAAACAAAATTCACTGACTAGTCAATTTCAGTACACATCTATATCTGGATAAATGATATTTCAACTGTGCAGCATCTGCACAGAGTTACTACAAAACGTGACATGTTATTTTTTAGCAGAGAGCTGACATTCAGTGGTGCAGCACTGACCTCGTCGTCCGTGTGTCCCTCAGGGCAGTCGCAATGTACTCAGACAGACGCTTCTCCATCAAAGCCACTCGAAGCCAGGCCCGTCCCTGTGTGGGAAAGGCAGCCGGTCAGCCCAGGATTACAGTGTACTCTCTCCTGTTGGGGAGCAATTTGTTGTCTACTCTATTCTACATACAGTATCATTATCTTCCCTTTTCCAAGGGGCTTGTGCTTTTTGGTTTTAGTAAATTGACAGTCATTTATCTCTAATACTGTCCTGGGTGACCTTCCCTCTTCGGTCACCCTTGATCAAAGCTCAATTCTCGCAGCTGAATTTGGCCCAAAGCTCGATTCTTAATTAACTGGTTTATATAGTCATATGTACAGGATAGATCATTAGTCTTGAACTTTAGATGCCAAGATACCTCAGGAAGTCATATGCTAATGCTGGCCAGACACTGTGTTTGTTTAGTCAACAAAGCACCATAGTTACTGCAGCGAGACTTAAAACAGCTGCATTATTTCCTGGATCTGGCCGCTGCTGTGCAGGTGAGAACAGACAGTATGTAGATGACCCCCGTCTCTTGCCTTGGCGAGTGAGGTGTTGATGTTCTCCATGTTCTCTATGCTGCTGATGCAGTTGTTCTGCACCTTGCTACAGGCAACGCGGATGAAATCCCAGAAACTGCGCTGTCCGTCATAACTGAACCAGCTCCCAGGACCTGTATGAACAACCGGAAGCCCACAACTGTGCGCTTCTTATTCCAAACACTAATTTTAGTAGCACAATATTAATACTAGGAATGTTTTTGATCTCAGGGGAAATTCATTTGCATACAGCAGGAATATAAAGTACAAAGATGAACATGCAATTTAAATAGTAAAAATGACATAGAAAATTACATATAAATCATCTTCAGTTCTCAACAGCATATAAATAACCGCAAACTTTCTTAAACATGACCTCTCTTCAGATATTTCTATTTTAAAAACATCGATGTGTTCATTTCCAATAGTGCATATGTTTATGTTTATTAATATTTGCCAACCTGGTCAATCTTTTAACAAATGTATGAGACATGCATTCAAAAATGTACACATCATTGAATATTGCCTTATTTGATATACTCATGTATATTGCAATAGACCTCAAAATGATATCACAGTGAGGCAAGTCCTTATTGGTCAATACTGGATCGTTGTTTTGTTTTCATGGCATTTGCATTTACAGAGATATGTATAGTGAACTACAGAAACCATTCCAGAGAATGCCTCTTATAGGTCGCCCAGGAAACTCGGGCACATGCGAAGAGATGCCAGGATGGCAGAAAGAGCAGCAGGTTGTGTGTTTTTCTTCCTGGAAGCACATACACCCAATGGCTGCTCTTGCACACAAAGGCGCAGGCCGGCCTCCTCTGTGCCTGGCCATGCACACACTGATTGCTGGCGGACTGCTTGCCTTTCGGCTTCTGCTTGGTGACCCTCCATCCCGTCAGCCATGAAAAGCAGGCCTGCAGCCCAGCACAGTGGAAAGGATGCCTATACAGACACAGAAGCTAATCTCCCTTTCAATGATGGCCGTGGGATAGGACACTGGGAGTAATACCACCTCTTTACCTGTCGTGTTACCCTTGAAGCAGTGGCTGAGGATGTGCTCTAGAATGGCTGCAAAATTGATGAATTCCTCGGAGGAATCGTCAATGGGCTCAGCTGTGTACTTCTCCAGCAGAGTCTTCACAGAAAACCTGCCCAGACCAACATCACAGTTACAGACAGCAAAACCTTCATCATCATCAAGGGCATAACAGCTGCTGGGGGTCAAACTAGCACAGAACAACAGGCTGATAACAACATCCACACAGGACATGGTGTCATTATGATAGTGATGCCAACAAAGAGAAAATGTCTAATCTGCTTAAATAATAATAACATTCCCGATACAACTTCACTCACAAAAACAGAGCACAGGCATTCCTGCTTTCATTACAAAATATTAAATCAGCACACAATGTTACAGGTGAAAGAAATGGCCCAGAACAGAATTTCAGTTCAATATTTAATTATGTATATTCTATATATTATTTTGATGCAAACCGATAACAGAGAAAGCAGCACAATCATTTAGCAGACCCAAGTGTGCCTTTAATACGCTTTAGTTAGGAAAGTCTTGAAATGCATAAATTAATACACATAAAAGCACTTCCCTGACTCATATTTAAGCCACATTACTAAGTCTATTTATGATTTAAGGTGATTACTGTGAGACATGGTCTTCAGAAATATAAGGTGTATATATGAGAAAAGTCAGGGGTGAAAAAATCTGAGAACTGAGTATTTGAGCTTGTAGTGTGGGAGTGTGAATGAAATCCCAGAATTCCCCCCTTTACACAAACAGCTTCCAAAAAAGGACTTAAAAACAATAATTAATGGTGTGAGGGAGTATAGCTGAGTGCCAGCTGCCGGGACAGGGCCTGCAGACACACACAGACCCGTGTTTGACAGCTTTCAGGGTCTACGCCTGTTATATCAGCGGCTAGTGAGCCCAGCCATCAAGACAAGTGATTTCACCACCAATTGTCTTGTGTCCAACAATGTCTCCTTGAACCTTGCCATCAAGTTCCCATGACAACAACACAATAGGCCCACTGTCCTCAGCGACCAAGAATATGCGCCGGACAATCCCCCGGTGTATTAATTAATACGGCACATGTTATCATTCAAAAGTCTTGCGACAAAAGAATGAGAATAATGCACTCATCTTTTTTTGAAAGAGGAAAGACCTTCCACTTTTATTATTCAAATATTAGTTTTTGACATGATAAATAGGACACACATGTACAAGCATTTTATATAAAAAATATACACTTCATATATAAATTATAAAGTTTTCATTTGTATTGAGATAATTTATTATGAGTTCACAATCAGCTGATGACAATGGATCCCTGGGGTACCAGGCTGGGTACCAGGCTATGTCCTTGCTAAAGGAGAAGGTTGTCGTCATAGCAACGACGTTCTTATTGACGCAAAAATGCATCCATACGGCAGCCCCACCATTAGGCCTGTGACCTTTTTCTTAAAAAAAAAAAGTAAAGGGATTGATGCGCCGGATGCTTTGGTGCACCTTTCCAAAACTCACCAGGGATACAATGTCCTTTTCTAAAAATGGATGGTGCGTGCGGAGGAAAAATCATTTCCAAACTGCTTATACGTAGATATGGCCCGCTATGTAGGCTACAGTCTCAGCATCTACAGTAGCAATTATTTAGATTTAGGAAAAAGAAAAACAACCATTTTGTATAAATGGAACCAGATCACATCGCGTCACCAAATCCCTTTCTGTTCTTTCTTTAACGCTAACCAAGACATACGCAGGCCTGTGTCTGTCAAACCAATAAATTAAGGGGTATAACGAGAAATAGCTTGAAAAATGTAGCTCCCCACAGTAATGCACTGTACATTATTTATGACTTGCTGCGCAATTAATTGTTATTAACCTATTTAGTAATAAGCAGACGTCTAGCAGGCGCTAAGGCCACGGTAACAATTACCTGCAGACCGTGATGAGGTTCTTGCGCTCCACGGCGACGTTTCGAGAAGATGCTTTTTTCGATGACAGACCCATAGCCATTGCTGACTGAAGACAGCTCGTTTCCATCCGGCACCAAGCCTCGCTGTATCCCCGGACCACGAAACGCCTTCCTTGTTAAGCCATGCAAAAGACAGCACAAATCAGATTTTTCACCGTGGCTCTGGTGGTAAAAAACATGAAGAGCGCTGAGTCTCCGGTACCGGCGTATCCAGCCTGGGGGGACGTGGAAGCAAGAGACTGATCCTTTATAAAACACTTGAAATCACCGTCTTGTTTTTTCTCGATCTGCCGAGGCATCCAAAGCCGTGGCCTTTTCCCTCCGAATAGTTAAATGAATATTAACGCCGAATAGAGGAGCGCTTCGCACAGCTCTCCGCGTCCTCCCTATTCCTGCGTCTTGCCCTCTTTCCCCAGTCTTTCCTCTCTCGGCTGCCGGTGATGTCATCGTCCCACACTGCGTACAGTGACAGGCTGGCAATGCACCGTCCGACCCACTACATTGATCCCCAAAATGCAACAAACCAAAATATGTAATCCATAATTTGGTTTAAAAATGCATATAATAATAAAATAACTATTTTTTTCCTCTTTATATTGCATTATTATAGGAGGTGTAGGAGGCTTGGGAAATATGACAGGTCTTAAAGCCCACTTCACGCAGTTGTGATGTTGAGTACTTTATATTGATCGCCTTGTGTTAACCCTGACTATCAGCATAACATCCCCTGAAATACTTGCATGATAGCAAAATAATAGCAATCATTGACTCCAGCTGTAAGAGGAAAAAAAACAAAGTTTCAATATTGCCAAAGAAAACAATTACACGCCAGGAACTTGTGGTACTTCCACAATGAAGCGAGACGTTCCCTTAAATTTAACAGCCAACAGAGTGATCTCACTTCTGTAAGTGCAAGCTTGACGGAAATACTGCCTGGAAGTCCACTACAAATAAGTAGGCTATTGTGAAAATGAAGCATGTGTCATTTCTCGAAGCGTGTTTTCCAGTTCTGATTCATGGGCGTAGGTCCGATAACTCGGGGCTATAGTCCCGGGTATTTTAAGCCTAGTATTTAGCCCCGATGCCAGTCTTCCTTCAAGAAAAAAAAGTCAAGCCGCAGGTAAACTTCACTTAGCCCCTGATCTTTTCAATAACTAGAAATAACATTGTCGGATTTATTACTGGTAAGCTACATACCAATGGCTTACCTCATCAAACTGCGTTTAGTGGAACGGCTTTATAAAGTGCTGAAGAAGGTCGCAATGCGTTTATATGGGTCATTTTGTGACTATTAATAGCTGAAAGTTTCAGTGTTTTCCACATCACCACATTAACATACAAGTTAGAGTAATTCATTTAAAACGTAAATTCAAATGAAATCCAATCTGAAAGAATGTACATGTGTATTAAAAGATTTTTTTTGCCCCTTTCACCCTATTAGGGCAACCAAAACACTGTTAAACTAAAACGGAGAGGAAGCAGAACAACGATGTTTCACAATTATGACTATCTCTTCACGATGGAGAAAACTATGAATTTGAAACACGTGAAACAATGAATAGGTGACTAACGAAAATAAAACACATTAAAATAGGCAACGAATCAAGGAATGTTATTGTGTCGTACGTACGCTAGTGTACAGTAAATGACCCTGAAAACTATACAAGCTATATAGTAGCTTTACAATGATAGGTCCAGGAATCTTTGGGGGATCCAAGGAAATGTTTAACTATAATAATTTACATATTAACTAACGTAAATGTGTAACATGGAGTGGATGTTTGGGGTGGGGTTCTAGTCTTTCAAGGAAAGCTTTGCATGAATCTAATGACATAACTTTAACTGTCGATTGTGTTGTGGGAACCACCTCCTTGTCCAGGAGGTATATGATGATCATGTGGACAGGTAGATTCTATAAACATAATTTCTGATTTTAGTTTCATAATTATTTGAGGCACTGTTGGGCTCAGTAACAGACACTGGCTAAGTCGCTTTCAAGTACAGTGCAACAGCAGTGCTGAGAGATTAAATTATGCCACCTCGTGGCACTTCCTGAGATTTTTCATGGCCTTTCACTGACCTCTGTTAAAATTATGCATATATGCTCCCACATTCTAAAGTCGTTGTAGCTGAAACAGTAAAGGTGATTGTAGGTCTCCTTTTTCAGGCTGAAAGCATATTTAATTTCTACTAATTTACAGAGAAATGTTTCTGGGTCTGTAGGGTCTGTGTGTGTTAAGTAGATTCTTGCATCCGTGCTCAGAAATCCCCACTGTTCACAGCCAGATTATTTGGGACTGCTTTAGAGCTACCTGGTTTTTGTGATGTAAAAAAAATGAGACCACAATAAAGTATTTCAAAACTTTTCCCACCTTTAATGTGATCTATAACTTGTACAATTCATTTGGGGAAAAAAATTAAGGGGAAAAATATATATAAAAAATGTATAATGAGCTGGTTGCACAAGTGTGCACACCTTTAAACTAATACTGTGTTGAAGTGCCTTTTCATTTTAATTACAGCATTCAGTCTTTTTGGATACACACCAGTCGTCAATTAGTGACTCTGAGTAACCCCAAACAAAGTTTAGCTGTCCTAGTAGGATTTTCCTGACATTTACTCAGTTGCATCCTTCAGCAAAAGCCATGATTACAAAGCATCAAAGGGATCTCATTGTTGAAAGGTATCAGTCAGGAAAAGGGTACAAAAAAATCCACAGCATTAGGTATACCATGAAAGTCTGAAAAAAATGGTATCATTGCATCCCTACTATCTTAAACCATCTGCAGTATGCAACTGGTGATATGCTACAGTAATACTCTGGGGGCTAATTTCGATTAAAACTGACAAATGCATAGTAACAATAATGTTCTTTTTTTTCTTAGATCAAACCAAAAAGGTCTTAAAAACACATATTTGCGAATTCGCGGTAACTGGGGGTTGGGTGGTGTTAATTGACAAATTCGAATATTTATCATCAGAAGCCATCGGAGACAGAAACAAAATATTCTTACTATGACCTGAGAAATTACACCGATACATATAGCGTTGTTTGGGATAAAAACGATATTGATCATAATAATTTTGTACTTCTAGATGTAAACCAGTGTATTGAATTCCATGTGCTAAAACATATTTATCTATAAAATTAGTTAACCTACCACTTACTGCCGCTAATCATTAGTGGCAACTTTGACAGCTCGCTTACACGCGAATCCATTCAAGCAAATTTCACGTAAACTAGTTATATTTACTGTACGTATAGCTACTCATGCAAATAATCATTTAACTTAACCAATGACCAGCAAGGTCAACGGATTTCACTATCGTAATTCATACTCTAATGTGAAGTTCTTTACAAAAAAATAGTGACAAAGACATATTTCAAGGTATTTTTTTGCATATCACGGACGTGACACTTACATGAGCACGTAGACTTTAAATACATGTGACTTCGCTTGAAGGACCTGAAAATACCCGTATTATTAGCTGAAGGGGTTAAAGATGTTTGTTATTGGTCCGCGAAAAACACTGCTATGTTATTGGTTGAAGACAAACCGGATGCTAAGAAAAAGGGTGGGAACATGACGAATCCTCAAACGTTATTGGTTGTTAAATTTTCAATTCGTCGCCCGTTCATGACGTGATACTTACTGTCGGATTTTAGTGACGAAACTCTGTGAAGTTGGAGGTTCCAAGGACTGCTAATAGTTGAATTTTTCTCTGGATAAAACATAGGTGATTAACTAATTGTAGAGAAGGGGGTGTAAAACGAAATACAACTCATTGTCTTTTGTAGCTTTCTACGATGGGATGTCACATACAGCCGCCTGTAATAAGTAGTAAGGCTATGTAGCAAGCTAAACTGTAAGACGCCACTTGGTGTTTCTCGGTGATTATCTCGCTTATACGCCGCGCTTCGAGTCAGTGTAATTTGACTCTGTAATTTCCTTCTTTTTATCTTCGTAGGTCGGTTGGCTACATTATTAAGCAATGAACTGGAACAAAGGTGGTCCAGGTGCTAAGAGGGGGTTTGGATTTGGAGGATTCAGCTTAGGGTCGGGAAAGAAGGAGGAGCCCCGCCTTTCGCGGCCCTCACACTCTTCATTTGGTGCCGCCGGCTCGACTGGAGGATACGGCAAAAACCAGCAGCTACCCGCCTTTTATAAGATCGGCACCAAAAGGTCCAATTTTGACGAGGAAAACGCGTAAGTGCCACATGTCGATACGACAAGGTTTAACCCCTGGGTTGCAGATTTAAATTAATCGCTTTAGGGTTGTTGTACTTTCTATGTAGGACAATTCAGATAAAACTGATTGTATCCTAAACTGCAATGGAGGAATACAAGATGTGGGGTTTCTCTCTTAGGTATTTTGAAGATGACGAGGAAGAGTCTGGCAATGTTGACCTGCCTTATATCCCTGCGGAGAACTCTCCAACACGAAAACAGTTTAATTCCCAGGACAGGGACTCTGACAGTGAGGAAGACCCACTAGATGCCTTCATGGCAGAAGTGGAGGTGATGGGGAAACTTCACTATTTCTGTTGCAACTTATATATGATGTCAATTAACATAAAAAGGATATCAGAACTTGTATAAGCCCTATGGGCTGTCTTGTTTTAAGATTCACTTGTCACTGCTTTTTGGAGTATAGTGAAACTTTTTTTCTGCACTGTTATTAATTGGTTCCATGGTTACTGGTTAATTTTTTTTTACATTGTTCAGTTTCATGTTGCCTCATAGGACCAAGCATCAAAAGACTTAAGAAAACTGGAAGACAAGGAAAAAGAGAAAAAGCCTGATAAGTAAGTTCTATTCTGCTTTTTCCTGATTATTTATGGGGATCTAGTTGTTAGTGATTATGCAGGTCTTTTAAAGGGCAAACATTCTTTAGGAAGGTTATAATACTATGGTAAATGTTTTTCTAAAGGTAGGTTAATGGTGTCTGCCATTTCTGGGTGACAAAGTTATTTTGGGTGAAGATGGTACAGCAGTGAGGTGCTTAGCCAAGTTTGGTGCCCCTCGCTGACTGTCCTCTGTGGTCTGCGGCTCCCTTGGCCAGCTGGAGAAACAATGACTTTGCAGGTGCAACAGTGTAGTTATAAGACAGGAAAAAGTGGAAAAATGAGTATTCCTTTAGGGTGCTGACGAGTGTATGGACGAGTTGCAGGGAAGTTTTTTTTTTCTCCGCTTTTTCTTCCAGGGGTATACGTGATGACATTGAAGAAGAAGATGATCAAGTGAGTGTGACTCGCGCCGTGCTCCTTTATCGCACAACTGCTCAGAGGCGATCCTCAGCCATCTTTGCTTCAGTCCCACCATCCCAGCCATGTGTCTCTATGAATGACTTTTTTTTTTAGGAGCTGCTCTGTCTTTAAATCTCTGATTGCAGGTTAATCCTTTGACACTCCCAGATTCATGTCAGTGGTTTTGATTGTTGGAGCATTTGTGACCCTTCAGACTAGATTGCCGTTATCTGTTTAAGTATCGATGCGTCTGTAGTATATATTCATGTTTTGTTAATTTAGCAGATGCTTTTGTCCAAAGTGATGTGCAAGACTGGACTAGAGTTAGGGTCAGCCAGCATTTCTGCCTCAGGATTAAGGACCTTGCTCAAGGTCCCAATGGTGTGATTACTCTGCCAGCTGTGAGATTTGCACCCAAAACCTTTGGGATAAGGGTGCAGATCCCCAACCGGCTTAGCTGTTGCCAACATGTTGCCGAATTCCCGTTGCAGTTCACTTTGGTGTTTTTGGGAAATATTTGACATTCTAATAAAATACACATCACACCTTCTTACCTAATCTATGGGTTGATGAAAATGTAGGCCGAGCTTAGTGGGATTGTTTACCTTGCAGTGTGACAACTGGCGATGTGGCAGGTCTGGTTGCGACGTTCTGTCACTGTGTTGCTGTGCCCCATGTAGGAAGCCTATTTCCGATACATGGCGGAGAACCCCACTGCCGGCTTGACCCAAGAAGAGGAGGAGGAAAACATAGATTATGACAGTGACGGCAATCCAATCCCTTCTACCACCAAGAAGATCATTATGCCCCTCCCACCCATTGACCACTCGGAGGTACTTGACTCTTCCTCTTCTTTGCTTTCTCAGGTGGAGTTCAATTGCTTTTATTGATATCAAGATTTTAATACAGAAAAAAACTGGTCTTTTTGGAGCTGTGGCTTAAGCTATGAAAATTGCTTCTTGAAATGGTATTGTGATTGAGCTTATATGGGAGCCACACTGGTTTATCTGATGAATCCGTGTGTAGGGGTGCTTTTCCATATAACCAGGTACTGTCTTTTTGGTACTTCAAGGTGTTGGTTTAAAAATCAGTTTAAAGTTTAACTTTTGCATGAACACTGCATGCGTTCTCCGAGACAACCATGATCATTTTCATCCTTGCTGTTTTAATCACTCCTAGACGGGTTTGTGAGAAATTTATGAACTCCCTTTTTGTTTTATAAATACGCCAATATTTATTAAACAAAATCACATCGTTATACGCCTGCTGTCCTAGTATAGTGGTAGTTGTGAGACAGAAATGTTAAAATTTTTGTCATACCATCCTTATATTTTTGTTGTATTTGTTGTTCTGACTAGATCGCAGTTAATTAAATTTATAATCGTTGTTTTCTGAGTTTGCAACTGTTTTCAAGGTGGAGTTTGTGTTGTCTCAGTGGCAGGCTATTTGCATAACCAATCAACAAAGAAAGCGTTTCACGTCCCACCCCAAAGTACCAAAGAAGTACTCCAGTTGGTTAGGTACTCTTGGTAATGGTACTCAAGCAGAAGTCAATGGAAAAGGAAAAGTACCAAAAGTACTTTGTGGTAGAAAACCGCGCTATGTCAGTAGGGACAATGCAAATGCAACTATATGAGGATGCTCACAGCGGAATCAACATTATTAGATGCTCATTCACCTAAATGGGCATGTTAAGGACTTAAAAAGTGTAATACTTCTTCCCAATCAAAATACATTAACTCTAGCTTTGAATCTCATGTGACATTTTAGTGCTACTATATTAGCTTCGGGAACAGCCCAAAGAAGGCATGTGGGTCCCCCCTCCAATGGACTCACCACTTGTAGGAGGGTCCAAAGGGGTCGGGTGCAGTGCGAGTTGGGCAGTGGCCAAAGGCGGGGACCTCAGCGGTCCTATCCTCGGCTGCAGAGGCTAGCTCTAGGGACATGGAATGTCATCTCTCTGGCAAGGAAGGAGCCTGAGCTGGTGTACGAGGTTGTGAGGTTCTGAGATATAGCTGGGCTTACCTTGACGCATGGCTTGGGCTCTGGAACCAGTCTCCTTGAGGGGGGTTGGACCCTCTTCCACTCTGGAGTTGCTCACGGGGAGAGGTGCAGAGCCGGGGTGGGCATATTTATTGCCCCCTCGCTGGGCACCTGTACATTGGGGTTTACTGCGGTGAATGAGAGAGTAGCCTCCCTTCGCCTTTGGGTGGGGGGACAGGTCCTGAGTGTTGTTTGCGCTTATGCGCCAAGCGACAGCTCAGAATACCCACCCTTTTTGGATTCCTTGGAAGTGGTGTTGGAGAGCGTTCCTCCTGGGGACTCTCTTGTTCTGCTGGGGGACTTCAATGCTCACATGGGCAATGACAGTGAGACCTGGAGTGGCGTGATTGGGAGGAAGCCCCCCCCGATCTGAAACCGAGCGGTGTTTTGTTGTTAGACTTCTGTGCTTGTCACGGATTGTCCATAATGAACACCATTTTCAAGCATAAGGGTGTCCATATGTGCACTTGGCACCAGGACACCCTAGGCTGCAGTTCGATGATCAACTTTGTGGTTGTGTCATCGGACTTGCGGCCGCATGTATTGGACACTCGGGTGAAGATAGGGGCGGAGCTGTCAACTGATCACTACCTGATGGTGGGTTGGCTCCGCTGGTGGGGGAGGAAGCCGGCCAGTCCTGACAGGCCCAAGCATGTAGTGAGGGTCTGCTGGGAACATCTGATGGAATCCCCTATCAGAAGGGGCTTCAACTTCCACCTCCGGCATCACTTCTCCCAGGTCCTGGGGGAGGCGGGGGACATTGAGTCCAAATGGGCCATGTTCCGTACCTCCATTCCGTGCCGACCGGAGCTGTGGCCGTAAGGTGGTCGGTGCCTGTCGCGGCGGCAATCCCCGAACCCGCTGGTGGACACCACTGGTGAGGGATGCCATCAAGCTGAAGGAGGAGTCCTATCGGGCCTTTTTAGCCTGTGGCACTCCTGGGGCAGCTGACAGGTACCGGCGGGCCAAGTTGAATGTGGCTTCGGTGGTCGCTGAGGCAAAAACTCAGGTGTGGGAGGAGTTTGGCGAGGCCATGTAGAATGATTTCCGGACGGCTTTGAGGAGATTCTGGTCCACCATCCGGCGGCTCAGGGCGGGAAAGCGGAGTGCATCAACACTGTTTATGGTGGGGATGGGGTGCTGCTGACCTCAACTCGGGCCATTTTGGGTCGGTGGAGGGAATACTTCGAAGATCTCAATCCCATTGACACGCCTTCCAACGAGGAAGCAGAGTCTGGGGGCTTGAGTCTGGGGTGGCAAGAGTGTCCAGCTGCAGACACCTGTAGAGTGGAGCTCCACCGGAAATACGTCACCTCCACAGGAAATACGTGATTTTAAGGGGCGTAAAGTGGAGCTCCACAGTAAACACGTGACCAAACTGTGTGTTACAGCGGAATTTCAGTTGTAAAATTCTCAAAAAGTATGTTTTTGTTCATTTATACGCTAGAGAAATAATATCTATCTATCTATCTATGGTCTGATCTAGTTTGTGGAATATATATATTGGTCGTAAGATGAGCAGTTATAAACATGCCATACATACGCAATTGTTATTATGTTACTTTCCATACACATTACTAATATATATATTGGTCTTGCCTTAACTGTTATAAACATATACTATTTACGATTGCTGGAACAGCGCAAATGCGTACGTATTTTATGTGCATTTGCACTGATATGACAAGAAATTATTGTGCATTTTAATCTGTATATGCTAATTCGTACTTCATTTGCGGTATATAGGTTGAAATGCACGGTATTTTCTTGTCATATCAGCGCAAATGCACATAAAATATGTACGCATTTACACTGTCACAGCAATCGATTGCCGCACGTATCGCTTTTAAAGGTGAATGCGTACTTGCGTACCAGTTATATGCAGCCCTGTATGTGTTGTATAAATGATGATCAACATGTAACAATTATATTCAATCAACTGCTAAATTTATTTAGACAGCAACAACAAACAGAATGAAATTTAAAAAAAAATCAATCAACACACTCATGTGCCAGTAATTTACTCTTTCTCATAACAGACAGCATTAACCCGGAGGCCCCGCTGGTCAACACAGGCATGTAAAAATAATTCCATGTCACGTGTTTCCTGTGGAGCTCCACTTTACGCCCCTTAAAATCACGTATTTCCTGTGGAGGTGACGTATTTCCGGTGGAGCTCCACTCTACAGGCGTCTGCAGCTGGACCCTTCTCTGGGGTGGAGGTCGCTGAAGTGGTTAAAAAGCTCCTCCGTGGCCAGGCCCTGGGGGTGAATGAGATCCATCTGGAGTTCCTTAAGGCTCTGAATGCTGTGGGGATGTCCTGGTTAACACGCATCTGTAGCATCGTGTGCACATCGGGGGCAGTGCCTCTGGACTGGCAGGCCGGGTTGGCGGTCCCGCTCTTTAAGAAGGGGGACAGGAGGGTGCGCTCCAACTATAGGGGGATCACACTCCTCAGCCTCCCTGCTAAGGTCTAGTCGGGGGTTCTGGAGTGGAGGGTCCGTCGGATTGTCGAACCTTGTATTCAGGAGGAGCAGTGTGGTTTTCGCCCTGGCCGTGGAACAGGGGACCAGCTCTATACTCTCAGCAGGGTCTTGGAGGGTTCATGGGAGTTTGCCCAACCAGTCTACATGTGTTTTGTGGACTTGGAGAAGGCATTCGACCGTGTCCCTCGGGGAGTGCTCCGGGAGTAAGGGGTTCCGGGCTACCTTATATGGGCTGTTCAGTCCTTGTATGACCGGTGTCAGAGCTTGGTCCACATGGTCGGTTGCAAGTCGGATTCATTTCCAGTGAGGGTTGGACTCCGCCAGGGCTGCCCTTTGTCACTAATTCTGTTCATAGCTTTTATGGACAGATTTTCTAGGCACAGCCAGAGCGTTGAGGGTGTCCGGTTTGGTGACCTCAGGATTAGGTCTCTGCTTTTTGCAGATGATGCGGTTCTGTTAGCTTCATCAGACCGTGACCTTCAGCTCTCACTGGAACAGTTTGCAGCAGAGTGTAAAGCGGCTGGGATGAAAATCAGCACCTCCAAATCTGAGACCATGGTCCTCAGCCAGAAAAGGGTGGAGTGCTCTCTCCAGGTCGGGGAGGAGGTCCTTCCTCAAGTGGAGGAGTTTAAGCATCTCAGGGTCTTATTCACGAGTGAGGGAAGGATGGAGCGGGAGATCGACAGGCGGATCGGTGCGGCGTCAGCAGTGATGCGGGCACTGCATCGGTCTGTCATGGTGAAGAAGGAGCTGAGCCAAAAGGCAAAGCTCTCAATTTACCAGTCGATCTACGTTCCTACCCTCACCTATGGTCACGAGCTGTGGGTAGTGACCGAAAGAACGAGTTTCCTCCACAGGGTGGCTGGGCTTTCCCTTAGAGATAGGGTAAGGAGCTCGGTCATTCGGGAGGGACTCAAAGTAGAGCCGCTGCTCCTCCGCATTGAGAGCCAGTTGAGGTGGCTCGGGCATCTGCTTAGGATGCCTCCTGGACACCTCCCTGGTGAGGTGTTCTGGGCATGTGCCACTGGGAGGAGGCCCCGGGGAAGACCCAGGACACGCTGGAGGGACTATGTCTCTCGGCTGGCCTGGGAATGCCTCGGGATTCCCCTGGAGGAGCTGGACGAAGTGGCCGGGGAGAGGGCCACTGCTGCACCTGTGACTCGACCTCAGATAAGCGGTAGATAATGGATGGATGGATGGATGGATAGCTGTGACTTGCCAGATTTTTTTTTCTCAGCACTGTGTATAAACCATCATTGATCTGTGAATGACTTGTCTTTGACAACAAACTTGTCCCATTTGGCTTGTTTTTATAGTCATGTCTCCATATCAGGGTTAACGAAAAATAAGTGTGAGTGAACATTTTCATAAACTGAAATAAAATAACCTAGAACACTACAACTAAATGAAAACTATAAATATTGATTCAGAATCTAACAAATGTGAAATACTTTCCATTATAATTTTGTAATGCTGTTCAGCTAAAGTAATGATTTGCTTTATGGAATGCCCAGAACGTGTCTTGCCCATTTTGAGTACATAACATACACTGTGTATTCATGTAGGATTCTCTAAAGATCAGACACCTAAACTAGCTCTACAATTTTCAGTCTATCTCTAGAAATAAAATTATCAAAATTTAAACTGAAATGTGTAAAAACCAAATAAAAAAATACATTTTAAAAAATAATAAAACCACGCTCAAACCTAACACCGAACTGAATTTCCAAATGATAATTTGGAAAACCGTAATGATAGTGCTCCATATTCCTTTTAGATCGACTACCCACCCTTTGAGAAGAACTTCTACAATGAGCATGAGGAGCTGAGCACCTTAACGGGCATCCAGGTGGTGGAGCTAAGGCAAAAGCTGAACTTGCGGGTAGGTGTCGCTCAGGAGTGAGAGACCTCCATCTCTCTGCAGGCTGCAGTTAGATGATAGAAATGCCGCCACTGCCGCCTCCTCCCTTGGGGGTGAAACCCTGTTATCCCTTGTTGTGATCATGTGACTTCCGTGTGCTATCAGGTGTCTGGAGCTGCCCCCCCGAAGCCCGGCACCAGCTTTGCTCACTTTGGCTTTGACGAACAGCTGATGCACCAGATCCGCAAATCGGAGTACACGCAGCCGACGCCCATCCAGTGCCAGGTATTCCGGGCTCCATCTGGCAGTGCCCTCTGCTTCCTCCCATGCTGTGCACCCATGATGCTTCGAACAGATGTCGTGACTTTCGTCGCTCTCCCACAGGGGGTGCCCATTGCCCTGAGTGGCCGTGACATGATTGGCATCGCCAAGACAGGCAGCGGGAAGACGGCCGCCTTCATCTGGCCCATGCTAGTGCATATCATGGACCAGAAAGAGTTGCAGTCTGGAGAGGGCCCCATCGCCATCATTGTGTGCCCCACCAGGGAGCTTTGTCAGCAGGTCAGGCACAGGGCATGGCAGTATCAATGGGGAGCGTGGCAGGGAGAGGGATGGTGATGGCTAGCAGGACAGGTGCAGCTGGAAGCCTGATTGTGTTCTATTAATTCCTTACCTCATTTATAAAACTGCTCATTCCAGAAATGAGCCACTAATCCTAAACTAAGTTACAACAGATCGAGCTTACCTAGTCAATTTGAATTCTCATAACTGTGTTTTGTCTGTCCTGTTCTGGGGGCATATTACAGAAACTTCCTAACTTTTATATCCTGTCTTAACTGTTTGGTAACCATGGTAACTACAGTTGGCACCTGATTTAGGAAAAAAGCCATTATAGATGAACAGTTCCTAAGTTATTGTTCTCAAGACAGGCAATTTGTGTTACACAACTTTCCTAACTTCCCAAAATCTTTAAACTCTCCTAACATTAGGATAACTACGCTGCCCCGATCTTGACATAACGATAAAAGTTATATATATTGTGGACACGTTCTACTATCTCATTCCCTCATTTTAGTTAAATCATGGCCACATGTTACTAATTCATTCCCATGATATATATCATTTTTATCATTATGTCATGAGAGGAGTTCTATACATTTTGTTGATTTAAATAAACAGCACCCATATGGATTAAATGAGTTTAGCCATAGCTGACACTGTGTGTCGATCTGTAAAAGTTATGGCAGCTTAACTGTTATCCTAAAATTAGGAGAGTTTGCGATATTTCGAAGTTAGAATGTGATACGGAGTAGGGGTGTAACAATACATCGATTTGTATCGATATATCGATTCAACAGAAAACGATCCGATGCATCGATGTGACCGCATAAATATCGATACATGCGTTTTTATTTTCTCGCCTGTTCCAGTATTGTTTTCATGATGCACTCAGACGTATACATGGTCTACGCCCAATACGTCGATCGCGACCTACTGGTCAATTGCAAAGGTAGTGTGGGTAGATCGTATGGCATAAAAAATAGAGGATGGATGATGCGTTTGATCACACCAGCTGCTGCAAGCTACCGAGTCCCCTAGTTAGCCTCCAATTTATTTCTACTAAACTTAAGAAAGGGTATAAAAATGAATGGGGGAGCTGGACCAAGTAAGAAGCCAAAAACCTGCCACTTCCATACGGAATGGGAGGAGGACTGTTTTATTTCACCATGTCATATTCGAAGTGCGTTTGACTCATCTGTCAGTCTACCGTTGCTATTCTGAAGATGGGAAATGTGGAGCGGCATTTTTGGACTGTTCATCAAAACTATGACATTAACTTCCCTCTGAAAAGTGAGCTGAGAAAGAGAAAGGTGAAGGAACTAAAATCCCAGTTCAATTCAAAAATACTTTATTCATCCCAAAGGGAAATTAATAATAATAATAATAATTATTATTAATAAAGAATACTCAATATTTTATACATAAATATATGTTTTGCATTTTTATAGTAGGTAGATCATTTTGACTTGGTTATTTATAAGTAGCTCGCAAGCTAGCGTTCCTTCAGAGCGTGTGTTTAGTATGGCAGGTGACATAGGATGCTATGCTCAGAGCACACAATCTCCTGAACATTTTGACCATTTAATTTTTCTTTAAAAAAAAAAAAAAAAAACCTCTCAATGAAGAATACTGACATACATGTTTCACTGCAGAAGTCAGTCTGTTGATCTTCCTCATTCAACATGTCTGTCCATGCAATGTTTTTTATTTGATTATATTGCACTTTATATTTCTTGTAATTGTTGTATCCCAGCGTAGGGCAAGCGAGCAGGGAATGTGGAATCAGGATCAGGCAGATGGAAATCCAACTAACGGGGGGGGGGGGTTATTGCAAGCACAGCACATAACATAGGGGGAAACTTCAATGACAGATCTGGGCGACAGACTCTGATGTGGACTTAAATACACAGGACTGGACGAAACAATAAGAAACAGCTGGGAACAATCGGGATTGTACGCAAAGTTAATGAGGGGCGTAGCACACGAGGGTCATATGAGCAGGTCATGACGGTTATGGACATACTTTTATACTTTTTGTTACACTTTTGTATTTATCTGGAGAAGACTTGATTCAAAATAAAAATTATTCACCATGTTAATCTACATCCATCCAAAGTTTTTATTTTTACCTTATTGCACTTTATTTTGCTTGATTTATGGGACTTAATATGATAAAATGCTAATTATATTTGCCTTTTTTAATTCATTGAAATGTGAAGGATTGTGTGAAATTTTCATCATTTCCACTACTATCCCTAGTATCGAAATGAATCGTATCGTGGGATTATCTGAGGTATCAAAAAAAATCGAACCGTTGGCTTAAGGAATCGATATTGTATCGTATCACAAGGAAAGCTGTGATTTACACCCCTAATACGGAGTGCCTGTGTTCTGGCAGAAGCAGCTCTGTTGTCTCAGTGACCTGAATGTTTCCATGACATGCCGTGTTGCTCCAGATACACGCAGAATGCAAGCGCTTCGGGAAGGCCTACAATCTTCGCTCAGTGGCTGTGTACGGCGGCGGCAGCATGTGGGAACAGGCCAAAGCACTGCAGGAAGGCGCCGAGATTGTGGTCTGCACCCCAGTGAGTCTCTGTATTTATTTATTTATTTATTTAAAAAACACTCCATGTGCTGGGTCAAAAGCCCTATGCCCCATCTTGAATGTACATGCATCGACAGGGACGCCTGATCGACCACGTGAAGAAGAAGGCGACATCCCTGCAGAGGGTGACCTACCTGGTCTTTGATGAGGCAGACCGCATGTTTGACATGGGCTTCGGTAAGGGCACCCCCTGCCTGAACCAGCAGGTATCGATAGGGATTGCAGAGCCTGATGCAGCTGGAAAAGCTATTTGGAAGAGGACAGTGGCTCTGTAAATAAAACTGTGGCCTCATAACTCCTCCAAGGCGGAGGCTTTGAGTTACGTCCTGCCTGGCTCTGTGTATGTGCAGCTTTGAGTCTCCCTATGTTACCCTAGCCCCTTCCCATTGTCCAAAGATATACAGATTATGTTAATTGGTGGCTCAGTTGTCCAATTTGTGTGTACGGTAAATTCTCGTTATAGCGGACTCACTTATAATGGAATATCGTCTATAACAGACGAGGTCCGCTGGTCCCGGCCGTGCACTTTTAAGAACATGCAGAAAAAGCATCGGATATAGCAGACTCGAATATAACGGAATTTTGCTTATAACGGACAAACAATTTGGTCCCTAGGGCCGCTTTTAGCTGTAGTTTTGTTTCGACTATAACGGACATGCACGTCAGTAGTTGTTTTCAAAATGGCTGAGAAGTCTGCTACGAAGCCTCGTTAGATTTAAAACACGAAATCGTTCTTTTAATTGAAACAAAAAAGAGAAAACAAGCGGATATTGTACGTGACTATGGTATAGCTAAATCTATGGTCAGTGACATAGTAACCCTGAGAAGTACAAGACTTCTTTCCAGTTTGCAGATGGCAGAAAGAAAATGCGCAAATCCACCTATGATGATGTTGAAGCAGACATTCTGATGAATTTCTTTGGAAAAGTTGATGCATATATCGCTAAAACCTCTGAAAGAAATGCAGCCCAGAAGAAAATGACAGATTTTTCTTCCCAGTAATTTGGCTACAGTTCGACATAATGCTTTAGAACATCTTTTAGTGTAGGATATTATAATGCCTCTTGTCATTTGCTATGCATTCATTCGCTACAGTAGTAAGAAAAGATATGTGTGGTTGTGACATAAAATGAGTTTTGTTTTGAGTTGCAATAGGTGAAATACAGTAAATTAAAGTTGGATTACTACCTTTCTGGGGTGTGGCATGAGTAAATAGTGTCCTGTAGTTGTGTTCTGGGCAACTCTGGATATAACAGACTTTGGATATAACGGATTGTTTACCAGGTCCCTTGAAGTCCGTTATAACTGGATTTTACTGTATTACCCAGCAATGAACTGGCATCCCATCCAGGGTGCTCCTTGCCTAATGCCTTGTCCAGGTTCACCAAACAATGGACAGATGGAAGGGGACATGTATGTGTAGTGTATGCCTGTAATGTGTACAGTGCATGGCTCACCGAGTTAGGATGACGTGCCTGTGATCAGAAGGTTACTGGTTCAGATGCCTGGGTTGGTGGCTGATTTGATCTCACAGCTGGGTCTTTGAGCAAGGCCCTCAACACCAATTTCTTTTGTCCCAAACTATACATCTCTCTGAATAAATGCTAAAATCTAATATTGATCATGTTCTCATGTGTTTCAGAGTATCAGGTGAGGTCCATTGCAAGTCACGTGCGCCCCGACAGACAGAGTAAGTGTCCTCATCCTCAGTCTGTGCACTTGCAAGTTGTCCATCGTCACCCTCTTGTGACTTGCATGCCGCCGCCTCTCCCCACAGCCCTTCTCTTCAGTGCCACCTTCCGGAAAAAGATCGAGAGGTTGGCGCGGGACATACTGGTGGACCCTATCCGTGTGGTGCAGGGTGACATTGGCGAGGTAGGCTGTCTGTCTCAGACACAGTGCTAGTCAACCCATTGCATTAGTTAATATCCAGTCATGTTTATAGCGTGGAGTAGATGCTGAAATGAATTTCCCACAAGTCAGTTGGACACTTTTTGCATAAATTTAGGTCACACGGAAATGATTTGAGATTCTAGAAGCTACCATTTCACATAACCTTGTGCTAACCACTCCGGTCCTTGGCAGGCCAACGAGGATGTGACCCAGCTGGTAGAGGTTATGCCCAGCGGCCTGGACAAGTGGGGCTGGCTGACAAGGCGCCTGGTGGAGTTCACCTCCTCCGGATCTGTGCTCATCTTCGTCACCAAGAAAGCCAATTGTGAGGAGCTGGCCACCAACCTGAGCCAGGAGGGCTACAGCCTGGGCCTGCTGCATGGAGACATGGACCAGAGCGAGAGGAACAAGGTCATCGCTGATTTTAAGAAGAAGAGTCTGCCCGTGCTGGTGGCCACAGATGTTGCGGGTAAGCAGGGGTTGAAATAGGACCTCTCTGTCTTGAGCTGTTATGGGGTGTCTGAATGGATTGGTCCATCAGTGAAGGCTCTGGAGCCCTAGTGTTTGTATTGATTTCCAGGTTTCACTTCTAGTTAGTTCTGCTTATTTATGCTATTTGACTCATAAGTGTATGTCCTATAGCCCGTGGCTTGGACATCCCATCCATCCGCACCGTTGTCAATTACGACGTGGCTCGTGACATCGACACACACACTCACCGAATCGGCCGCACGGGTCGTGCAGGGGAGAAAGGAGTGGCCTACACCCTGCTTACCCACAAGGATACTTCCTTTGCTGGCGACCTTGTGCGCAATCTCGAAGGAGCCAATCAGAATGTTTCCAAAGAACTCATGGATCTTGCGATGCAGGTAAATGGGCAAAAGCCATGTCCCAGTCACTGCTGCCAATCACTGCCTGCTTTAACCCAGTCAGAGCCAATGAGAAATGCAGTTGGATGATGATCCCACCCACTGCCATGACATGTTAATGGTATTACTTTTATTTCAATACCACAGCTCTAGGCTCCTGACTCCTGTCCTCTTACATCTGTATCCATGCAGAATCCCTGGTTCAGGAAGTCCCGCTTTAAGGGAGGCAAGGGGAAAAAGCTGAACATTGGCGGAGGTGGCCTGGGCTACAGGGAGAGGCCCGGCCTGGGGGCCGACACATCGGTGAACCCCTTTGTTTTGCCATATGAAAAACCGGAGGCTCTCTGATTTTGGGGCTGCTTTAGCACCCTGGCGGTCCTGCAACCTGTAATTAATCCGTGTCTGTCGTCCCACAGGAGCGTGGGGTCGCAGCCAGTGGCTCCTCCCTCTGTAACTACGAGACCTACAAACCATCCTCGGGGGCCATGGGGGACCGCATGTCGGCACTGAAACAGGCCTTTCAGGTACCTGGGTCGGCAGCCAGTGGAGAGCTACCCTAATCACGTGTGTATGTGCCATCTTTCCTCTGAATGGGTAAACCCTATTCCTGTCTGTGCTATTTTCTTTTCAGGCTCAGTATAAGAATCATTTTGTGGCCGCATCCGGTTTGCCACCCAAGCTGACTAACACCAACTCCAGCAGCTCATCAGGCTGGACTAGTGCCGGCAGCCTGAGCTCCGTGCCCACAGAGGAACCCCAGGACAGCGGCCGGTCCCGGGGAGGCTCCTCCTCTCAGGGCATGGGACCTCCCCCACCGTCCCACAGCTTGGGCACGAAGATGCTGGGCTTCACCAGCGGTGGCTCCCTGAGCTCCCTGTCAGAAAGCCGGTCTGAGCGCAGTGAGCGGCACGGCGGGGATCGCTATGGAGATCGATATGGTGATCAAGATCGCTACAGTGGTGGGCGCCATGGGGACAGTAGTAACGGACAGGGGAGGGCCGACAGGAATGGGGGGGACAAACCGGGGGATGACGGCAGAGGTGAGAAGGCTGAAAGAAGCTTCTCCATCACGGATCCTCCGAAGCGCAAGAAGAGTCGCTGGGACAACTGAAGCATTGGTGTATCAGCTCCCGTAAAATGAGGCAGATCCTTAGGAGGCCAGCCAGCCTGCGTATTCTTCTGTTCTTTTTTGTTTAGCGGCCAAACGAAGCAGCATGTTCCCACATGGTGATGGTCAGGGTGGTCCCCAGAAAGCGCCTAGGGAAAACACCCCCACCCAGCTTATTTCAGCTCCACACAGGTAACTGATGTCAGCCCGGGGTGTGGACACATCAGAAGTGACTATTTGTTTTTCAAGCCTGCTTGTTTCCGTGAATGTTGTTGCCCTTAGCGTGGGAGATGGGAGGCTTCCAGCTGTTTCGTAACCCTTTTTTTTGTGCTCATTTTACTCCAAATGGGATCTGAAAGTGGAAGTGTATAGTAGTGGGTTTGTGAATGTGAACAGACCATGGCATTTCTCTGTAAATGTGATGCCTGTTTCTGCAGCTCTGATGCATTTTCTGCTGAGGGTAGTGACGGGGGGTGACTATGTCACAATTTCTCCAGTTTTGTATAAGGTGACTAATGAAGTCTTTGACTCTCCATTCTTCTGTGTACAGGCTTTCAGTATGTGTTTAAAGGTTATTAGCTCTTTCCTCATGTTGTGAGATTAGTGCTTAATTGAACGTGGTTTCAAACAAAGCTTGTTTTCTTATTTTTTAGCCATTAGTTGCGTCTGTTTATTGGTCTATGATGGATAAGACCAAAGGTCAGCTGTTTTAATTGGCATCAAATCAGACGATGTAAAACAGAGCATTACTTTGGGTATGTGCTGGCTTGTAATTTTTTTTTCCTCCCACTCTCACCTCTTTTCTGTTGTAGGTAACAAATACTGTTTTTCAAAAAAAAAAAAAAAACATTTTGCTGTTCATTGTCATTTGGTTTTTAAATAAACAGAGTGGTTTTGAAGACCTGCTCTGCTCTGTTCTATCGTTTGTGCTCGAGCCGCCTCCTAGGGTTGGCTTTCACATATTGACGCATGCCAGCTTTGCGAGCATCTTACCACACTGTGGGATCTGGTTTCTCGTGCCGCTGCTATCTGTCGGAGGGCCACACTCCCCATAGCTGGATCTGCAGTTTTGCTGTGAAATTCCAGCCATGTCTGAGAGCTCCTGGGAGAAATTTTTTATTTGTTTTTTTTATTTTACAAAGCAAAGCTGAGGGCCCACAGTGCGCCAAACGACAGACCCTACATACCTTGTAAATTTATTTTATGGACTTATTTCTGCTTGTGGTTGTGGGTAGAGTTCTCACCATTGGGCACCTGAGCAAAGCCCTTAGCCCTGAATATAATAATTATAATAATTAATATAATACATGACATTTATACTAGGGGTGTAAATCACACCTTTCCTCGCGATACGATACAATATCGATTCCTTAAGCCAACGGTTCGATTTTTTTTTTTGATATCTCAGAAATCCCCACGATATGATACGATGCGATTTGATTCAATACTGGGGATTGTAGTCAAAATGATGAAATTTCACCCAATCCTTTACATTTAAATGAAATGCTCCACATTTCCCTTCTTTGGAATAGCAATGGTAGACTGACAGATGAGGCAAATGAACTTCAAATATGACATGGTGGGAAAAAACAGTCCTCCTCCCATTCCGTATTTTTTTTATGCCATACATTCTACCCACACTACCTATGCAATCGACCAGTAGATTGCGATAGACGTATTGGGCTTAGACCATGTATACGTCGGAGTGGATCATGAAAACAATACTGGAACAGGCGAGAAAAAAAATGCATGTATCGATATTTATCCGGTCACATCGATGCATCAGATCGTTTGCCATGGAATCGATATATCAATACAAATCGATGTATTGTTACACCCCTAATTTATACAGCAGTTTTCTAAACCCAAGGACCCTAACAATATAAAAAAGTAGAGAGAACTATAAAGTCTGGGAGAACAGAAAGGATTTAAAATGAGGTATGAAGACAGACCGAGAGAGAGGAAGAATCGCATATCAAAGTGAAGGGAATTACACAGATGAGTCTAGAAGAAGGAAAAGTGAGGCAGCCAGAAGAGCAACATCTAAGGGCCAGAGGGGACTGGTACAGTGCAGGAGAAGATTATTGGGGGGCTTGTAGGTGAGGAGATGAATTTGGAATCGAGATGAGATTTCATGGGAACCCATGGTAGGTCATGAAGAATAGGAGAGATGTGCAGGTGGGCCTGAGTAGGGGTGAGGTTGACAGAGGAAAGGCTACGGGTTCGAGATGCTCAACAGGCATGAGCAGACTAGATCAAGAATGTGGTCTTTGAGGTCAGTGGGAAAACAATTTGAGCAGGGAGAGAATATCAGTAGCCATTGAACAGTTAGGTTGGTCAACACGAATATACAAGTCACCATGTAACAGAAGGTGTAGAGGCAATAAGTAAGTAGCTGAGAGTTTGGAAGGGAAAAGAGGGTTGGATTTTGGAGGGTGATAGAGATGACAGTGACAGAGCAGGGTAGTTTAAAAGCTTAAGTGCTCAAAGGATGACAAGTCGAAGGGTGAGTGTGGTGGTAAGGACTTTGTGGCCCTGCTTTCTGATGCTTGTATGTTGCACCCACACAAATGAATGTAAGGTAAATGTTCCCCTCATGCAAAACCGTAGGAATGGGGGTTATATTGCAAACTTCCTGGTGCATCACTCCACACCACAACATCTTGAGAGGCATTTGGTGGGCATCTAGGATCTAGAACTTTAATGTTCCAATTGACAGTGTCTCAAATAAAGCTTGTTAAACTAATACTTGTTGCTCCTTTAATCTATTTAAACCTTAAATGAGTCATCAGAATTTGATCACAGAGTGTGACTGGCTGGTCATGGCTGTATTGTTTTGTGGGACCCTTTCTATTGTTGGACAGATGTGCTTTGGTGCTGAGGTGCATCTCCATTAGCAATGCCTCCAGCCACTGGACTGAACTTTCCCAAGTTGGCTGACAGTGGGTGACGTTCTTAAGGCTGAGGACAAGCATGGCCATGTGAAGGGGCTCATTCATAAACCTAGTGTGTGCCTGCACTGCCTCTTTCTGCTAACACCTGGTACACCTTGGCCATGTAGCAGACAGACACTCCAGCAAGGCTCCCACCACAGTGTCTTCCGTAAAAACCTCACCCAGCTGCATAATAGGAGACAGGACTCTTTTTCTGCTCTTTGCAGGAGTAGCTCTGCTGCAGCCGCCCACATGAAGGCTGCATGTATCATGAAGGGGTTAGGGGAAAGACCTTGGGAACTCCATTGCCAGAGAACCTGTGGGGTCAGGCCCGTTTACGATTGGAGCTGGTGTGGTGCTAAGGCTTCGCCCGCTGTACGGCAGGACATGGGTCCCAATGAGACGCCCCATCCAGGTATGTGTGTGAAACATCTTGTCTCTTGAGCACGATGACCATCTTCCAAACTTAAGGAGTAGCTGTTGCTGTGGCAGATCAGCTCCTCCCATAGGTGTCCAATGTTACTCCTATTAACAAGCTAATTACGAGACTCCAATTAAGGCACTCTGGGTGTTTTGTTTGTCATCTCAGTGCATGCTCCTATTACAGTGAGTAATATCGCAGTGAGGGAGGCATTTTATTCACAATTTCACTCGGTGGTCGATGGGTGCCCAAGAGGTGACACTGCTCTGGTCATGGGTGACCAGTGCAATCACTGGTCCTGAAAGGGCTGACTATGAGGACTCTGTCAGTTTCCATGGGTCTGATGACCATGGTGAAAGTGGCTGCATATTTCTTGACTTTGCATAATGTCAGGGTCTGCGGGTCACTGGATTCTGGTTCCAGCACTCTGAGTCACATTGGTGGGCTTGGTACTTTGATCATCTTCACTGCACCACCAATATTAATCACATAAATGCTGGAGGCTCTTACAGAATTCCCCAGGTTGTGAAGTCTGACCACAGACTTGTTGTTGCTACTCTGAAGATTCAGCTTAGGTCCAGTAGGCTATCACCTACTAGGAGAATGAGGCTGGTCCTGGCCTGACTCCAGGATCAGGCTGTTTCTAATGAGTTTGCATGCAGTTTGTGTGAAGAAATTGCAGACTTGGATGCAACTGCCTGCTATAATATGATGTGGGTGGCCTTGTGTGATAAGATCTTGAAGGTTGCTGAGGGTTGTTGGTGTATCCAGAAGGAGGTGCTTCATCTCACAGGGCACCCTGGATGTTTTCGAGAGTAGTTGCAGCACACGACTCTAAGGCAGCTTCAGTCTGTACTGGAAAACGAGGATAGCTATGAGGGTTCTGAGGGCAGATAAGGAGACTTTGTTAGAGGAATCTGTGAGCAAGTAACACACCATCTATGAACTAGCAACCCACGTCCTGCTTGCAGAGGAATCAAAGCATTACGCGCATCCAGATCTGTTCCTCAGAGAGTTGTAGTTAGGGCAGGTGATAGGACAATCCTTATGGATGATGTTGTGATCCTCTGGGTCAGCTACTTTGAGCAGCTGTTTAAAGTTGACCCTCTGGTAAGGATGCTGGACATCTCTGGGTCCACAGTTCTCGAGGCTGATCCCCTGATCAGCTGTGAACCACCCAATCTCACTGAGATTGCACAGGTGGTAAATCAGCTGAGGATAGCATAGGCCACAGGGATCTGTGGTATCTGGGGTGAACAACTCCAAGCTGGTGGTAAGGCTGTTGTCCTGGCATTGCAAGCAATCTCTGCTTCCATTTGAGATTCCATTTCATCCCAACTGACTGGAAAATGTGGCTTTTTGTCCCTATCTGGGAAGGGAAGCATGATCGCACCAAATGTGCCAACTACAGGGGAAGAGCACTGCTCTCAGTGCCAGGTAAGGTTCTTGCTAGGGCCATCCTTAACAGAATCCATGATCACTTGCTCGCCCACCAGTGACCGGAGCAGTCTGGACCTCAAGGTACTACAGCTATGTGGTGCGATTCCTCGAGGGTGAAATGGCTCACAGGATCCTCATTGCTGGACCAGGCCAAGGGGATGCCCACGTAACACCTAGCTGCAGCAGATAGACAGTCGTTTCCAGAGGATGGGACTGGACCACATGTCGGTCTGGGGGCGTTGCCAACTCGGATCCCGAGGTGCTTTATCGTGTTGGGTGCCGCAACGTGCTGTACCAGTGCATACTCTACAACCTGACCTGACCTGACCTGAGCACCACTACCTTCGAGCACTAGGTTCATTGATGACACACATGAAATGGTGTAATGGTACCCAGCGTTTATCTTTTTTTTTTTTTTACCTTGCAGGCCAACTGAGTACATTGTTTTTAGATCTTCACATGAAGGAAACAAGTACATCAGAATGCTCATCTGCGTGGTCTTTGATATTTAATAGTATGTTCCTCTTATTGAAATATGCCTATATGACCATTCTGAAACTGTGAGACATATAATATTTGTGTTCTGGTTGAATTTGTACGGTAACAAGAGCATGACAGCTCATTCTTTAAAAAAAAAAAAAAAAACCTAACTCCGGAAAGAAGGAAGCTCAACAACAACACCAAATTTTTGTCATCATATTCACATACATAAAACTACAATGTAAATATGTGAAAATGATGGTTAACTTGCTACATGGTGATATGAAGCATGAAAACAGGCAATTTTGAAAATCAGGCACATTTCAAAAATCTTATTCCAACACATGATGTCATGTATCATAAATCACAGGGGAAAATACCCTTTGAGTGAATAAAAGTACATACCATTTGAGTGAATACAAGCAAAAGTACATAAGACACAGCGAATCTGAAGTTAGCCATAGTTATAAAGCTTCAATGCTGTACATACCATATCAAAGGAGGAAGCTGGACCGAAACGCTGAGTCAGCAAAATTCGTAAAATTAATTAACATTTCAAAAGGCTGTAGTTTCAAAACTGTTAGAGATACAAACTACACAATCTCCATAAGATTGGTATTGGAGAATCCTGGATTTTTTTCAGGGGAATCAGAAAGGACATCCTGGGACCCCCTGGGTGATTTGATATGGAATGAACTTATGTATTACTTAATTGCCTCAAGGCCATTTACTAAGGTGAATAATATAGCTAAAATAATGACAAATGCATTAAAAGCAGGTGTGTCTAGAATTTTGAATGGTACTGTATATCTGAAAATAGCTGTGCTGTTTTACACATAGAGGACATATTTAATTGTTTTTAATGGAAAGACTTGCTGCATATTTTTCTTAATGTGTGTAGACCAGGGGTGGGCAATCTTATCCACAAAGGGCTGGTGTGTATGCGGGTTTTCGCTGCAACTCCCTAATTAGATTACTAATTAGAGGACTGATTGGCTGACGAGTCCTCACACCTGGGTTTGAACAGCTGACCTACAGGTTATCCCAAAAACCTGCATACACACCGGCCCACCCCTGGTGTAGACCATCCACCAATGGACACGTAGAATGTCTACAAACATCAACATGAATTTGTAATGCCATCTTATATGTATGACACTTGTTTGTCTAATTTTTGCTAAAGGAACAGCCAATATGCTTATTATATACTCTGTGCTATTTTAGAATCTGTGATATGTTCCTTGGAAGGCACAGGTCAGTTGACATCAGCGTGACCTTCTTTTGAACTGAAGAAGTCTTGAGTGTCACACTCAGATGGTTCCACTTCTGGATTTTAATTTTCAGATAACAAGGTAATAAGTAAAAGCAGGAACCATCTAGGACTAATCAGAATTTTGCCTGGGAAAGTACTTATTGTGTTATGTGGATCCAGAAGATCACAGGGTTGTCTCATGCTCCTTAATGGACAAACAGTGATCCCTTGCCTCATGTTCAGCTTTTGTTCCTTCCGTGACTTTAAACTGATCCTGCTGCATTGTTGAGGTCAAGAAGGCCTCTGTGGTAGCATGTGGACTAGTTGGCGTGGGCAGAGGGGGTGGGCGTTGTCTCACCCCACAGAGGGGAAGGCCTTTGGTGCCAATAGCACTGAGGCTGACACTGTTGGTAGCGTGGGAGGTCATGCCACCATAGTAACAGCTTCCACCGCTGCTCGTTACACGGGCCTTCTGCTTGAGGTCCAGAGCTATGCTCCTACGCAGCCAGGCCTTCTTGACCTCTGCCTGCACCTGCAAAAGCAGCAGCACAGCATGTGTACATGAGTGTACATACAGACATCAACTGCTGAGATCTAGCAGGACCTTCATCTGTTCAGATAGAGATGTTCAACTTGGGTTTCAATGGAGCAACAATATCATTTGATTTACCAGTGTAGATTAGCAATACAGGGCACCCTGAAACCACTGTAAGGGGTCTATAAAATCTGTAGGATTTTTAGGTAATATTACAATATCATGGAATTACCACAGGTAAGCAAGTATAACTGTATGCACATCTGAACTTGCACCTGTATAGACGTGAGAAACCTCAATGGAGGAACATGGAGTTGCTCACCTCGCCATTGCAGAAGCAGTAGATTAATGCTACAAAGAACCCCTGAAAATAACAAGTACATCAATAAAAACATCAGTTGTAAATTTCACATTTTAATGGTACAAAATGTGTTTAATTCAATTTTATATAGCTCCTCAAGACTGTTCCAGGAATACCTCTGTTACCATTCCATGCTCCCTGGATGTTCTTAATATTGCATTCTGTTTGCTGTTTGAATAGTTGTCTTAGGTTTTTTGGGAAGATGTTGTATTGCTCTTGCTCAAATACTGCTTACACTTGTACTTGGGCATTTTTTGGAAGATCAACCTAGACTGCAGTCATGCCCAGTTGACTCCTTGCAGAGAATCAACAACAGTGGCACTTACTGACATGTCCCATTGGAGGGAAACATGGATAGTGAATAAACCCAGAAGAAGAGAGACTTTTGCAAACAAAACTCTGTAGCTTCATAGGAGAAAAGAAAACGTCCAGTGACCTCAAGGTCAAAGGGCTGCTCAAGGCCCCGTGGGGGCATGCTAACATTAAATAGGATGGAAAGTAGTGTGTTTAGTGTGCTATCTTCTGTCACTATCCAAGCAGGCCTGATTTTAGTTTAGCCCGGAAACAGCACAATTACCATTGGGGGGGAAGGGGGTGTCTTACCTGAGAGGAGTTGAAGAGCATCTCGTAATGCATCTGTACCTGCCACAGCACCCCAGTCACCTCTGTGTAGGGCAGAGCCATGAACGCCATGTAGTGCACTCCGAACAATGGCATCAGCACAAGTGTAGACTTTAGAAGCTTCCTGCAGGAATGACAGCAAGGATATTCCTGGGGGTCTCACTCCAGTGCATCTTGCTTGAGTGCAGTTATACTGTGGGTCTGGTACAGAAGGTCCCCTCCTAGGGTACAGCTACTGACCTGTACTGCTGCCGTGGATCTACTTTTCCTGTGTTTGTCCCCCACAGCTTTGAGACCAGCACCCTTACGATGTTAAGGAACAAGAAGAAATTCACCTATCAATGGCAGGGAAAAGCAGAATAAACAATCTTAATGTCAGGATTGATCCCTGCCTTGTTCTGTTCTGTCTGTCATTTCCCTGTCTGGCCTGCAGGTGTCGTTGGTCGTCCTGTTCTGTTCCCTGTTCCCCTAAGCTTTCCCACAGTTATTTTCTTGTTCCATGGGCAGCCACATGGCTGAACAGGCTGAGCCTGTGGCTGTAAACCACACATTTCATACCGTCATGAGTTTGACACCTAGGGCATTTTGAGTATTTGTGTCCCGGAATTCTGTTTTCATAAACCCAACATTAAATCATGTTCCTTGTGTTTGTGTACACTGGTCTGCCATTTCCATTAGTGTTTTTGTTCCTAGTTTGCTTTGCCTGTGCCCAGTTTGTATTTATGTCCTGTATTCCTTGTTTTGTCTGTATTCTTAGTATCTTCTGGTGTTTCAGTCTATAGTGCTTAATGATTGTTTTTGGCCCACACCTGTCCCTTGTGTTCAGCTTATTGTGTGTGTGTGTGAGTGTGTGAGAGTGCTCTTCCCATGCTCTGTTCCTCTGTTAGCTATTGTACAGTGAGTATAGAAAAGAATCACATTTTGTCACTTTACAGCCTGAAATAAAAACAGAACTGAATTTGACCAGCTTTATTTTTTCAATGCAACTAATAATATCTAGTGAAAGAAAAAAACAGCAACAGCTCTGAAAAATAAATACAAATATAAAACAAGAATAACTGTGATTAATAAAGGATCACCCACCTGCATCAATGCTTTGTGAAACCCCCGTTTGCTTTAATTACAGTCTGTTTGGATACTTTGCTACCAATGTACAATCTTCAAGTCATTCCACTGACTAGGCCATGCAGGGACATTCAAGAACGCCCCATTTTTGCCCCATCCATTTTTCCTTATAACCTGATAAGTACTCCAGTCCTTGCTACAGAGAAACACCCACACAACAGGATTCTACCACCACCATGCATTACCAAGGCATGGTGCTCTTTGGATGGTGCTCTTTCCACCAGATGTAGCACTTGGCATCAAGGTCTGATTTTGGTCTGATCTGACCATAGCACCTTTTTCCACTTGGCTTCAGAATCTTCAAGGTGTGTCTTGGTAAAGCTCAAACGAGACTTAATGTCGTCTTTTTAGAGGAGTGTCCTTTTCATTGCAACCCTCCCATAGAAGCCAGATTTGTGGAGCACTTGTGATGTTGTCACGTGCACATAATGACCACTCTGCCATAATGTCTTGAAACTCTAAAGGCCTCTTGCCAACCTCTTTGACTGCCTTCCAGTTTGGAAAGACTGATCTGGGCAGGGTCTGGGTAGTATCAAATACCTTCTACTTCTTAGTTATGGACTTAGCTGTGTTCCTACTGTATGGATAGATAAGGTCTTTGAAACCTTTTTGTACCCATCTCCTGACTTGTCCACAGCTTTCTCCCAGACAGCTTTTGAAAATGCCTTGCCACCCACAGTAACTTGTTTGCTTTCAGTTGTACTACCAAACACTGGAATGCCCCAGGTGTGCTCTGCTCTTTTTTAACCACTCAAAATCATTGCGGTTGATTACAGTTGGGAGCAAAACACCTTGGTGTCTGATCCAGAAAGTGACTGTACACCTGATTGAGTTGTGCTGGTCTTGGGGAACGTGATCCTTTATCAATCTCAGTTATTCTCGTTTTTTATTTTTCATTGCTTTTCAGTACTGTTGCTATTTTTTCTTTCACTTGAATATTATCAATTGTATTAAGTAAATGAAGCTGGACACATTCAGTTCTGTTATGCTTTCATTTCATGCTGTAAAGTGAAAATGTGATTTTTGATGGGGGTGGTTCTTGTCTATAGCCACTGTCTGTTTGCCTGAGTTCTTTGTTGGATGCCCCTGCTGTAAATCCTGGTCCAGATCTGTTAAATTGCTCTGTTGTTTCATTTATCTCAGTCTCAGTCCTAGTTAGTTCCAGTGTTGTTTACCAGTCTGTGTTTAGACCCCACGTAGACTCTTTAATTTTGAATGTTTGGTGTTTTGCTTGATAATAATGTCCCCTTTGTCCTGAGAGCTGCTTTGTGGACCATCAGTTGTGACTTGTTGTAACACTTAAAAGGTATTGTTCTGAACTCTGAGAAGCACAAGAAGGAATCTCATATAACTGATGAGCATAATAATGTGAGAAAAAAGCAGAAAAATTTACAATTCCTGAACTTACCCTGTACTGTCCATAATAGCCTGGCTTAACCAAGGTAATGGGTTAACCAGTAGGTGATGGACTTAACCACTGCAAACCAACAAATGGATTACCAATGTTCATTTTTCTAATCAGTACTTCAAATACAGTGTTTCTACAAAGATCTCATTACACTTAATCTGTATCTCTATGTGTTAGATATATGGAGATGAAAATATATTTTTCAGTATATACAAATAATTTATTCATATTAAATATGAAAATAGTCCATGTGCCTTCTAACCACATATTCCATACAGGGTCATGGGGGGGTATTAGGCAGGGGGGCACCTTGCATAGGATGTCAGTCCTTCACAAGGCACAGAATCTCACACTAATTTAGAAAAACCTTCATATCTTAGGACTACAGGAGGGAACCAGAGAACCTAGATTATGCCCATACAAGACAGGAAGAACATGCAAACTCCCCACACCCAGAGCAGGAATGGGATTCCAAACAGCAGCTCTGCAGGTGGCAGGCAAAGGTGCTAGTGACCATCCCACCTAATGGGAGCAGCAATCAGTGTGCTTACCATATCCATTATATTACCACACATATATTCCTAAAACATATAAGCTGCTAGTAGAAGAGAAAAAGACCTCTTCATCTTTGCATTATAAAAGAGAGGAAGCTTTAAAATCTTCTTTTATTAACAGAATAATGTGACTCAGTGGATAATGTGGAACCCAGAGAGACAAACCATTATGAACAGCTAGAGTGTAGATAGATGATAGATAGATAGATAGATAGATAGATAGATAGATAGATAGATAGATACTGTAGATAGATAGATAGATAGATAGATAGATAGATAGATAGATAGATAGATAGATTATTGATTGATTGATTGATTGATTGATTGAGTGATTGTATTAATCCCTGAAGGGAAATTACAGGAGACTGAAAAAGTTGAAGATGAAAAGACAGAGATGGTTCTCTTACAACAATGGCAGCCAGTATAGGGACTTGATAGATCCACTTCAGGTTCCCAGCACTGATGTCCCAGCATCTGGAGAAAATAACAGTTCTGTGTAATCCATTCATATTCTGTTTAACTGGTGCAGTAATTGCAAACCTATACCAGGAAGTGTATGCAATAAAGCAGAGGGCACCTTGGATGGGATGCGAGTCAATGAAAGGGCACATGCTATTTCAACTAACTGTAGGAACTTGAGTACTCAGAGGAAACCCATGAAAACATAGGGAGAGCATGCAAACTCCACCCAGGACTCAAAGACACAGCCTTGGAGATGAGGCTACAATGATTCTTTGAAAGTGTTGAACAGTGCAGGAAAGGCTGAGAGTGATTACTGCAGAACAGCCTGATATTACTCACTGTGTATCGGCCAGAGAAGCTCGGACGCTAACCCAAATGGACACAAACACTGCAGGGACACCTGAAACACACATATACATAGAAGCTCACACTATTCTTGATTTCTACTACAACATTTCTGCAGTGCAGCTCAACCTTCAAAAATAATGGTGACAAGCTCCAGCAAAGTGAAACACTGACACGTGGGAACAAGGTCTTGTTTCTCAGAAGAGCCGAATTAGCCTCAGATAACACGACATTGGGAGCACTGGAGTGTTCATTCACAAAAAAAGCAGCTGATGGAGTTCCACAAATCTGTGTCCTATTATTTAGACCACTTACACGCACACAGGGTGAAAGGAGCTTTTCCATAGTTATTATGAAAAGCCCATAACAGGCACTACATTTGGCACAGAAACAGGGCCTCTGAAATGCATGGGCTTACCCAGGGGTTCTCACTAAAAAAGGGGCCTGAATTGGGGCCCCACATGGTTGCTACCCTGGTCGACAATTTTAACGATTACCACCCACAGCAAACAGCTTTCCACTGTGTTAATGCACCCCTGGACAGAAAGTAATAGTGACTCTGCACAAAGTTAAAGCAGAACTGATGCAGTAGCTGAAAATTAAGCTCAAGGGAGTCACACTTTATTATGCACTTCAAATGGGGCAATGCTACATTACAGCTGGCTTAGCTTGTGCACTCAGTGAACTGCCTGAATTTCAGATACACAACATTATGCGGTGTAATTGTATTACAGATATTATGGATCTCATACCAGAAAATCACATTTTGGACCAGTGAGAGCAATTGAATGGGTGGCTTGCTTTCACTTCATCACATAAGATGTAGTGCATTGTATATAGGTTTTAACTGCATTATGTCTTTGACATTATCACCCTCCTTATCAAATTTCCTGTTCCTCTACCATTAGGCTTTGGTTTGTGTTATGTGTCAGAAAGGGGAGCAACGCAGGGTCTTTTACATACCCCACCCAATGATGGTCAGTGCCCACAAGTAGTTCTTGTCTGGCAAAAAGGCCATGAATATGAGGCTGTGCAGATAGAGCCCCTCCACCAAAATCCAGTAGTGATTGGTAGCCAGAAAGTAGAGGAAAAAAATCACAGCTATCTTGCAGCCCACCTGCAGGAATCAGAGAAATAATGATGCTTAGACATGGAGCCCACTAATGGGAATCATTCCACTAAAGAAGTAGCAGAGGAAAAGATGAAACTTGTAAGAGAACAAGACTAAATGTAGACTAAATGACACCCTACACTTCGGGAACCAACAAGGCATTACAAAAACAGACAAGGGTATGGAAGAGTATTGCACACAAAAAGGCAGAACTGAATGACAGACCATGTGTGGTCTTTGTCCTATGCTTTCGTCTTGAGCTTCGCTTTCATCTGACGCAGTGTACAGCACTGCGTCCTTCACGAAGATGCTGATGGCACGGCAGACAAAGGAGATGAAGAGGTGGATGTGGATGTAGTTACGAGTACAGTGGAGCCGTCTGCAAAAAGAGACAACATGCAGTATTCCTCTTCTGCTGCAAGTCTGCTCTGAAAAACACTGGAATGCTCTGCTTATGCCTCAGTGCTTTCAGAAAGTACACGCAATTCATTATTATGCATTAGATGGGTTACTAGGTCTTTCATGCAAAGGCTTCCCAGTCATTCAATAAACTTCAGAAGTACATGCAGACAAGCTCTTGAGCATCTTACTTGAAGAAGCGGAGAATGGAGATGGCAACCAGCAAGGACACCAGTGAGACAGAGTAACCAATAGTATACATCAGATGTAGGCGCTCAAACACCTCCTGAAAAGAGAGGTCAGCAGTCAGACACACAGGAAGTGAAACTGTGTGTTCATGGTGTTCCTTGTGCAATTACTCTTCTGTAATACAGTAGTTCTACATATGTCCATGTGTATAAAGGGTTTAGCTTTTTCAGGTGGAATCATGCAATGCTTTCTGGATGTTAAATTTGAGAGCATAAGTACACTTACATACATGAAAGAAGTTCCGGCATACAGTGCATTTAGAAAGTATTCAGACCCCTTTCAATTTTTAACTATTTGTCATGTTGTAGCTTCATGCTAAAATTATGTAAATTCATTTTTGTTCCTCATGAATCTACACTCAGTACAAACACGGAATTATAGAAGTCTTTGCAAATTTATTAAAAACGAAAAACTGAAATATCACGTGGACACAAATATTCATACCCTTTGCTCAGTACTTAGTAGAAGCACCTTTTTGAGCTAATACAGCCATGAGTCTTCTAATACAGCCATGAGTTTTTCACACCTGAATTTGTGGATTTTTTTTGCCACTCTTCTGTACAAATCCTCTGCAGCTCTGTCAGGTTTGATGAGGAATGTTGGTGTACAGCCATTTTCAGGTCTCTCCAGAGATGTTCAATTGGGTTTCAGTCAGGGCTCTGGCTGGGCCATTGAAGGACATTTACAGAGTTGTTCCTAAGCCACTCCTGTGTTGTTTTGGCTATGTGCTTAAGGTCATTGTCATGTTGGAAGATGAACCTTTGGCCCAGTCTGAGGTCCTGAGCACTAGGTTTTCATCCAGGATCTCTCTGTACTTCACGGTGTTCATCTTTCCTCCAACTACGACCAGTCGCTGCAGCTGAAAAACACCCCCACAGCATGATGCTGCCACCTCCATGCTTCACTGTGGGGATGGTATTGGGCAGGTGATGAGCAGGAGCTGGTTTCCTCCGCACATACCGCTTAGAATTAAGGCCAAAGAGTTCAATCTTGGTTTCGTCAGACCAGAGACTCTTATTTCTCACAGTCTGGGAGTCCTTTAGGGCCCCCACCCTGCGGGCTTCCATGGGTCTTGCACTGAGGATAGGCTTCCGTCGGGCCACTCTGCCATAAAGCCCAGGTTGGTGAAGAGCTGCAGTGATGGTTGTCCTTCTGGAACTTTGTCCCATTTCCACAAAGGATCTCTGGAACTTTGATCTCTGGGTTCTTGGTTACCTCTCGCACCAAGGCTCTTCTCCCCTGATTGCTCAGTTTGGCCGGGCGGCCAACTCGAGGAAGAGTCCGGGTTGTCCCAAAATTCTTCCATTTAAGGATTATGGAGGCCACTGTGCTCTTGGGAACATTAACTACAGCAGATCATTTTTTTTGTAGCCTTGTCCAGATCTGTGCCTTGCCACAATCCTGTCTCTGAGCTCTTCGGGCAGTTCCTATGACCACATGGCTTAGTTTGTGCTCTGATATGCACTGTGAGCTGTGAGGCCTTTTATAAATAGGTGTGTGTCTTTGCAAATCATGTTCAATCAATCTCATTTTACACAGCTGGAATCCCAAGTTCATGTTACTGACTAAAGTGCTTTCAGAAATATATGTTTTAATCTTATCAGTTAAACACAGTACTATTAGTAACGACACGCAAAGGCAGTGGAATCACATAGGACAGCGTTTCTCAAACTATGGGCTGCGGACCGGTGCCGGTCCGTGAGAGGGTTCCTGCCAGTCCGCGGAGCCTCGCTTCTGCACCAATCAAAATTCAGTCAGATCAGGTCTGATCTCAGCGCTGCTGTCACTGCGTGCCCCTCCCCACCCCCCCCCGACTTCACGGCCCGCCCCTTGTTTCAGCATTCTAGAATGTTCAGCGTTCCCACCCTTTGTCTCATTCACTCCAAACTTTTCACAGACATATACACGTTACGAGAACTGTCAATAAGTCATGGCGTGTTCAAAGCAAGCGAGTCTGGATTCTTTCTTTCGGAAGAGTCCATCAAATGATGCCAACTTACAGGATGAGCCAGAGGCAAAAAGGCATTGACCATTTACTCAAAATTACGACATTTCATACATTAAATTCAGTTTTATTTCTAGCTATAGTTCCCCCCGAAACCAATCTGTGTCATCTGCCAAGCTATAACGAGGCTATGAAACCATCGAAATTACGTCAGCATTTGGAAACAAAACATGCACATCTAAAAGATAAATGAGACTGACTTCTTCAAAAGAAAATGCAATAAAAATACACATAAATAATAATACACATAATAATAATAATAATAATAATAATAATAATAATAATAATAATAATAATAATAATAATAATAACAACAACAACAACAACAACAATGATAATAATAATAATAAATAGTAATACTATCAATCTATAGTAATAATATCTATCTATCAATCTACATACAATATCCCCACCCCAAAGCAGGCTCTCCGGAAATGAAGGACAAGCCAGGGAGGGGACCAAGGGGCCAAACAACAGGGCAGGCAAGCGAAGCCAGGAAACCAGACAAGACAGGGCACTACAGGATAGGACATGGCAGGATAGGGGAGCAGTACAGGACAGAATAAGACAAACCCGGGCAAGACGAAACACCAGATGGGTACAATTCCAGGACACTAAGAGAGACATAGAACACAACTAGAGGCATGGAACAGGTCTGGGCAAGACTAGGTACCATGCAACATGCGCCAGAGTGGATAGGTCAAGCTACAACAAAGATAGGGACAGAAACATAGGAAAAGGACCACAGGGGAAACAGGTGAGGATACGATAAATAAGGGATAGGGAAAGGGACCAAAACTGAGGTGTGAAGTGGTATAAAAGGAGGCATCCTGGGAGTCTTCTTGACCCTGGAGAGCTGGGCGCTGACCTAGGAATGTGGATCCTCCTGGGCTTTTGAGGACCAATTGGACTGGATGGCACTGAGGTGTCAGCAGGACTGGAGGGTGGCAAGTACCTGGCAGGGCCAGAGGGTGCCGAGGGGCTGGGGGAGCCTGAGAGTGCTGAGGGACTAACAGGACATGAGGGTGATGAGTGGACTGCCGGATTGGAGCAGGAGGATGATGAGGGACCTGGGTCTGGGCGGCATGTCTCCATCTCCCTCTCTTTGAGATGGAAATCCAGCTGGCCCCTCTTCTGAGTCCCAGCCTGTACCACCGAATGCACCAAGGCTTATGACCAGGTTGGCGCTACTATTGAACAGAAGTGAACTGCGGGATAGGACTAAAGGCAAGGCCCAGAGGGTCCCACTCTAAGTCCTCTTGAGCAGCATCCTTCCAGTCCATTCCCTCCTCCTTGGAGGTGGCTAGGGAGTCGGGCGTTGGCTGGATGGTGACCAGGGAGTTGAGCATCAGTCGCACAGTGATTGGCAAGGGATGAGGCGGACACCTGGATAATGGCAGGAGATGCAGCTGGATCCGCTTTGTGGGACCTGAGAGTACCCCTCCCCCGATGGCCAACTCCTAGATGCCGCTGGGGTCGATGAGGTTGACCATGGAGATGAGACGTCGACGGGAAGCTACGAGATGAGGCGGGAGCTAATGTGACAGCTGGTGACTGTGAGGAAGGAGCCAATGAGATGGCTAGAGATGAGGCTGGAGCCAACAAGATAGCTTTGAGGTGAGTGGGCCGAAGCCATGACACCACAAGGGCGAGCAGGGTGAAGTCAAGACAACTTGAAGCAAGTGGAGCGAAGCTGGGACACCTCGAGGTGAGCGGGGTGAAGCTGGGACACCTCGAGGTGAGTGGGGCGAAGTCAGGACAACTTGAAGCAAGGTGAGCAAGACAAATAGCGAAGCCAAGACACCTAAAGATGAGCTGGGTGTGGCCAGATCACCTGGAGTATGAGCAGCCTTCTCTAGGTCTGGGCAAGGATCAGGGAGCATGAGTGAAATAGCCGTCTCAGGGCTGGGCTCTGGAGACTCAGAATGAGCAGCAGGCCTTTCAGGACCAGAGTTTGGAGGCATGGGCAGAGTGACGGAGACCTCACCTAGACTGGAAGCCTGGAACTCAGGCAGAGTGGCCCCTTCTGGACCGGATGTGGTACTGGCTTCTCTGGGATGGGCGCGACAGCTCCTGAGCTGAGCATAGCAGATGTGAATATGGGCTTTGGAGACTCAGCAGAGGCAATGACAGGCTCCAGAGACACAGTGGAAGACTGCTGCTAGAAGCACAGCGGCAGTATCACTGAGGTCAGGCTCTAAGCATGAGAAGAATGGGTACGGCCTCTTCTGGACCAGACAGATGAGGAGGTAGTCATAAGAACTTCTAACCTCCTCCACTTCCTCTTTCTGTGGCTGGAGCCAGAGGGCAGAGCAGCGGAGAGCTGCAGGAAACTATCAGGTAGATCGGCAGTGAGCTGCAAGGAGCTAGCAGGTGGATCAGTGGCTGGTCACAGGGAGCTAGCAGGCAGATCAACAGCTGGCTGCAGGAAGCCAGCAGGTGGATTAGCAGCTGGCTGTGGGGAGTCAGTGGGTGGATCAGGGGCTGGGTGAAGTAAGATCCGAGCGTTTATCCGAGCGGCCTCAAGCTCAGCAATTCCCCTCACCTCAAGCAGTTGGCGCCAGATCTTTAAAGTCTCTTGGGAATTCATGCCAGGGGTGATTTTAGGGAGCATCTGATCCGCCATCTTGAAGAGAGCCAGGGCCTTGGGGATCCATGAGACTGCAGGATTAGCCCTCCACTGCAGGGTGAACTCCAAGAGGTCAAAGAAGTCCTCAGCCTGTAGAGGAGGCAGTTCCTGTGGGACTGGCGACCCCATAGACCACTGAAGCCGAAGCACTTGGGGTATGCGATCCACGGGATGCATGGAGGTATGCAAGCCAGAATGAGGGTGCAGACTGCTGGTTTTGTAGGGGAGATCCGTCATTCTGTCATGTAGGAGGGTTGAAGGACATGGGAGCAGCCATAAAGGCAAAAAAGGAGTTTATTGGAAGTGAATAAACAAAGACTAGAAACAAAACAAGATTACTGGGAATACAGTAGGAGAGAGGCAGGGTACAGGTAGCTCGATGGAACAATGTCAATGACAGATCTGGGATACACAGGATTGGGAAGCACTTAAATACAGGACTAACAACAGAGCAAACAGGAGGCAGCTGGGAGAGATTAAAATGAGGGCAGGAACAATAGGTAAAACAAACGAGTATCAGGTATAGCTAGTTTGGGCCACGCCTGGGAAGAGACAGAAGGGTCAGGCAGATATAGAGAGCAGGACATGAAAATGACATGTTTGTCCTTTTGATGCTAATCTGTCTTTTATAAAGGGAGCATGGATGTCAACTGCCTGCAAGAGAGAATCCGAGGCTAGGACATTTTCCTCAAATATCAAACAGGTGAAGCTTGAAGAAACAAAGCAAGTCTCTCAGAATTGTGTTGACAATGCAATACTCCACTTTATAGCTCAAGATCTCCAACCCTACTGTCTTGTTGAACAGCTATAATTCCAAAGCCTTATCCAAAATCTACAGCCAGATTGCACTGTCATATCTAGGGCTGTACAATATCACACTGAGATATCCCATAAACCATTGTTAAATCAAACTTTTTATTATCTACCAATAGATTGTGACTAATAAATTGGTGGTGGTGCTGCAAGTTGTGTCAACAGACACAAAACAGTGCCTGCAAATGGAATTCTGTTTGTCCTGAATGCAGGCAGTTGAAGGGTGCTCACGTAATAATGCCTTGGCATGTGTGATGAATGACAAACACTCAGAATATGAAATCCGTGAGAAAATAGTCAGAGCCACAACTGATAATGGTTCAAACTTCATAAAAGCATTTTGTGAGTTTGGAGAAGATGAAAACAACGTTACTGATGGAGGAAGAAGAAACTAATGTTGACAGGCCTGATAATGAGAAGATGGAAGTGGAGTTCATCTATGTTGAAAACATAATGGCAAAAGATGATGACCTTCAAGGCCTAACTGCCGAAGTATCATCGGGGCACTTGCTATTTGCTAAATTTGGTTTCTACCATGGATGCCTATAACGCAAATGGGACAGAGGCCTACAACGCAACAAGATGGAGCTCTTAGTATTTAGCTCTGGAGCATATTGTGAGAATCCTCAAAAGACAAAGAGAGCAGGTTGTGAGAATTGTTTGTGCTGCACTTAGTGTTCCCATGTAGGTACTGAATGTTTGTTTGGGTGTGTATTGAGTGACAAGGTAAGGAGGGCATTAGTCAGGGAAGCAATGCAGAGGCCAACAGTAACTCTGAAGGAGCTGGAGGTATTAAGTATTTACATTTTAATACTACTACTACTCTAATGCTACATTTAACATAAATTAATAAATATTACAAAGCACTTTACAGAACCAATGGGGATCCACTTTAACCATCATCACTGTGTAGCACCCACCTGGATGATCCAACGGCAGCCTTTCTGCTCACCACACAGTAGCTAAGGTGGTGAACAGGCAGGAGGTAGTTAACTAAACAGATATAGGGAATGATTAGTAGGTCATATTTGAAAAAGCCACAGTGGGCAGTGGGCAGTCACCAGGGCATCAGGGTACCACCCCTACTCTTTTGAAAGATGCACAGGGATCTTTTATAACCTCAGAGAGTCAGGACCTCTGTTTTACATTCCATCAGAAGGGCAGCACCAGTTTTATAGCATACTGTAATGTCTCCATCACTGCACTGGGGCATTGGGATCCACATAGACCACAGGATGGACTCTATTGGCCACACCAACACCTTTTCCAGCAGCAACCCAGCTTTCCTAGTTGGTCTCCCATCAAGGTACTGGCCAGGCCCAAAGTTGCTTAACTTGCTTAACTTACCTAGTCTGAACTGTATTGCTGCTAATAACACTACAAAATATGGAAAAGTTACATACTTCTGCAAGCCACTATACCTTAAATATGTTAATAAACAGACAAACTTTTACTGTGCAAGATGGTCTGACCTCCTCTTGACTCCTGTGGCTGGACATCAGGTAGGTGGTACACTCAGTGTAATTGGCCCAGGTTCTATTGAGGCTAGGCACCTGCTCCCATTTTCCAGAAAGATCACAAAGACGGTAGGCTTGACCTGTCAGAGAGAAATAAGCCAAATCAGTTCAAATTATTTCTATAAAGCACACTTCCCAAACTAGCTAGCCCCAGAGTGACACATAACACACTTTTTGAGCAGAGAAACGAAGAAGAGAGAAGAGGAGAAGAACAAGAGGCCCATAAGGTTAGACGGGTATGGTTTCTTTAATTCAGAATGGGCTATACAGAATGTTGCATTGCATTGCATTGTAACCAGGAAGAAGAAAGCTTCACCACAGAGCTTTAGAGCACCAGTGTGGCTCACATGAAGAATGACTTTGATTTAGCTGATCCCCTGGGTAGCTCAAGTCGAGTGCATGCAAAGAAAATATCCCTATTATAGCGATCCTAAAAACCTTCTACTCAGCTGCTGTGGAGAGCATACTGACCATGAACATCATAGTATGGTTTGGGAACTGTTCTCAAAAGGACCGCAAAGACCTGCAGAGGGTGATCAGGGCGGCCGAGCGTTGTGTAAGATCTCCTCTGCCCTCCCTACTGGAGCTCCAGAGGCACCAAGATAATTAAGGACTCCTTACACCCCGCAAACTGCCTGTTCCACAAGCTGAACTCAGGCAGACGGTTCAGTTGCCTGATGTCCAGGACTGAGAGACTCAGGAAGAGCTTTTTCCCCCAGGCTATAAGGCTTCTCAACGCAGATTAACTCTGCTCCTTGCTGTACACTATGTACGCTTGCACTAAAAATACACTAAGACTGCAAATTTTGCACTATATTTCATATTTTTCAGATTTTGCACTCATACATAGTATTTATATATTGTAATTTCTCTCTCTTTTTTTTACTCCTAGTTCTTACCTTTTTTCTTTTTTTCTCTTCTAATTCTACACAGCCAAATAAGGGTGAACACAGAGAATTACATTTCACTGCATGTTGTATTGTATGTGACAAATAAATCTCTTGAATCTTGAATCTTGAATGTAGATGCTTTTATACGAAGAGACATACATTTTTGAGATGGTGTTCCTGTAGCCGCTGTGGTCAAGGGCCTTGTTCAAGAATGAAATAATTCTGCAACCCCTGGGATTGGAACCAGCAACCTTCTACTTGGGCATAGCCTCTGAATCTACTGAGTCACATGTTACCCCCTCTGGACAGTATTCACACATACAGCACATCTCAGTTCATTGGTTGACTCGTGACCCATTTTGGGGTTGGGATCAGGCAGGACGAGGCTACCAGCTCACCTCTGTGGTTAAAGTCATAGATGTAGCCAGGACAAAACACCGAAACCAGCTGGCCAGGTGTCCCCTTCGGCCAGCAGATGATGCCATCCCACTCCGGCACGCAATCTGTCTCTGCAAGTAAACAAGCCCTGTTCCAATCATGAGGTCTCTATCTTTCCAACCTAGATGATTCACCCTCAGTAGATTTACTGTAACCTAGGTTTTTCCAAAGCTCTCTGTCACAATACATCTCAGGAATCATAAAATGGAGAAACATGCTCCTTAAATAAACATGGCTGTAGCTACAAGCCTTACAGCAGTGGTGCCCTACTCCAGTCCTGGAGGGCCGTAGCCCTGTGTAGCTTAATTCTTTCCCTGTTCGACCATAAATGATTCAGCTCAAGAGCTGTGTGGTAATTAGCACAAGGAGTTGAATCAGGTGTGTTAAATGAGGGGAAACCCAAAAATGTGCAGGGCTCTGGCCCTCCAGGAATGGAGTTGGGCACCCCTGCCTTAAAGCATCCTGCTAGGAGATGGCCAACTCAGGTGGAGCACAAGACACCATCTAAAGGTGCCCTGAATACATCACCCCCATTCCCTTTATCATGGATCATCAACGCAGCACTATAGATGTAATTTAACTGAGGAGTCCACTGGTCCTCTAGCATCCATTTTGTATCTGATGGTCGCCGTGGTTACTGCATGTTCAGGATATCTGATCGCAGTCATTTCTGATGTCAGTTTATTGAAATCCAAGACCCAAGGATCTTGCAGTTGATAAAACATGATTGCAAAATCCAGTCATGAACAATTACAAGCTGTGAGTCTTTGTAAGTGTAGGAGGCTTTTCCAAATAACAGTGAGTGACACTTCATGCTAATACAACATATTTGGAAGCAAAAAAAATAATAGTCCAACCAAAAACTGCGCTTCACATTTTCATTCATACCTTTGTAGTCCACTCAGAACTCTGAAGTGTAAAAAAGCATTTGCCTGATGAACAGCCTTGCATACAGAAACATGACCTGTATTCGATATGAAAGACAGCTTCCCACCTTGAACTGCATTCATCTGGGAGCGAATGGCCCTCTCGCATGCAGCCTTGGCTCCAATGAGGAGGTAGATCTGCTCATCCCTCGTGATGACATCATCTGAATCCACCTGAGATAGTGCAGAATACTTCTTTTTAATCAAAAGGAAATGAAACAGGTTGTTTCTCTCTTTGTTTTTAATAAAGTATATTATTCACTTACAAATCAATTCAATGAAGGGGAAATATTGACTTCTTATTGACTTTGCATAACAAATGATCATATAGCCCTCTGCTCAAGTATGTGCCATCAGAGGTTTGGGTATTAAAATCATGGATCCAGGTGGATTTTATGCCATAAAACAGTACTATCCCTTCATCAGAACAAACTATGAAAGCCAAATAGAAAGGAATAGCAAAGATTACATGTTTCAATGATCTTCATGTTGGTGTAAACTGTATTATTATGATGTTATGTCTACCAAAGTGTGTTAGCCATTTCAAAACCTCTCCTAAGGTCACTCCAGTATTTGCAGTAAACATTGAATATACCCATGACTCAGCCACTAGCAGACCATCCCTTTTCCCAACTGCTTATCCTCCAGGGTTGCAGAGCCAATCCTGGAAGCTACGAGCACAAGGTGGGGAACAACCCAGGAGAGGTGGGGGGGCGGGCAGCCCATTGCTTGGCACACTCACACACCATTCATACCTATGGGCAATTTAGGAACTCCAATTAGCCTCAGAACTGTGGGGGGAAACCTGGAGCATCCACAGGAAGCCCCATGATGACACAGGGAGAACATGCAAACTCCTTAACATTAGAACTGTGCACTTTGAGCATGAATATAGCATTTTCCCCAAGAATAGGCCCAGGGTTTGAATATAGACAGGTCCCGGCAGAGCTCAGTTCTGCCTCCTTATGTCCAAACCGCACCTTGCTGCAGCGCGGCTCCGCCTCCTTCAGCGTTAACCATTTATTATTATCCCAAAATTTAGTAAAACATTCAAAGTGAATGATTTAATAAAAGTCAGATTTGCGCTAAAATTCATGGTTTTCCATCAGCTTTAATATTAATTTTCATTAGTATGAAAGTAGTATGAATATATGACGACATTCATCCCTCGAGTGCACAAGATAATCCTACATGATGCCTTGATTTCTGTCCCGTGTTTTTGTATTTTGCCTTATTTTGCTTACCATACTGCTGCCAAAACTTCACTTACAATCTAGACTCTGCTAGAGATAAAGCCTGTATAAGAATTTCTAAAACGCAATCTGTGAATAACTTGATATGTAATGGATTTTTACAAGGACAATAGAAATGAATAAGCAAGAACATTACTTGTAGTAATAAGCCATCTTGATGCAACTGTAAGGTTCATTTATGTTAACAATGTGATATGTAAAACTATGAGCGCACTGAGAAGCGCAGCAGTGATCAGTAGCTCCGCCCACCGCCCCGCTCCGATTAACATATATTTCCATGTAGCGACCTTGAAAATGAAAAGCCAAAATAGGAAATGAAAAGTCAAACTGGAAAATGAAAAGACAAAAAGGGTTTTTAGTTTTATTTTTCAATTTTTCACATCTGACTCATACATGAGTGGAAAATTTAAATGCAAATAGTGCTATTTCATTTTAATTTTAATTTTTGCAGGATTTTTACACACAGAATTTGGAAAGTAAATGGCAAAGTGGAGATTGTATTTTCTTTTTTATCATTTTCATTTTAATTGTATTTTTTGCAGAAAATACATCCTATAGTAAAACATAAATAAAAATAAATAAAATAATATCAAATAAAAATAACTTTTTAATCAGTTTATTTTGTATTGTTTTAAAGTAGTTACACAACATGCTGGCAAGTGAACATAGTGCATCCTCAATATCATGATCATATGATAACTAATAAACTAATGCATGGAGTGGCTTAATCAGGCCCTCCCCCCACTTTGTACCTGACATATTCAGAGGCTTGCCAAGTCACTCTACACAATGTACTGAAAGTACATTAACACTTTTCCACTATTTTACCCATTATTCACGGAAGGACAGATCGATTGCTTCGGCCTGTTTTACAGCTCCCCACAAATTTATCCGACAGTCAGTGCCAAAGTTAAATTACCAGGCATGTGAATTCTTAATCCCCTGCCTCGAAGTGTCGTGAAATAGTTGTACGTGAGCGTGGAATTTGTCAAACACTTTCAATCCCTTTGCTTGGGAAGGGGTGGGGGGGTGAGAGGTGGGGGGGGGGGGCATCCTTGCTGGCCTCCCAAGTAGGACGTGGAGTACATAGGCCTCTTTGTGGCCCGAAACATTTCACAGCTGTTGTCTGTGCAAAGCTCTCAAACCGAGATGGACCGAAAGAGGGGAGGATGGCAGGATGAGGGTAGGTGGAGGGGATGGAGCAGGCTCAGACTGGCCAGCAGAAGTAGCGGAAGGTCTCCTGGTGGTCTGGCCTGCCATTCAGGGCAGACCCTTACATAATCAGATGGTGAAACAAAGTAGGTGTTTTAGTATGAAAAGTGTACGCAGTATGGCTCCGGCCCATGCCTCTCACGTCATGGCGTGATCTGCATGTCATGACCACAGCACCGTGAGCGGACACTTGGCATTGGGTGAACTGATTTCAGGGAGGCAGATGAGGGACAGCTGGGAGGGAGGGAGTGCTCTCTAGGCTTGGGCACTATCATGGTGATACCCAGACCCCCCCCAAACAAATTTTAAGAAATTATAGAATAGAATTGATGTTTCAAATAACATCAACCACAGTGTAATGCCTGGACTGTATGACAGTATTAAAAATTAAGTGCTGCCCACGCCTATAGTGCTCGTTCGTGGTGGCAGTGGGGAGGGGGGTGTACAATCTGAAGACTGGGGCTAGAGGTTAAATTTGCCAAATGGGTTGCAGTAGTAAAACGTCTTGCCAGATAATTTTCCTGCCACTGAATAGGGGAACAATGGATTTCCAGGACATTATACATGCGCCATTCATGGGCGTCTGGGAACTGTTGTCAATTTGCAGGAGACTCCCAGAGTTTCCAGGACAGGTGGGATGTCTGTATGAGATCCACGTATCGATATCGTATTGACATTGTGTGCAGATAAAGAAAAGCAATATTTGTGGTTTAGCTGCATAGCTAATGTGGTGAAATAGAATCAAAGAAAAGGAAAGTTGGAGCCAAGAGGGGAAACAGAGACAAACAAAAACCCTCGAAAAAGAAGCTGAAGGATATTCTAAAATGATTGACTTGTTCAGCAAGGGGTCAAGTAACGCAGTGTTTCCCAGTCCTCGGGGCACACTGGACAGATCCACATTTTTGTTTTCTCCCAGTTCCCAGAACACTTGACCCAAGCAGTCAGGAACTCTAAATACCTTACAGGTTTGGGAAACACTGTGTTAACAAATATGCGGCTAGTCACGGACGCTTGCAGTAGCGTGGCCAGCTGTGCAGCTTTCCACTGGACGCTCTGTTTTTTCGGCCCACTGTCCCCCAAGTGGCACAAAATCTGGGCGGACGCTTACTTCTCCTTTTCAACATGAATATTATTTGAAGGGACACCATATGACTAGATAACAAATAAATAATCACATTCACACACTACGACAAATGAAATGATTTTATTACTAATTACACAGCTAATTACACAGCTGCTGTTACATTGATGAAAATGAACGAAACCTCTTTGTACCCGGATGACCGGTCTGCTATCAAGTTGAGTGGCCATGTAATAAGTCCTGTTATTGACTCAGTGACGCACCTGTCATGCAAATGAAGTTGCCTTTCATTGGTTAACAACACATAGGCTCCTGACTCGGTGCAAAAAGTTAATGGCTGAATTTATGTATCAGTTTATAAACAACCTTAAATTGATCTCAGCTCTGTAACATTGTTTTTTTGGTGCCGAATATCACGGGATCTCCTGTATTGAAAAAATAATGCTGTACCTCAATTTGAACCAACATTGTCTCTTACACCGTCCTAGCTGCTCGGCAAATTTCATCATCACTTAGTTAGGTTACCCGAACCGAAACAAGCCTCCCAGTCCAGCCCTGGGATCGAGTGATAAAAAGAAAGAAGCAGAAACAAAGAAAGAATAAAGGAGAAAGAGAAGGAGGCACAGGCAAAAAAAAGGCAGAAATGAAGGAAAAGTGAAGAAGGAAAGAGGGGATGGAGTAACAGCTCCTCTACACTAATATCAGCGCTTTCAGCAGCAAAGCAGCAGGGAATTTCAAACACAGCAAACAGAGGCAGTGTGTATTATCCTGTCATTGATAGGACAGAGTTATGTGCATCTCCACACTCTCAGCCACACTGCGGCTGTCTGCGGGGCCCTTTTTACCACACTAAATGTAGTAACAATTATATTCAGTACAATTTAGTACATAAATAATAATAATAATAACCTTTTGGTTTCAGCAGCTGGCAGGTCAATAAATGCACGGTTTACAAAATGCTGGTATCTATCACAGGAAAAGCAGATGTGATGTGAGAGAGCTGTCATGAGCTCCTAGCCCACAACCATGACACCTGTGCTACCATCACAGACGGCAGAGACAAGATGGTGTCACGCCCAGAGGGCGGGACCAATTAGACATTGCCACGTAATTGTCTGTCGCTCCACTATTTAACGTGGACAAAACACAGCAGTGTTGCGAAGTATTGTTGCCATGTATTGGAGCCTTACCGAGCGTTACTTTGTCTCGTGTCTTCCCCGCTTGTCTTGCCTGCCCTGCTTGTCTCACCCATCTTGCCTGCCCTGTCTGCCTCGCCCCGCCTGCCTGCCCTGCCCACCTGCCCTGTCTCCCTCGCCCTGCCCGCCTGCCCTGCCCGCCTGCCCTGTCTCCATCGCCCTGCCCGCCTGCCCTGTCCCGATTTCCCGATCTTCCCTCCTGGATCCACCCGGTTTGTCGTCACCCCGTCTCGTCGCTACTCGTAGGACTGACCTTCCCGGCTACTGGACCCTGGCAATCTCCCCGGCTATTCTCTTGGATCATCCCCTCTGGCTTTGGTGTTTTCGGATCTAAAAATAAAGGCTACCGCATATTGGGGTCCACTCCTGTTCTGTCGCGGTGAAACAGGGCTAAGCACCTGGTTTTTGGGCCCTCCAAGGCTGGCTGGCTGCTTGTTCACCAAAGCGTTCCTGTACACGCAAGAACAGCATGCACCTCCAGCGCCTTGAGCTTCAAAACAAAAATCATACTCTCAAACAAAATGCACCCCACATGTTTAATTTTGTCCAGGTGAATTTGAATATGCATTCGGTTTTCTTGCCAGATTTATTGTAGCTAATATTAATATTGCTGGTAGGGGCAGATTAGCTTAGATACTCAGGTGTCGGTGATTTAACATTTGTCCCGAGGCAGGAGACCCTGATGTTGCCGGATCCCTAAGGTGTAGCCTAGCATAGCCTAAGCACTAATCCAGCCCTGCCCCCTGCTAGTTATAGGTTCGTGTATCCCTGTTATTAGGGGTCCAAACACCATTGGTAACATTCTATAAAAACCACAATATCAGTTTGCTGAGCAGGAGGATTAAGTCAGGAGTCAGTGGGCTAATTGACTGCAAGGATCCAAAGTCAGCATTAAAACGAGCTGATCTGTGCAGCTGAAGGAAAGTACTGGACCATGACCCTGAAGGAGAGGTCAGCTTCAGTGTTTTCATACGTTGTCCTCCATGTGATTTACTGGCAGGAAATTGCTCCCAGTCTTCAGCTTTGGCTTTTTTTATAAACAAAGGGGCTCATATTGATTTTAGACAGGAATTCCCATCATTCTCAGAAGCATAATCAATTTCTGTTAAGTGCTTCGGTTTTCATGTGTAAAGGGAATTGGCTTGGCAACCAGTCCCTCCTCATACGTAGATATTTCAAGGCGGGAAATGCTATAAGATTTAATATTATAACTGGGAATAAATAAGAATTGTGTCTGTTCCAAGGCATTATATAAATAAATTTGTTAATTTGTCAATACAACAGATGAAGATTATTCCACTGGAGATTACCGCACCATTGTTACAGTGTACATCTACTGTTCTGAGAACGCTGTGCAGGATTACTGTATTACAGCTACCCAGTGACCAGGGGGCAGGGATACCCTGGGACTTTATAGGGACCCAAAATCTAAGACCAACCCCCACCTCCCCAGGCCAAATCTACCTGCCCCTCTGCCACCGAGGTGACAATTTTGTCAAGGGGGCCAGAATATCCAGCGACACCCCTGCCAGTGACAAAGAACAATTCATTTATTTGAAATGTCTGACCCACCAGTAATACAGAGGCATAAAAGTTGATTTTTTTTCTTGAACCTCTCTCAGTAATAAATGATCAAATCAAATCCTCTTGCATTTTTCATATTAGCTGTAATACCTTTCATTAGGTGTTAATAATGAATCATTGTAAGAACAATTAATAGTCCACTAAAATGGATTATTGTAATTCTGTTTACATTTTACTGTCATCATCCAGTTTCATCATGAAAATTTTGGTTGAAGCTGATGGGTCTTTATTGATATATCATCAGACATGTTGCAAACCACTTCTTCTTAGACTGATAATTTGTAGATCATAATACCCCCAGCAGACATTTCTTCCTTGAATAGGTGCCAAAGAACCTAAATTCAACTAAATAATAGAACATCTGAGAATATTTTTAAAAAGTTATTTCACAGTGAGACTAAACCTCTGGCCCTGTCATGGGTCATAGTCACCAAAAATGAAGCTTTGAACTCTGACCTCTATGTGGAAATGTAAAAGGACACTTTATTATTAAAAAATCATATTGCTATGAAACTATTTCTTCAATAACAAAATGTGACAGGACAGAGCATCTGGGTTTTGTGGCTTAATATAATGCAAAGAAATACTACCATGCTCTGGCAGTAATTATTTGTGTTTCATTAGTTTTCTAATATTCATAACCGTATGAGTGAGGAACCATAGAGCAGACACTGAAATGCCCAAATGTTCCAGCACAACCCTATTTGCAAACTACAAACTTTAAAGGCCATTATGAATTGCATTCAGTTTTTTACTCTCAGGAAACAAAATGTACGCAATTATACTTTTTTTTTTTCTCAGCGTAAATGAAAAGATCTCTCTTTGAATTTGTTAATGTTTATATTCCTCGGCATATAAAATGTCGCTAATTAGATTTGATGTTTAAATTTATTCATTGCATTGCTGGTTAAATATGTGTAGCAGACCAATTAAATGCGAAAGATGGGATATTTACCCTGAAAAGAAATTTGTGGTTTTCACCACTGACAAACACCCAGAGCTGTATTTATATTGCAATGTAATACTTACATCTCCAGCCAATACACATTTAAGTCATAAATAAAGTCAAGTACTAGCTAGTGAAAGAACACAGTACATAGGAATCCTGAATGACACAAACCTGTGAGTTCTAACACTGATCTGATGCTGTGTTAGGGAGATGTAGGACTATAGATTAACTGCTCTGAAAGCTGATAGGATAGGGGATACTAAGCATTTGTTCCTATAGGAATTGACATTACAATCATCAGAGATCATCTGGCTTAACAGAGCTCAAAGCTTTTTATGTCACCTCCACCCCCCACACAGTCGGGCATGCAAACAGGCATCAATGCAGAGGACTCACCGATGCACCAACTTTCCTCATGACAAGAAGAAGAAGAAAGGCAACTCTTCTCAGAAGTGACATGCTTTGTTCTTCTTCTCCCATTCCCTGTCTGCGTAACCCCTGAGACACACAAAGCCGTGCCCTCATGGTGCTGAATTATTATCCCACTTCCAGAAACTCCAGCCGCTGTCCTTGGTTGAATGAACCATTACTCCTGCAGTATGAGTCAATAGCACAAACGAGTAAAAGACCAGCTTGAGAAAATCCACATTAAAAACACGCTCAGTTGGAAATATTCACTCATTTTGTCACATGGGTGAAAAAAAACACTTGCCCAGCATCAGAGCCAGCTGTCATCCTACCCCTGGACAGTGTATTCCCTCAAACACGCCGCTAGCAGCTCATTCGGAGAGGCAGCTGATCCTCCTCACTGTCCTTCTGCTTCTGGTCAATCTCTCCAATAGTACATCTAGCTATGCCTGCTTAAACCCTCTCAGCGGGGAGTGTCCTCACATCTGCATTCTCTCCTGGGAAGGTACACGTTTGGCTCTCTGTCCTGTGTATCTGAGAATGGCAGAGAACTGAGGAGCATGGAGTTCAGCCTCGTTCCTGATTCAAAGTGAGGGTGGCTTCCCATCAGTGTTGTTATGGCTTCAGGGGTTCAACTCAATTGTTATTGGATTTAATGATGCATTTCGCAGTAAAATGTATTCCTTTTCTGGAACTGTATTCTTCCTTTACACCAGCTTCTTGCTTTTTATGTCCTCTTTGTTTTCATGCAGTATGCATTTATTTGTGACTTTGGACAGTGAGTTGTGGTCAGATGTAGCACAATGATCTACCCAATATCCATAATAACATAATTGCGAGGGTGACACTGTGGCCTTATCTTTCCAGTGCTCCAGCTCTGTGTATGTGCTGTCTGTATTTTCTCCCTGTGCTGGGAGGGTTTTCTCTTGTGGTACATTACCAGTTAAAAGTTTGGACACACCCACCCATTGAAAGGTTTATTTGTACAATTCTCTACATTTTAGAATAATTATAAAGACAACTATAAAATAACATATATGGAATTATGTACTGACCAAAAAATTATTAAACATAAAAAAATTATTTGTTGGAGAGGGAGCAGCTCTGTGGGTTGGGACTCAAAAGGTTGCTGGTTCAAATCCCTGGGTCAGCAGAATGATCCCACCATTGGGCCCTTCAGCAAGGCCCTAAACCCCAATTACTCCAGAGACTGGCTGGCCCTACAGTCTCCTACATGCCAGTTTCATGAGGTGGCCTCCTGGGATGCTTTTCCAGCTGTCCTGAAGGAGGTCACACATACATGCTGAGCTCTCATAGGCAGCTTTTCCTTCACACTCTGGTCAAACTCCTCCAAAACCCTTTCTACTGTGCTTAGGTCAGGTGGCCAGGCATGATGATGCAACACTTTCACTCTCCTTTGTAGGACACTTGGTGTGTCTAAACATTTGGCTGGTACTGTATGTCCGTCCCCTGCAATAGACTTTGCGCCCTAAACTTCTTGGGTTAGTCTCATGGTGACCCTGTAGAGGATAACTGCAGGTGGGCTGTTTCGTCCAGTATGGGAACATAATGATATAATTTATTCAGTATCAGTTTAAGAAAACTTTTATAATTTGGAGTGTAATGAACCATGTCTGTTCTTTAACAAGCATAAATTAGCAACTGTAAGGTAAATGCAATGCAAATAAAATGTTTACCATAATCCAACTGGCCTATGTATTGGTGTTTTTATTAGGGTTCCCAGTAAAGGACTGGGGGTCTCATCCAGAATGAAGCCATGCCTTCAGCTCTGTGCTGCCTGGCATAGACTTGTGGTCCTTCATCACCCAAACCAGGCTAAGAGGCAAAAAATGGATGAATGGATGCTCAGTGCACAAAAAAATTGCACAGCTGCACTGTAAAAAAAACATTGATTATCTGCATTAAAAATCAGACAGTGGTAAAGCTGCCTGTATTTTCTGTCACACTTAACCAGCAGTGTGAATTTTCCCCAGACTGCAAAAAAAGCCATTTTGTTTGCTGGGGTGTATGCACAAGTCTGTATGATGAGTCAGCAGATGCACAGAAACCTGCCATGTTGCAAATGAGATGTCTACCCAAGAAACACAAGTTCAAATGGACAAGGAGCTTCCATTACTGTCTCACAGACATTACTTTCCATTAAATCTCACAGAGATTTTGACATTTTGGAATCTACCATAAAATGCACATATACGATTGCTATTTATTTGGAAATCAGTCCAGTGAATTTAAACATCAGTACTGAAGGTCAGTTCTCCAGTGGACTGTAACAGTAGTAGAGCTTCACTCTTTCTGAATCCCATTGCTCATTCTGCTGAATGCCTAGAGACATCTTTGTGACTATTATACATTTCCTGAAAACATCATCTTTTATTTTTTCTTCTGATTCCAATGAACTGAGGTTCAACTACAACAAATATTGATTACAGGTGTATTTCATTTTATGTTACGTGACATATCCTACCGTGGTTTTATCCACATTTTCAACAATGTGCTGGAGTACAAATTTAACTTGTTCTCTTTTGGTTTCTTGGCAGTTTCTCAACAACTGACTTTTGTCAGAATTCAGTGTTTCTGACTGAAAATGTAATTAAAATTTTAAATCAGATTAATGCCCATACCCACAAACCTGTTCCACAATCTAGCTTTGTATGACTGAATATAAATTTTCAGTTTCTTCGAAGTAAACCTGGTACATACATTGCTTCAGCTTGTGTATAATTTACATTTTTATGAGTAACGTTCTCATGAGTTTTATTTACTTTCCTATTTAGTTTCTGAATCAGAATCAGAATCAGAATCGCGTTTATTGGCCAAGTATGTGAGCGAACATATAGAAGGAATTTGGTTCCGGTCGATGGTGTCTCTCAAGCACAACAGTATAAAAACAACAACAATACAATATAATACAATACAATACAATGAACAATACAATATAATAATTGGCCAAATCTTGTATACAGAAAATACAAAGATTACAGAAATATATACCACAGAGTGTACATAAAGTGCAGTTGCAGTGCTGTAGGTGTTTAGCAGTGTGACGGTTCAGCTGTTTAGGAGGGAGATGGCTAGGGGAAAGAAACTGTTCCTGTGTCGGGTGGTCCTGGTCTGCAGGCTTCTATATTGTCTGCCAGAGGGCAGCAGGTCAAAACGTCTGTGTCCAGGGTGTGCAGGATCTGTGGTGATTTTCCCTGCCCTTTTCCTGGATCTTGAGAGAGACAGGTCCTGGATGGAGACTGTGATGGAGGAGCAGACTGTGATGGAGGAGCAGAGGACAGACTCAATGACTGCAGTATAGAACTGGATCAGCAGCTCCTGTGGAAGACTGTACTTCCTCAGTTGTCTCAGGAAGTACATCCTCTGCTGGGCCTTTTTGAGGATGGAGGAGATGTTGGTCTCCCACTTCAGGTCCTGGGAAATGGTGGTACCCAGGAACTTGAAGAACTCCACAGTAATGGATAACTGAATAACTGGAGCAAGAGATTGGTTTGCACTGCCATTATTGAGTCAGACTTGTTCCCAGTGGGTGTTCATTTGCTGGTTGATATACTATATGTTCCTACCCTCACCTAGGGCTATGAGCTTTGGGACTGAAAGAATGAGATCATGGATACAAGTAGCAAAAATGAGTTTCCTTCTCAGGAGCTCAAATGCTCCTCCTCTGCAGTGAAAAGACTGAACTGAGGTAGATTGAGCATCTATCTAGGATGCCTCCTGGGCTCCTCCCTCGGGTGGTACTTTGGGTATGTCCAATTGGGAGGAGGTCCCAGGGCAGGCCCAGGACATGCTGAAGAGTTTATATTGCTCAGCTGGCCTGGGAATGCCTTGGTATTACCCTGAAGGAGCTGGAGGAGGTGTCTGGGGAGAGGGAGGTCTGGGCATCCCTGCTTAGACTGCTGCACACAACCTCCACACAAACTACCCAACAAGATCAATAGATCAGATTCATAAGATCAATCATCTTCTGCAGTCAGCCTTCCTTTTGTTGCCATTAAGCAACATTTGAATAGATCCAGATCTTCCTCCGTATAATGTGTCTGTAAAGTTTGTAAAAGAACCGTCAAATACTTTTAGAGTTATGTTCACAAGATTAAGTGTCTTCTACAGCTGCTGCTTCTTCCTTTGCTATCACAAAGCTGCTTAATCTTTTAGGCAATTTGTCTGAAAACAAAATCAGATGAATACTGTATGTTCATTCATATATTGTTCTTTGAGGCAGTAATATGATCCATTAAATGCTTTTTGACTTAACACATTCATAAGGTCAAATATTTAAGGTCACCATACCTTAAAAAGGACATTGTTGCCTTGGAAAAGGTTCAACGCAGGGCTACAAGGAAGATTCCTGGTCTTAGAGGAATGTCTTATGATGAGAGGTTAGCTGAGCTGAATCTGTTCAGCCTCGCGCAAAGGAGATTAAGGGTGGACATGATCCAGGTAAATAAGATTCTAACAGGTCTCGAAGCTGTTTAGCCAAATGGCTACTTTAATATTAGTTGAAATACTACAATTCGTGGCCATAGGTGGAAATTAGTGGGAGAACATTTTAAACTAAACACTTCTTTACATAGTGTGTAGTAAGAGTATGGAATAGACTTCCTGCTAGTGTAATGCAAGCTAAAACTCTGGGTTCCTTTAAATCAGAGCTAGATAAGATTTTAACACTGAACTATCAGTTATGTTTTCCTGAAACGAGCTTGATGGGCCGAATGGCCTCCTCTCGTTTGTAAATTTCTTATGTTCTTAAATGTTGTCTGCTTTCATGCTTCCCTTTACTGACACTAAATGGTATTGCTTCATTTTTTGGGCAGTTTGTCTGAAAAATAGAATAATTCAAGGGCATCACCCTGTCAATGTTTTCCCAAAGTTTGAAAAATATCAATGAAATCCTTTTTGAGTTATCACATTAATGAACCAGTGGCAGTGGACCGGTCCCAAAACCGCACTTATTCTCTCCAGGGAATCCCATTAATCACATCAATAGAGTTTTATGTAAATAGCTATGTATTTATTGATTTTATTGAAATGTGACATATTCATTTGTATTTTTAAAAGAATCACCTGATTAGACTAAGCAGTTAGAAGACAGATGCTAAATCAACTCCCCACAAGCAGTCTGATTGGAGCAATTGGGGGTTAAGGGCCTTGTTCAAGGGTCCAATGGTGAAATCAGTCTGCTGCCCATGGGATTTGAACCCACAACCTTCCAGTCACATCCCAACTCAGATGGCCAAACAGCATCCCCGTTACCATAGTCCTATATGACTTATTTATCTGTCAGTGTCCTTAGTTCATAAAACATATAATTAAACATGAATATTTGCTATTATCAGTATTTGCTATGGTTTTTTTAACAGGGTAAAATTGTAACAGGTTGATTGGAAGATGATTGTTTCAATCAGACCATATCAACTATCTATCAATTCAAGACATTCATATTTTACACAAAGAACTGCATTACTTTTAAAAAGAAAAATAACTGTTTTCGTTTCTGTAAGAGCTAACCATGAGAGCGAGGGAGGAGAAAAAAACGGCGGTTTAGTGGCCAATGGCATGTAACATCCTCCTGATGAAAAGGAGAAAAAAGCGAAAACCTAAGTAGAGAGGGCAAGTCCCGGAAGTCAACTGCATTTAAGTGAATTAAAACTCGTTGCAGAGGTTCAAGAGTTTTCAGAATACGGAAGCACAGCAGCTGATCCCTGCAGTCATTTCAATCGGCGTGCAAGAATAAGCAAATGGTAAGTTCTTTTCTGTACAGCCGGCAAATGCGCCTCCCCGCCTTAATGGTAATAATGGTGTTAGTTGGGTACCGGTAATTTATTAGCGGTCCAAGCAGCAATAGCTGTTGGATGGATCCCTATTTTTTTCTACTGATTATAGTAATTCGTTTTAATATTCATCAACTTACATTTTAAACAAGGAGGTTGATGCAGCAGGAACGTTATTTTATTTAATGTAAATACCCTTAAATTGATTGTTTGTTCCGGCGTATGCTCTTTAAATAGATTTTTTAAATAAGCTTGGTAATTCTTAGGCAACCTTTCGATGATATTTTGTATGTTACTTTCATTATTCAATTGCTCGATTTCATTTAATCAGACTATTCAATTTATTATTGTATTAATATCTATCATCCTAATTATATATATAAAAAAACACAATATGGAAATCGATGGATGAACAGATTGATGTATATTGAAGTTTTTATGTTCACCATCTGTCAGGTTGTAAGGACGTGGGATAACCATTATCCTTTAACTGTAGACAATCAGATACAGACCCTGGTCACACTATAACTGGCATACGGTTTGGACTTTAGTCGATCTGTGGCTGTTTTTCGTGTTTCTGTATAAAGACAATGTCTGGCTCTTGAAACTTGAAAAACACATTCTTATTGTGTTCTGATTTGACTTTTTCATATAGAATTTTTCAGAATTCTGGAAACCTGGTTTCTGTCACATAATTATCATTGTCCTTATTTGTTCAATGTTTACATTCTAACAGCTTGACCAACAACCCAGTTTTCAGCAATTACTTACCCACCTGGGACCGGGTATAGAGTCTGTTCTGGGAAGAATTGGGTGTGATGATGAACATTCTAGATAAGTCACCAGTCTATATCCAAACAATAAGGACAGCTTGCAGTCACCCACTCACCAAAACACCATCCTGTTAAATTAGGGAAGCCCCACATGAACATGGGGAAAGCTTCGGGGGTGACATCCATAGTTTTGGAGTTGGCAGAATTGATCACCTTCTTGTAGCGTAAGAAATCAAATTTCCATTGAGACTAAGTAAATGCAAAGCATTGTCAGTTCTGTCAGGGAGCAGCAGTTCTGCACGACTTTGCTCGTGATTGTGCTTTCACTGCAGCTGTGTGGGTTTGCTTATTGTATTCCATTCTGGCATATGTAAATCAGCTGATGAGTCGCATTAAAGATTATTGATACAGGGAACCGTGAGCTGTTGCCATGGCTATTGGGGTGTTGAGCTACAGGTGGAGTTTCCTTCTCCATCTCCAGCTATTTGCAGGTGGGACCTGGCTGCTCTGACCTCTGGTATCTTCAGATGAGAAGTATGTGCACAGCTGTCCAGTTCACACAGGGGCAGAAATTAAACAAAAAGAAAAGCATCATATAACCTGAAGCACACGGTCTGAGGGGACAAAAGGACACGGCTTGGTTTGTATGGTGAACTGTTTAGTGTACTACACTTGTACCATCTTTTGCACTATGGCATTTTTAACAAAAATTCACTTGTGCTGCATATGTTAGTCATCACCTGTGTCCGAATAAGTACATCATTGATGTATTTTTTAATATGATTAAATAAAAAAACGCAACAACCTGTAATTTGTGGCATTGGACATAATTTTATGATAAAGTGTAATGGAGTTAAAGGTATCATGTTTACTAAGCCAGATGTTCTCACTATGAAGATGCCTCAGTCTTCTTACATCTAGCACTACACTGAGATGGACCAGAGCCTCCATGGTGCTGCATGCTGACATTAAGACTTAATTCCCTTTTTGGGAGGAATTTCTTCCCTACTTACATGGATTTTCATGGAAGGGAAAATGAGAAAGAGGCTATTAATGAAAGAGACTGACTTCTTAGTGTTGTCTAGAAATTTGCTTTCTTTCACATGGGGCTCCCGTAGTGCCTCCTAGCATGCAGTTTAATGGACCAGGAAGCCCAGGGTTGAAGGCCGACTTTGATGAGTGGTGAAGGTTCATTGAATTTCAGTTCATTCAATGTCGATCCTACTTCTAAAGCTATGCTGTGACTTAAGTCCCTTCAGCCATCGATCTTCGAACTGTGTATGCTGGGTAGGTGGGGGGGGAGCTATCACAGGCAGCACAAGGTTGGGGTTTAGCCTGCATAGGATTCCAGTCCATTGCAAGGCACATGTGCGCCTAACTGCAGATGTTAAGACTCTAGTACAAAACTCACATATGCACACATACAGCAGAAGTGGGATTCAGCAGCATTGGCCACTGAGCTACCAGTTTCTGTGGAAATAAGCAGACATAATCAATACTGAATGCTGGAAAAGTATTATCCACTAGTTGATGATGCCAGTACTGTAATTTCATATGCTCGTATTGTGGGGGCTCATGATACAGCTTGGTACGTAAAGGGCTGACAATGAGAAAGACGAGCACGAAGCCTGCAAGGAATTATGAGTAGAGCTGTTTCCCTTTCAGATGCATCAGTCACCCGCCTAAATGTGCAGTGAGCATTTTGTTGTGAACTTTAGGTAGATTCAGTTTTGAAGACTGTAAAATTGTGTCACTGTGTCTCGTTGCACAATGAGCACTGTTCAGTACATTGCTTAATTTAAAGGTATAGCATTGCCCCTCAACATTGCCGAGGTCAACCTATACAAGCTTGGAGACCTTGTCCACACAGTATGTTATTGTTGTGGTGCTGTAATGTCTGCAAGACCATGGGTGAGACTTATGGACCCCTAAGATGTAAGTCTTTATGTTACAATTTTGAACTGGAGGACTAGAGAGTGCCAGGACTAATACCAGTCTGTGTCTTTATCCATCCTCTGCCTGGTGCTCATTTTTGAATAAACAAACCATTTTTTGTTCAGAAGGAACATCAGTTTATGGTTCTTTCATGGTCTGTACTGTGCAATTGCATGCCTGCTCCCCACTTCCTGTTAGGGCACCAGGGAGCCTCACAGGAAGTCTGATGTGTTATCAGAGCCACCAGTTGCCTCATATGGGCATGTGACAGGAGTGATATGTGTCACTGCACAAATAAGGCAAAGAAAATGGGGTGATGCTGCTGAACACCCCCCAGTTTTGAGCGAGTACGTTCTCAGGAGCCAACGTCAGGGTCACGTCAAAGCAGATCTTATTCATTTCATGTTTTGATGTGCATCCATGTCCGGTTTCGCAAATAACGTACACATTGCTGAAACTTGTGGTTTTGTCAACACATACTGTTCTTTTGATTAAAAGAGATACATTTTCAAGTTGTTGAGTTCCAAGGTTTTGCTACTGAGGTAAAAAAAAATGCACATATTGACTAATTATTATGAGATTATGAGAACTGGAAACTTCTGAGATGCAGATGTAGAAAATTGCTTGCTGTAGATCTGTGTTTGCTACACTCATTTTCCACTTTCAGGGTGTTATGCTAAGTTGATTTTCATGGTTTCATTCCAATACACATGGACATACTTACAAGTAAACAAACACCTAACAATAGCTCTGTGGAAATACAGTGTTGAGCCTGAGTCTTAATATCTTGAATGAACTTTTGATTTTTTGTGGGGTCTTTGGGCTTTGAATGAGAGTTATGACCCTATAAGAATAACAAGGGTGAATAAAGGGTTCCTCTTATCACTGAAAGCGAGCTTCCTTCTGGGTGGGTATCTTGTTTGTATATCATACAGTATTAGCATTTCACCAAAACCTCCCTGGAGTAGGCCTGGTAGAGGTGGGGGGAGTATGGTTGAAGTTGTGGGGGCGAATGGTTTGGCTTCCACAAGGCCAAAGGGAACGGTAGAAGCAGCTTTTAAAAAGGACTGAAGCTGTACATAAGGTGTGATTGGGCCATAGAAGAGGACAGTTGGGGGAATAATTGCTGTAATATGGAGGCCTTCCATTAGCTTAAGCGTCGCACTGGGCTGAGTGCTGCTGATACACATCACTGAGTGTCGTTTCTCCCTCTCTCGGCGCCCATCTGTCTCGGCTGTTACTGCTCGTCCACAGACTGTGGCCTGCCTGCCTGACTCGGTCCAGTAGGCCACTATATACAAACTCCACCTAGCCCCACACCCTGTCCTAATCTCCATGCAGCTTTCTAATTGCAGACACAGCCCATCAGACCACTGTGCTGAGGACAGGCCTAGATGGAGCTGATTTATCATGTGCGTCGCTTTTTTAGAGCAATTTGATACAGGGTCCCTTATTGCTGGGTGATATATTGGTAAAATATCGTACTGCAATCATGAACATTCATATTGTCATTCATTTTATATTGCCTAAACACTCATCTTTCTTGCAAAATTGACAGTCATAATACACTATTTTAATGCAAATTCCATTAAGGTATGATATTGTTGTCATTATTTATCATTATACCAGTCACACACTTCATAACTATTAGTAAAACAATTTGCTCTTCATGATCAGAAAAAACTCAAAATCACCTTTCATATTTTGCTTTTTTCTACATTTGAAATCTATAATATTGTGATAAATATCGATATTGTGAAAATCTCTGAAAATATTGTGATATCATTTTGAGGGTATATGGCCCAGCCCTAGTGGAATCCATTCCCAGTACTAAACAGCAAAGCAGTCAGAGAAAAATCCTTGCAACAAAACGTACTGCTGGTATTTTCTAGTGTTATGTCTTACGATAAAAAAGTTTATTTTCATTATGATTTATTTATTCAAATTTGGACTAAGTTTGTAGTCCATTCAATTTGTCTCTATTTTCATGTTCTGAATCTAAGGCCAATTCTAACAATAATAAGCAAAAATGAAATATTAAATTGACTTGAATTGTGTCGTGATAATTATCAATATCATTTTATATTAAATAAATTATGATAAAACATTTTGCCATATCACCCAGCCCTAGCATCCCTTTCTTTCAGTGCTTGTTTACAATTCAGCCACCTTAACCATTTTCATCAGTTTAAAGTTCATAATGTAATCGTGTGCTATCTATTCACTTTCAAGCTAATGCAGAAAGTGCAGAAGTGTGCCACATGTACTTAAATAACCCTAACCCAACCTTCAGAGTACACTGTGCAGCCCCACTTTGCATGTGCATATGACGCTATACTGACTCATATTTTCAGACTGCTGATCAGTAGGTGCTGAATCTGCAGTAGCATATTTTAGCTACTAACAACGGGCTTCATTCAGCAGCCATTCTTTAAGAAGATATTTCTTCTTAAAACCCACTTACGCAGCTTTACACAGTTTTTCTGATATTCATCAATGTTTTATTGTTTGGGATTTGTTTTTATGAAAGAACGGAATCTACGCACAATCACTAGCACACTTACACATATTTGAGTGCTGACAAGTTTGTGAAAAATAATTGTGCTTTCTTCAACTGTACAGTTCAATTGTACATGCTATAGGATTTAAATTAAAATAATGTTTTAATAATTTCTAGTATTTTGAATAATTTATTGCAGTTTTAATGATCAGTAATTATTTTACTATTTTATTGATGTTGTTGTTGTTAAAATGGGTAATAGCATTATTATTATTTTATATCCATTACTGATGGTACTAAATATGATGGCTTGTTTGTTGTTCACCTACAGTAGCACCTCCACTTTAGAACAACAGTATTGAAGTTCTTCTTATGTTAGATGTCCAGTGCTTCAATGTCTTAAAATTTTTGTTTGGGCATTCTTAACTTCTCTCTCAACTTTTCTTCTTAATTTCTGTGTGTGATTTCTGTGACTGCACATGGCACTACAGTCTCATGCCTTTATGGGGATTGCCAAGTTGTTAACTTATGCGAAAAACTGGCATGTATTTTCAGTTTATGAGAACAATGGGATTCATCTTTACAAGAACACAATTGCGAACAGTTCTGTGGTTTAAGAACAGACATTTCTTAGGACCTTTCTCAAGAACAAATTTAAGAAATAAACAACAACAGCATACCAAGTAGCTTATCTACCATTTTACATTGTGGCTTTGTATCGTAATGTAGAGCCTTTCTGAAAGCACTGAACAGAATTAATTATTGACGAGGAAATGGACTTCTGTCAAAAGAATAATCAGTACTATGTTTAAACTGCTTCTTCAGTCCAGTGTCATGGGCAATGTTTGGATCCTGTCCCTAGCAGCCAAAGGGTATATGACAGGGGAACACCCTGAATATTGAGATGCAAATTAACCCAAAAGGAGGGAGGGAGAGTACCTTGAGAAAGCCATTAAACACAGAGAGAACATGCAAACTCCTCACATGCACATATCAGGGTCAGGAACACCAGCCCTAATCCCTAACCTTTGAGGTCTAGGCAATAACACTGCCCACTGGACCACAATGCCATAAGACTTAAGGGACGAATGGAAAGATTACTGGAAGGAAAGAAAAACAACTCCAATGCCTTCGTATGCTTTTTGTGCCCCCTTGGAGGAGCAGCCAATCAGAAGGCAGATCAGCCCCACAGCCCAGGTCATCCTGTCATCTGCAGCTTGCCAATACTACTTTAACACATCATTATTAGGGGATAAGCTGTACAACCGACATTATAAGTGCCTAGGAATCGCAAAATGCTGATTAGGGGTGTAACGGTACTTGGTATTAAGGTTCGGTACACATATGTACAGAACGAATGCGGTAAATGTGGAACCTTTTCGTCTTTGTGTGTTTCCCCAAAGTCACATTCAGAAAGGGGCGGATAAGGCCGCGCCGCTACACATGGGCGCATAGTTACGACGAACACAGACAAATCAGTACTTGAAGATCTTCAACTGCTGCACCATAATGGATATTTATTTTGTTATACTTTGTATTTTTGATGAGACAATACTTATGTTGCACTGTTCTAATATGAAGCTGAAAGCTGCTAATGTGAATACAATACACTTACTTTTACCCCCGCTGTACTGAAAACACACCGTTCCATGACTTCCAAACGGAGGTGCATAATGAACCGTGATTTTTGTGTACCGTTACATGCCTGTTGTTGATATAGTTGATGTATTACGTAAAAAGTTTAAGGGTTGATGCTCTCAGTGCCTGGTTCACCGTTTCACTGCTGATGCGTTCCTGCACAGACAAAATCTTAGCTTCCTGTGCTGTTTATCAGCAGAAGATAATAAGGCAAGAGTATTAACAAGGACATGCAGCCACAGTAACAATGTACGCATTTATTATCCGAGGAGTGGGCCCCTGTATGAGGTAGAAGTAATTTAAGAGTAAAGCCAATCCTGGCTGGTGTGTAGCTCAGTAGGTTAAGACTCTATACCCAGATTCAGAAGGTTGCTGGTTCTAATCATGTCTCTAGCAGACTGATGGCACATTTGGACCCTTGAGCAAAGACCCTTAACCCCAGTCGCTCCAGGGACCCTGTTTGCCTTGGATAAAAGCTTCTGCTAAATAAGTAGAATGTAAATCAATACCAGGAAAAGTCTTTAACAATGGGAATTGGGCAGCATTAGAACCAGCCAAGCTTCACTGTCCGCTCACTATCAATGACAGAATTCATGGAGAAAAAGCTTTGACGTAAACCAGGATAGAGCAGCATCGAGACGTGGAACAGTTGTTAGATACACCCAAGACTGAATCAGATATCCACACACACAGCCCCAGCCACCCAGTGCACCAAACAACACAGTGCTGCTAAAGAATTGCTGGGCATCTTCTAGTAACTGGTTAGACACAGAGCAATGAAATAAGCTTGAGGCTTGGATGCCTGTTAACAGTAATGAATATAGAATCTTATGTGATACACGACTGATATTTCAAGTTCAACTAATTTTCTAAAAATAAGAATTTTAAAAAGAATATTAAAGGAGAATCCCCGTGTACCAGGGTAAATGGGGAATATACAGTACATGGAGAGGTGGATTAAAGAAGTGAAAACTCTAAGACGACTCACAGCTACCTGACATCGATGCTTCTTTCAGGAAAGAAAATTATCCACTGGTATCAAAATAACTTCAGTTATAGAAATGCTTTTTTCATTAGTTTTGTTATTGCATATTGTAATACTTCAACTACTCAGGATCAACATGGGGGTGAGAGGATAGAGCAGGGACTTTTTTGGGGTGTAACAATTCAGGGGAGAGGAAGAAACACAAAAGGTGGATGTTTGCGCTGCGGATAAATGGAAGCAAGGTGTCTACAGATGGGGGACACGGTCTGGGGTGAGGCCTTCAGAGGCGGTGAAGGGCTCGTCCCCTGACCACCCAAGTGATCAAGAGTGCCAATTCAACAAACAGTAATAAGCAGAGGAAATGGAATGTTTTTTCATGGCCGATTTTCATGTGACAAACCAAAAAGAAAGCAAAAATGTTTTTCTTACAGTACATTGCGACAGATGTAAAACAAGCTTCATGACCCAGCATCCTAATGATTGTTCTGTGCTAATTGCAGGATAGCAGCTCCACCTCAGATGACAAACCTGTACAGCGAGCCAAGGTGAGGCTATTTCTGTATTAGACCTTGGTTTTCTGCAGTCTCTGCCTGTCCCTCTCCTATCCCACTGTGCTCAACAAACCTCATGCTCCCATTCTAAAGCACATCAGGAAGAAGTCAGCTGAACAGCTAATAGGTCATTGGTATAACAATGGCAGATGATTATAATTAACTTCAGTCCATCACCTGAGTGACATGTGGTATTCTGAAATGTGTGCTCCTGTGCGGTGTAGGCCTACAGTTTTAATACGCAGAGAGAAACGTGCTCATCCTGCGGGAAGACGGTCTACCCCATGGAGAGGCTGATTGCGGACAAGCTGATCTTTCATGCCGCTTGTTTCTGCTGCAAACACTGCAAAACCAAACTCAGGTAAAAGACATGTTACTTGAAGGCGCAGAAGTGCTGCACCTACTAGATACCGCATGTTTTCAGCATGTTCAATGCCTGCTGTAATGGTTTGTCTCCGTTAAAGCCACACTATTGACAGAAGAGGTCCTGGAGGTCTCAGAACAGGGATTAAAAAACAAACAAACATTCGGATTCAGGAATAAGAATAAGCGTAGTTTCTGGGGTCACCATTGTGAGTTTGAATACCATAGCAGTAATGCTTGTGACACATTATTTAACCGTGTGCTGTGGCCCTTGTGTAGCGCTGATGTTTTTCCATCCTCTTCCCCTGCAGCCTTGGCTCCTATGCGGCTTTGCAGGGTGAGTTTTACTGCAAGCCGCACTTTCAGCAGCTCTTCAAGAGCAAGGGGAATTACGACGAGGGCTTCGGCCGCCGCCAGTACAAGGAGATGTGGGCTTCCAAGGAGCCCGACACCAAGGAAGCCTGACCATGCTGCCCCCCCCCCCAACACAAATGGGCTTCCAACATAGATTACACACTTCTTACATTATGACCTGCTCCACTTACACGCTCCTACAGCTGCAGCATCACTTAAAGCATCCGGTCAAAGATGTGTGTTTTATTTCTTCAAAGCATTTTTTTCTCTCAATTTTTTACTTTGCTTAGCTCCCAAATAGAATGTGAATGAGCTAATTACTTCATTTTGCTGTTAGCTTGAATGATAGATTTCAATGTGATCAACATTGTGTTGAACAAGTAATTTTAATTATTAGCATTATTAGCAATGTTGTTTACTCATTAACTGCAGCTTTATGTGTGGGAACAATTACATTCATGTTTATTTCAGCACAATTATAATTACTATATGAATACAACTTTTTTATATTTAATTTTTGCCTCGTTTTTTTTCTTATTCCCTTACATATGTTGTTAAAATACTTGAACAATTAGGAAGACCTACGCATATTGATAATCGATGTTGCCTTGCAGACAGACAATCATTTTGATGTTTCTCATCAAAATTACAGGACACAGTCCTGTCTTCTGTTGTATGCTATGTAATGATGGTTTCACAGCATCATGTGTGAGGGAAGCTGAAATGTCTGATGTGTGTTTTGACATCAGCTTTTGTGTGTACGTATTTAGTCATAAGGGAAAGCTTCATCTTTCTTTTCTGCCATGAATTTACATATATTTTAAGATATTCACTTATGCCTATGACTAGTGTCACTTTGGGGTCTTAGGTGGATCCACCTGATTGATGAAAGCAGGAGTTTATTGGGACAATCTAGTGCTATTTTGTTAAGACTAGGCCTCAAATTGCAATCACGTGACTTTTTGTGTTGCTGTAGGTCATGCTTACAAGACACGTGTAACACATTTCTGTAGTCTGTGCTGATATTCATGTCAGCATATTTTAATGATAATTAACTATGAAGGTAGTCGACACACTGCTCTTTACGTTAAATAGAAGAGTTTTTTTAATCCCACAATTTTTTGTTATATAAATGGATGATGAGTATTGACTGATACAGACTTAATACAGTGAGTTAAACAGCAAATCTCCAATTTTCTTACACCAAAAACTTTATTAGACCATATTCTGTCCTACTTTGGTCCATCAGTACTGGTGAATGTAGCATCCCAATACTGGGAGTGATTCAGGCGTTAGAATATCCTGGTGCATCCAGCAACCAGGCAGGTCTGAAAACAGAGCACTCATCGTATTGTGATAGCTGTCAGGGGAAAAGCAAGATTCCTTTCTACCTCCGAGATCACAGCAAAACTCAGGAAGATCTGTTCTGGTATTGCAGCTCCAAAATATGTACTGTCATTATTTCATCATTTTATGTGTAGTCACTGAATAAAATGTAGCCAAATACTGGAAGGCTTATCAATACTCTCCAGCACAAGAAAAGAGAGAGTGATCAATGACACATGTAACAGCTTCACTCCAGGGGACTGGAAAGCTAAATGGGGCCATGGAGGCCAATATCAATGAACTGTTCTGTAACAGAGGAGCTCATCACTGTGTTCACCCAACATACCAAAGAGAAGACCTGACAAATAAGGAATGTAATAACATTATGGCCTTGCCTTGAGATTTTTATGCAAAGCTTGTTACCCAGATTTTTGTCCAGTACCATTTTGGTTCCAGAGTTACCAGAACTACTGCCTATGAGCAGAAACATATACAGAGTAGTTCTTTTTTGGGACAATGGAATCTGCACTGCTGGTCAGTTAAATTCCATAACTGTGGTCTTCATTAAGAGCTATTTTCAGAATTGTTTTTGGGTTTATGGTTGTTAGGTCATTTCCAATAGATGGAAGTGGAAATATCTTAACCTTTTCGATATACAATGTTAGGATAGTCACTTCTGTTCATTTATTTTCAATACATGAAGCATTTTCTGAACCAGAACAGTGACACGTATTATGCAACTTTTCACCTATTTCGCAACTACTATTAACAACATACAGTTTCTGCTTCATTAAAATGGGCAATTTTGATGTGTTTCAGTGTTTGATGTAAGTCTGCAAACTTAGATGATTTAACATGCAATGTAACATGCTATTTCAGTACCTTAAATCTCTAGGCAGTTACTTATATTTAAATTTGGTATAGTATGACTAGTGTGCAAAACAAATTTAAAATGCAAATGAGAACATATGAATTTGATTTGACAAATGATTTTATTTTATGTTGTTATAATGAAGTCGCATAAAAACACACAGGAAATTGATTTACCAACCATGATGATAATAATAAGGATGTTGATTATTATTTACAGCTATGTTTTGGTATTGTGTGCATCCGTTTTGCACTTGCTATATGACCATACTTATTAATCTCATTTCCTAACAATTTTAAACTTGATTTCTGTCAGATACAACTTTATAACCTGTGTTCCCAGTTTTCAGTGGTCTTACCTTCTGTTATTCCAGAGAGTACTGCAAATGTATGCATATTTTCCACATTGTATCAGAAACAATAAAAACATTGTATGAGTATATTTATATGGTTTGTGCTGGACAAACTGATGTGAATGCAATGCCAATGTTTTCTGCAAGAAAATTTTCTTTAAACTTGAGTTGTGAAGGAATGTTGTGGCCTTGTTATTTTAACATTTTCAATTTTTTATTTGATACTTTTTGTATTCTATGATCAATCTAAAGTTTGTTTTAAGTAAAGATAAATATAAGGATCTACAGGCTCCAATGTGTTTTTTGTCTTCTGATTTTTTTGCACACATCGGGAAAAAATCGTGACATTATTGCTTGATGTTTTAAATACAGTTTACATTTCTGCAATAGCCAACAAGCTAATAAAACCAAATCTGTAACAGCGGGCTTTTTGAAATTGGTGTATAATACCATTGTGCTGACGTATTGTATAAGCAGGAAGACACCTAGAACCATTTGTCCTCCGGATCATATTTTACTTCTACTATATGACCATAGCGTAACAGCTCAACAGGAAACCTAAATGTTTGGTTATTGAGTTGGGGTTTACTTAAGTACTTAAGTGTTTAAAATATTATTTATTTTGAAATGGACCCTGAGCAGTATCTGAGATACAAGGTGGGAAGCAGGTGTGGAAAATCCCTGTAGAAAAACCCAGGAAGCCGTGTACGGAATTTTGAGTATGGGATACCTAAACGGAAACCAGTGTAGAAACTAACTTGATTGTGTTAAAAAATTACTTCAATTTGGAAATATCTGGTTTCTGTCGGTACTGGTATCATCAGCCATTCACTGACTGAAAAAAAATTCTTCCAGTGGGTGGCGTACTGGCCTTGCTGATAATTTTTTAAACATGCTTTTTGTGCTGAATAAATGTGGAGTTTATAAAACAATTGCAGTTTACATTTTGGAAATTTTAATATAATTGGCGTTTTCCTTGTTCTTGCTTGCTGCTAAATAGATTTAATATGAAAAGTTAACGTTATGTAATGTTAGGGGGAACCGTTTAAATATCGCATTTGTATCTTCCGGAATAGTAACACGACGGACAGGGGATGCATGCATGTCCTTAAAGGTATTGACATTAAATTAGTAAGTTCGTACGAATACGTTTGTCTGTATCGTTTTTTATATTATTGTAAAGGTGTTGTATTTTTCGGGTTATTCTTTCTGCTGCCTATATTAATAACGGTTCATTAGTATAATAGAAACAGTCATTTTCTCTGCTGCTAATTTGTTGGCTAACTGCTACTGTCAAGCATTACAGCGTAAATATGATTTTAATTAAATCTAATTTAAAATGTCATCTTTATTAATAAATGCCAATTTATCTTTGATTTGACATTATAGCGTACGCCGCTGTCAGTTGTTTCTTTTCTCGTTTTAATAATAATAGTCCGGTTATAACACGTCCTTTATCATCTGAGAGGTACCTATACATGAATGATTAAAGACAGCAGTTAATGTATCGTGAATCGGTGGAGACGAGTCAGTGTTTCTATAATGCATAAATCGGCAATTATTACATTTATTACTGAGCATTGATATCTGTTCAGAATAACCTATGGGTAGCATTTGAAATGCCATTTTTTCTTCTTCGTTTCCTGTTTGCAGGAGTCGATGCCAACTTATGGCCACTTTGGTGGTGATGAGGGGTCTTTTGCCCTGGCACTGTCATAGGATTACTCTGGCCAGGGGATTCTTCTGCTTGCAACCACCTCTAGGCCACCATCAACAAACTGCATCAGGCCGGCACCCTAATCTGGACCTCCAGTCTCTCCGCGCAATACACCAGTGCTCAGTGCTGTGTGCAGGTCATAATAAATGGTCCAAGGTAAAAAACGTAAAAGGACCCAAAGACACAATTCGAAGTCAGATATTCATGAAATTAGTTATGATGATTCGGGTCGCAGTCAAAGGTAAATCTGTTTCTGCTTTTGAAAATTAATATATTTAAATTTTTGGGAAAAGGTTCTTTTTTTTTCTAATTTATGGAAAAGGTTTTGCCAGAATCTGTCCAGTTTAGGTTTCCTGACTGTGAGCTGATTTCTGCTTCTATGCCTGTGTACTAGAGGGAGGGTCAAACCCAGAATTAAATCCGCAGCTAGCCAGCCTGGTGGAGCAGTGCAGGAGTAAGAACATGCCCAAGGCCACCATTGAAGCCGCCATCAAAGGGGCGGTGAGACCTGCTCACAATTCACATGGAGACACAGTCACTTAAATACAGTATACCAATAATAGAATTCTGTATCATTTTTTTAGTAAGGTGTATCATGTAAAAGATACAGTTGGGAAAGTCTATAATTCTGTGTGCCTCTGTGAGTTAGAACTTGTGCTAATCATAGAAAGGTCACTGGTTGTAATCTCATGTCTGGCAGAGTGATGCCCCACTGGGGTCTTGAGCAAGGTCCCTAACCCCAACTGCTTCCAAGGACTCTTTCATCTTCTCTTTGATGCTCATTGAAATGATGCTTTGGACAGAAAGAGTTGTATGTGTGTTTAATATATTTGTGAGTGTGTGTTGTGTATAACATATGTATTTCTTTTCTGCCCTTCAGGAGAAAGTGAAGGCTGGATCGTCATGCACGTATGAGGCCCGGGGTCCTGGTGGCTCCATGTTACTCATTGAAGTTCTAACAGATAATAACACACGGACCCACCAGCATATCAAGCACCTGGTCCAAAAACACGGGTCAGCTGCCAGTGTCCATCAGAATGGTGTTTTTAAAAACATCATACCTACAGTAAAAAGGGGTGGGGCAAGTTATACCAATAGAAGGCGTATGACCTTAAACTATAGTCATCCTTGCTGCCAAACAGTACTGCACTTTATGTTTAATTAGCATGATGCTTAGCACATTCACTGCATGTATGATGATGTCACTTTTTTCCCCTTCCACAGTGGGATGCTGTGTGATGGGGCGCGACACAGTTTTGAGAGAAAAGGAGTGGTGGTTGCAGCCAGGGAGGGCGTGTCCACAGAGCGGGCGCTGGAGCTGGCCATCGAGGCGGGAGCCGAGGATGTGCAGGAGACCCAAGACGAGGAGGAAAGGCCTCTGCTCCAGGTAGAGATACTCTCCAAAAGTGGAATCTGTTGCACTTGTGATGCAGAGCTGGCAGTTCAAGCTGAATGCAGTTGTTCTTGACTGCTGTCGCTGACATCACCACCGTCTCATCTACCCCAGTTTATCTGTGAGGCATCACAGATGCAGGATGTGCGGAGCGCGCTGGAGGCTTTGGGGCTGGTCACGCAGTCTGCTGCCCTGGAGTACGTGGCCTGCAACCACACTCTGCTGCTCCAAGAGCACCTGGAGGCTGCCTCTCGCCTGCTGGACTCCCTGAATGATAACCCTGATGTGGTTCGGGTCTGGGACAACATCCGAGTGGGGGACTAACCCAAAGCAGCAGGCTACTTGACCGGGAATGGTTGGAGGACTCCCTGTCATGGTGGGAGTAACCATCTACCTATGGAATCAACACTTTCTGCTGTTCCTGATTCTTCAGGTGGTTACTCAGTGCTTGTCACGGTTTTAAAAGGACATTATAATCTTGGAAAGTATTAAAATTGTTCAGTCACAAATTGTGTGCTGATCCAACTAGTCTGAAATACATAGAAAGAACAAATGTCAGTCATATAGAAGGAATGCATCTTTCAATAATTTATAATGAAAATCGTATTAATTTTCAGTACCGTTTAACAGTTATTGTGAAAGAATAAACTGTTCACGTTTTTTGCTTGACTAGCTTTTTCGTGTTGGTGAATTTGATTTATCACATATTACATTTAAATTCCCAGCATATGGACGAAGAAATAACATAAAGTTGTTGTGCTGATTGGTTTTTGTGGAGTACATAAGAAGAACATAAGAACATAAGAAATTTACAAACGAGAGGAGGCCATTCGGCCCATCAAGCTCGTTTGGGGAGAACTTAGCTAATAGCTCAGAGTTGTTAAAATCTTATCTAGCTCTGATTTAAAGGAACCCATGGTTTTAGCTTCCACTACAATAGCAGGAAGACTATTCCATACTCTGACTACACGCTGTGTAAAGAAGTGTTACAACTCTGAATCATAGACCTGAATCATATCCCCCCTTAGTCTCCTTTGCTCAAGGCTGAACAGATTCAGTTCCGCTAACCTCTCCTCGT